ATATTCATAGAACTGTTATCATTCGGACAATAAAACACATTGCAGATTAATTACCATTGAGATGTATGACAATAAATGGATATCTGAGCAGGAGGTCAAAGCAAAGCGAAAGGCATCATCTTGACTATTGTTCACGCCAGCTGCATCAGCAGACACAGCAACAAATAACGGCAACAGTCGGCCCTAATGATCACTCGATCACTCGAATCACTCACACACACACACACACACACACACACACACACAGACACACTGACACACATCATAGGTACCATTGAACCCTGCATCTTGATCAGACAGTGCCTCTCTAATTGAGCTAATCCCCACTTCAGGATCAGTGTTGTCCCCCGAGGTCTGACCCTCCACCCTGCCTCTCTCCCCGCTCTCACTGTCTCTCCGCTCTCAGATTAAACCTCCGTCCCCTCTGTGGCTCATGTGGACTGTAAAGCTGTTTATTGGGAGACAATGGGCAGCAGATTGTGCTGTCAGGCTCCATTAATTTCCATCATTAGCATCACACTCCAGAGTCTGTGGAAGCAGGGGCTAAGCCTTAAACTGGGTTTGTGTACAGCATGTGTGTGTGAGCGTGTGAGTGTGTGTGTGTCACTCTCTCTTTGTGCGTTTGATGTATGTATATGTATGCATCTTTACATGTGTTTTTTAAATACATAATTACATTTGAAACTGCATTCGTATCTGAGCAAAGATAACTTTCTCTGGTTTGTTTTGTCTTATCAGGAACTTTAAATGTTTTCAGTAAAAGTTAAAAGCAAAAAACCAAACATTCTCTTTTGGAACCAACACGACAACACTTCGTACAAAAGTTCAGGTTTTTTTGCAGACATTTATTTATCATTTACTATGTTCCTTCATTTCTCCAAACTTTAATATGTTAAACACTGTGTGCTTAGTACATAACTTTATTTCTAAGTACTCTGCTGTACTTTTTGCATGCCATTGCTGCCTGTCAAAATGTTCTGCTTTTGTTCTAATTGATTATTTGCTTATTTAAGTATTTTTATGAAGTATTTCTGATTTTTGATTCTGTGTCTGACGTCTGCATGGGCCATTTCTTGTTGAATAAAAAAAAAAAACTACAATGAAATAACATTTAAATCTAAATCGAGGGAGGCTTCAAACAGGCATGTCTACAGACTTCAAACAGTTTCAACATCCGAAATCCAGAGTAGGTCTGTGTTAAAAAAAAACATAAATTAGAGCTAAGGTTTAGCTTCAGTGAAACTGGTGACATTTGGAAGCAGTTGAGTACCTGAATAGTAATAGATTGATCAAAATAAATGGAATAAGTAAGTTTTATAGCTGATGTTTGTTTTCAATTCAATTAAGTTCTCAAGAATGTGTAAATCCCTTGATGCTTAGTAACATTTAGCATCAAGTTTATAATAATCTCCCACCAGAAAGTGTTAAATTACAATTACAATTTGCCACTGAAATTAAACAAATTATCCTAACCATACATCTTTTTCTATATCCGCCGTCCTGTTGGAGTGTAACTGTTTATGCAATCCAACCTTAGCTGCAGAAGCTGCACATTGCAGATTTGTGGTGTGAGGAAGCGGTCAATTTGCAATTGTTATTGCACCATAATTCACAAAATGGGAAGCCTTGGATATTACCTAAGTATACTTTCATGCTTTTGGCTTTGTCGTGCAGAACTTGGTAAAAGCTAAATCGATTATTGGCTTTCTGTTTTTCAGCTACAGTTGCAGCAAATCCTTCCAACAAAACAACATCAGTATCTGCCGAGATAGAGGGAAATTAAATTAAATTTAAAGACTTTATTAACGCAGAATTACAGCAGTTATTTAACAAGTCAAAGTTCTAGGAGCTAAATCTGTCTGAGCAGGTGAAGTGCAGCACTGACAGGGGCATAAAACATCTTACGCAACACTAAGAAAATGTGAAAAGCTTGCGAACAAGCTCATGAAAAACTCCACTCTTTATGATCCATATGTCCTTTAGTGCAAGCTAATCAATGGTCCAACGTATTGACCACCATTGGTATTTCCACCTCCAGCAGCGGAGCTCTAAAAGGAAATTGAACCACGTTTCTGCCACGCACCCACTGAGGCATAAGCCCTCTTACTCCAACTTCCTGTCTGATCAATGTGAGAGACAATGACTCAACAGGTGCGACAGACAGGAGCCCAGCAGCAGCTTTCCTCCCCACAGTTTGGCCCAATTAGCACCCGCGGCTAAGGAACAAAGAGGCGACATTTCATTTCAGCTGAGTGCCAGTTTAAGGCCTCTTCTCTCCACCTCGGCCTCTTTTCTTTCTGTCTCTTACTGCTGACATCTTTACAGGATCATCCCTGGCTCCATCATATTCTATTAAATTGGATCGATGCCTTGTGTTCCAAGTGGCAGGGTGTTAAAAACATGGGGTGTTGATGAATTCATTGCATATGACTGGGCTTGCTTTCTTTGTGTAAAGGTTTTGGCTAATGAAACCCCCTGAAGGTTTGACAAAAGCCAAAGACATTTTTCAGGGTTTGGTTTTGCACACAGGGTTCAGGCTGGATTTCCTGAGCTAACAAGTGCAGCCATCCTTGAAAAACTTTTCAATTCATGTACCCTAAAAGACGGCTGACATGTAGATATATAATGATTATATGTTTGGAGGAAAACTCAAAAATTACCCAAGTGCCTAGAATTAAAAATGTTATTTCTTAACATTAGGTTATACTATAAAATACTTTTTCAGCTTTCGAGAAGATACAACAAATCAAATATTCCCTTGTTAAACAGGGCCAGTATGTACACAGGTGATAATGCGAAACAATATTTCATTGGCTGAACAGTACAGTGCATTTTTGCTCAGCAGTGATTCTTATGCAGTTTTCAGCAATGACAAAAGGAGGAATAACCTTTAGTATTTTGCATTTCTAACCTCTGGGAACTCCGAAAGTGCTGGGTTATTGTTTTTATCTTACGGTAATGTTGCAACAATATCAGCCTATTCACTAAATATTGAATTATTAATATACGCTCACCGGCCACTTTATTAGGTACACCTGTCCAACTGCTCGTTAACACTTAATTTCTAATCAGCCAATCACATGGCGGCAACTTAGTGCATTTAGGCATGTAGACATGGTCAAGACAATCTCCTGCAGTTCAAACTGAGCATCAGTATGGGGAAGAAAGGTGATTTGAGTGACTTTGAACGTGGCATGGTTGTTCGTGCCAGAAGGGCTGGTCTGAGTATTTCAGAAACTGCTGATCTACTGGGATTTTCACGCACAACCATCTCTAGGGTTTACAGAGAATGGTCCGAAAAAGAAAAAATATCCAGTGAGCGGCAGTTCTGTGGGCGGAAATGCCTTGTTGATGCCAGAGGTCAGAGGAGAATGGCCAGACTGGTTCGAGCTGATAGAAAGGCAACAGTGACTCAAATAACCACCCGTTACAACCAAGGTAGGCAGAAGAGCATCTCTGAACGCACAGTACGTCGAACTTTGAGGCAGATGGGCTACAGCAGCAGAAGACCACACCGGGTGCCACTCCTTTCAGCTAAGAACAGGAAACTGAGGCTACAATTTGCACAAGCTCATCGAAATTGGACAATAGAAGATTGGAAAAACGTTGCCTGGTCTGATGAGTCTCGATTTCTGCTGCGACATTCGGATGGTAGGGTCAGAATTTGGCGTCAACAACATGAAAGCATGGATCCATCCTGCCTTGTATCAACGGTTCAGGCTGGTGGTGGTGGTGTCATGGTGTGGGGAATATTTTCTTGGCACTCTTTGGGCCCCTTGGTACCAATTGAGCATTGTTGCAACGCCACAGCCTACCTGAGTATTGTTGCTGACCATGTCCATCCCTTTATGACCACAATGTACCCAACTTCTGATGGCTACTTTCAGCAGGATAATGCGCCATGTCATAAAGCTGGAATCATCTCAGACTGGTTTCTTGAACATGACAATGAGTTCACTGTACTCAAATGGCCTCCACAGTCACCAGATCTCAATCCAATAGAGCATCTTTGGGATGTGGTGGAACGGGAGATTCGCATCATGGATGTGCAGCTGACAAATCTTCGGCAACTGTGTGATGCCATCATGTCAATATGGACCAAGCTCTCTGAGGAATGCTTCCAGCACCTTGTTGAATCTATGCCACGAAGAATTGAGGCAGTTCTGAAGGCAAAAGGGGGTCCAACCCGTTACTAGCATGGTGTACCTAATAAAGTGGCCGGTGAGTGTATATGCAGCAGTTACCAAATAGCATTAAAATAGGGCTTCCTTAATCAGGTGTGAAGAGCAGTGGAAAATGCTTGATTTAAAAAGTTATTGTTGTATATATTATTAATCCTAACTTGTTTAAATTTATTACATTGAGAAATTATCCGTCAAATGTATCATTCTGGTTGGGCTGAATGATATCCCCCCGTTCACATAGTTTTTTTCATGGGTGCTTTTTCTGCATAAGTGTTCCAGTGATAGTCTGTTCTTGACATCCTGTGAGGATCATGGTAAAAGGTTGATTAATTTTAAGGCTATCAAACTAAACTTACATTTTACCTGGGAAGCTGATTCAAACATTATTGAGCCCTACTTACATTACATGTTCATAGCAGATATTTTTGTAAGAAAAGAATACTTCGACTATTAAATACCTGATAAATTACCAGGTGAGAAATTAACTTCAATACCCACATAAGCTGGAGGTCTGCTGCCGGGGTCTTTGGCTTTCTTAGTGCGCATGCGCTGTTGTTGCAGGATGAGGCTGAAGGAGACCCGTAGAAATGTAAGCCCGGCTCCTGCATTAAACCGTACAGACTCATGTCAAACACAATGAATTCAAGCATATTTAATACATTTTCGCATTGAGTATATGCCATCAAGCTAGATATTGTTAATAGCGATAATTTCGTGTGTTTTCCTCCAGCCTATCACCGAAGCGGACACCGTCCTTTGAGATAAGGGAACCAGGAAGTGTTTCCACAACAGCGTCGTCTCTGCTGGAAATCTATTATGAAACAGTTCTTTACCACTCTGGGAAAGGCGACAGGGTTTTTCACTGTCCTTATTGTTGCAATCGCCGCCGTTTTGAGTTATTTCGACGACCCCGAGCCGGTTAAATACAAAAGGTAAATTAAAGCTGAGGTTATGAATTCTTTCTATATAAGCTATGACTGACACTTTATGGTGTTTACTTTACAGAACTCATATATACCTCTTGTAATGTTACATTTATAGACATTTGTACCATTACAGTAAAGAAGTAAATAACTATGACTGCAGAGGACACAGGCTACAATGGCACCCAATTGAGATGTTTACACCCTGGCATAAAAAACATGTTAGATTTTGGGACACATTAAGTGAGTGCACTTATTTTTCACTTTGCTTTGGTTCACAGCATGGCTCAAGACATGAAGTCTCTGGAGGAAAACTTCAAACAGCAGAATAAGAGCTGCTTCATCCTCGGTGCTTCAGGAGAAACAGGAAAGGTGCTGCTCAAAGAGCTGCTGGAGCGCAACATCTTCTCCAAAATCACCCTCATCGGGAGGAGACAGCTCACCTTTGAGGACAAAGCATATGAAAACCTGGTGAGAGAGCCGACACCTGATCCACCTGCGATCCATCTACCGTACAGTGACATTTTACCTGGCTGAGGCTGTGTTTTTATCTTTCCAGGTGCAAGAGGTGGTGGACTTTGAAAAGCTTGATGATTACGCAGCTGCCTTCCAGGGCCATGATGTCGGCTACTGCTGCCTGGGGACAACCAAGGCCAAAGCAGGGGCTGTAAGCTCAAGTTTTGAAACCCAGTGTTGGTACTTAAGTCGTGAGTTTACTCAAGATAGATTTCAAAGTCATAGTACAGCACAAAACTGCCAAATTCAACAAATCTGTTTGCACCTGTCAGCAATGACTCAGCAATTTCTTCATAATGCACTCATGGCCCCTGTTAAGCAGGTCTGACAAGTCGGTGTAAAAATATTGGTTTATTCCAAATACTCATTCATAAACCAGTGAAAAAATTACTAATGTGGTGTTAGGGAAAGAAATGTAATATAAAAAGGTTTAAAACTTTTATTGATATTGCTGTATTGCTGTGATATAACAGTCCCCATGACTGCAATAGTTAGTTTAACCCTCAAGTCTAACCTTCAGCTCTACACATTTATTTATTTTATCTGACTTGCATTTTGCCAAGTTGTTGTGTAGCTACTTATATCTTGTGACAAACAATTAGATTCTTAGCTCTTGCAACTTTTACTACATTCGTGTGAATATCTGAGTTTTCTGCAACTTTCCTGCTTTATATCAGGAGGGATTCATTCGCGTTGACCGAGACTACATTCTAAAATCAGCGGAGCTCGCAAAGGCAGGAGGATGCTCACAGTTTCACCTGCAGTCCTCCAGGGGAGCCGATAAAAACAGCAACTTTCTCTACCTCAAAATCAAGGTATTTGTATGCTGCACCCCTGATCTATTCTTAACTTAAGCTTACTTTTGTGTCATACTGGACAATCACTCAAAGGTGAAAATGAAACTTTTTTTTCTTCCAGGGACAAGTAGACGCAAAAATTGAGGAGTTTGGTTTTGACAGATATTCTGTTTATCGACCAGGGTGAGTGAAACACACTCATTCTAGAAAATCAGCATTTTTTTTTTTTAACAGAAGTGTTAAAACTGTGATAAATTTTACCCTGTAACTTTGGCAAACACCAAATATTTGCACACACATGGTTGCAAACATTATCTGCATTATGTCCGCTGCAGGAAATGACCCCAAAGCACACTAGATTGTGGCTTTCTTAGTTTTTGGTGTTTGTATTACATTGATAAGCTCAGCATTTATTAATTTCAATGTGCCGTCAGCTTTATTAAAGTTTTAAAGCGGTAGTCTCAATACTTGTAGAGTCTCTTGACCACTAATGAGAGCTGTTAGCTGTATTCTTTGATAAAACAAACAGGCTGTAAAGAGCAAACAAAATGAAGACTAAAATAAAGACTACAAACAAATATGATGTTCATATAGAGCTACAGAGCACAACTCATCAGTGAGTATGCAGACGGCTACTTTAAAGTCAAGCTGTTTGCAAAACAGACTGAGTTCTTTTTAATTGATGCTATTATATGAGCAACAAATGCAAATCAGACCATCAGGTAAAAACAATACTTATTTCTGTTTACTGATTTCTAATGATTGGAAACATTGCTGCAGCCAGGGTAGGTGGCTATCAGCTATACATATAAATAGAAATGTTTTCATTCGCCAGTGTCAATATCATGCTGATAATATTGTGCAACCCTTATCAAAATCTACGCTTTGAAAGGAGCTTTTGAGAGGACAGATCGTATCTGTTTCCTGCTATTTAGTTTTAACCTTGGAATTTATAAGAACAAGTTTGTAGGGCACACAGTTCAAAACAGTTCACTATCTTATCATGGCCTCCTGTAGCATACCAACATAGCAAAAGACACTTTCATGTGGTGTCCACCTTTTGTTCAGGACAGCATCGGTAGGAGCAGCAGGGTTTCCCACTTTTCATAAACATGGATCGAGTCTTCTGACTAAAGGGGTAGCCCTGGTTGGAAAACTCGACCATATAGGCTGAGCAGGGTTATTAAGCAACCGCACACTTGTGTGGATCTCTTTCATGACTTAAACTCTAACCAGCTGACCACAGCAAGATACAAGAGTCCAAAACTGATGTAATCCCAGTTTTCAAGTGCAGTCTTGAAGTGATTGATTTTTTATATAAGTCTAGTCTGAAAGTATGTAAAAACTTAGAAAATAGTCAAAACTGAATTTATTTTTAGCTGCTAAGCACAGGACCATCGAGCCTTGAATCAGTCTACAGAGTGTGGCTAACATTAGCAGAGCATCACCAGCAGTTTAACCTCCACATGACAGTGCTGGTAAAACAGTCTCATTTACCTGCTCATTTTGACACTTTGTACATGTTTCATATGAAAAGCTGTGTTTATTAAAAATTCAAATTATGACACTATATGTCTTGTTTGATACTTGACTGTTTGGATCCATCCTTGACTTTCTATCCAACCTATTATCAGTGACATTTTCGCACAGTCAAATTTGTAACAAGGTCTGCTTATTCATCTGATGCAACCCATTCCAGACTCTGTACCAATGACAACTTTGTGTATTTCTCCCAAAGGGTGTTGTTGGTCGACAGGCAGGAGAGTCGGCCTACAGAATGGCTGGCCAGGAAATTCTTCAATGGCCTCACGTCTGTGTGCTCTACATCCATGGCCATCCCGATTGAAGTGGTGGCAAAAGCAATGGTGTCAAACACTCTGATTCAACCCGAGCAGAAGGCAGAGATCCTGGAGCACAAAGACATCACCGCTTTGGGAAAGAAATAAGAGACAGCAGGTCAGAGAAATCCATGAACGGTGGGTAGTAAAGCTAGCATTGGACTTACAACCTAATAGATGTCAAACTACGACTAAAAGTTTCTTTTGTATTGTTGTTTTTACATTATTTATAGTTAAATCTGTTTTAAAAGACACAAAATAAACAGTCATGTTTCCTTTTGCAAACTAAATCTAATTCCTTAACTCCAAACGATGAAATTCTACACTGACTTTTGATGTGATCTCAGGCTTTCCACTATTAATATAGATATTTTTTCCCATTATAGGTCATTTCAACAGATACAGGAATGACTACATACCACAAGCTATTTTTGCAGCTGTCTGACAACCAAAGGAAATTTTCTCAGAGAGTACTTAAATGTTTCAGGACTGCAATATCACTTGTGGAGCAAACATCCTATCATACTAACATGTCTTTTTCTGTGTTTGAGTTTCATTTCTGTGGTTTGTCTGGAATTATGACCTGTATTTTTTTTTCAGGGAACTACTGCCATGTTCACCATGTGTGCTCTAAAACACTGCAACTGGCTGCCTTAATGTAAATGCCTACGTACCATTTACAAGATTCAGCTGTTGAATGTTTTTATTTTCATTTATTATATTTAACTGAGGAAAAATATATTATTCATTAATATATAAATGTCATGTTGTGTACATGTGTGCCATATCAGATTTGCAACATAAAGTAAACTGCAGGTGATGCTATTGACAAGAAATGTGTTATGACAGCATGTATTTACAATACTTTCATTAAACTATTTTGATAATGCATTTGTCTACATGTTTTAAACACCAAAGTAGCACTGTGATATGATTCAATAGAATTAATATTGTTTTGAAATATGATCACTTTCAAAAAAATAACACAAAGGCATGCTGAATTCAGACTGAATAAGGGTGTCACTCAAAGTGGACAAAGATATTCACACTGGTAAATACAGAATGATGCCATTAGCTTGTATTTATGCTAAATTATAAATTACATGTCATCCTCGTCATATTTTAAATTACGTTATTTATTCTAAGTTCTGTCTATTAATATTTTTACTTGATCCATTTGTTTTTGATGTATTTCATTGCTTTACTATTACCATTTTGTTATCGACAGTACCCACATAGATCATACCTTTTTTTAACTTAATCCAGCAGCGCCCTCTAGTGAGTGAATGGGATTACACACAACATCAGAATGATGCTGACCTCTTCTTATTTAAAAGGCTGTTTCCAAACGTTTTTACGCAGAAATATGCCACTTCATCTTGACATTTCCTTTCAGTTTTATAGATTTTCAATCTGATATGATAGGGGAAACTTGTTTTATATCTACAAAAGAACGGGGGCATATGTCTTGATCTTGGTGTAACAGCCTTAGAAGAAAAGCAACAAGACACTTTAGCAGAATATAAATGATACACACCAAAAAAATAATATAAAACAAAGCAAACCAAAGTCAAATAAAATAAAATAAAACCAAATAAAATATACAATCTCTCTTAAAGAGTCAAAAACCAGTGTTTTCAAATTAAAACCAAATCCATCTTGAGTTTAGATTTACCTTCCATGGTCTCCTTAGCACCAGAGTCAGAGAAATGTATTTGTAGTTCAAGTTATCTGTATTTCTTAAATAATCTTTCAAAAGATAACATTACATCATTAATATCTTAATGCTAAAATAACAGTCAGGAAAAATCTTCCCACCAAAACCACCTGGCTTTGTGTCCGTTGGAGTTGTTAAATGGCATGAACAGCTGTTAACTTCTTTTTTCATGTAGATATTGATCGGTAAAGTCAGAGCCGGCCCAAGGCATAAGCGAACTAAGCGCCTGTTTAGGGCCCCCGTGGCAAGTAGGGGGCCCCCAAAAGCAACCAAGAAAAAAAATATATACTTTTTTTATTTTTTTGCATGTAGCCTATAAATGATGCTTTTTGTATGATCAAATATACATTATTGTAAAAATGAAATAAAGTAAAAACATTTTAGTGGTGCTGCTGGTGTAGGCCTATGGTTCTCACTGTCGATGACACTTTTACAGTAAACACAATGCTTTATCGCTTGGAATGTTGTAAAAATCAACCCCAGGCTGCTCTCGTAGCTGAATGCGTTACATTTTGAGATTAAAAACCATATGTGGCACCCTGAACAACATTCATCAGTCATTCATTGGTGTTATTTATGGTATTACCTAGGTCACCCCCTTAAATGTGTAAAGATACGTCAGGTCCATTAAATTTATACTATAGTAGGTGTGTAAATGATCAACAAACAGTAAAAGAGGGCCCCCAAATCAAATTTTGCTTAGGGCCCCCATTAAGACTTGGGCCGGCTCTGTATTTTACACTTTTGTTCAGTTCAGAAGGCGGTGTGACGGTATTTTGTTTATTTTTTACACAGTTTCAGTGTGATATATACAAAAAGTGTTACTAAAGTTCTGTTATTCGATGTGTAGTGTAGTAGTAGTAGTCTAGTTTGCCAAAAAAGTGATATACAAGCTCTTAACGACCAGAGACTCGCTTTAGGAACGGGATAAAATTGCACTAGGGCGCCATCTTGTGTTTTTATTCCGGAACCGCCGCCTGATACGGCCCGCCTCTTTTTAACGTCACAGAACGTCACCCGGAAGTCCACTGGAACCGAGGCGGCATCATGGCAGAAAACACAGACCCACGTGAGTGTGCTTAACAATACATTTAAACGTAAAAAAGTGTATTTGTAAAGATGCCACCGTCTTTTGTAGCTATCGAGAAGTTGTACGACGCGTGTAGTTCCTAAACTTTGTCTTTAGTTGCTCGAGAAAACGCGAGAAACCTTCGTCTCCGTCACTCTGCTGCTGCTACTTCATTGAAATAAAGTTATAAACAGAATTATTCAAACCTATCGAGCTGATTGAGGGTTCTGGCATGTAACTGTGGTGGGGTTTTACTGTGACAGGCTTTCGTGGAGCTCCTGAGGAGATGCCCGAGCTCTCTGACGGTGATGATGAAGACATTGATGATGACGAAGAGGAGCAGTGGCAGTGGATGGAGGAGGACAGTCAGCCGGTTACCTGTTTGTTCTGTAACAGGTGAGAGTCCAGTCTCAGTGTGAGAGGACGGATAGAAACAGCTGGCTGTCTTTCAGCTGATTAGTTGGTGTGAACTTGAACTGTTTACACTGATTTTAAAAGGTTTATATGTGAATGTGTATGATGTTTGAGACTTTTCACTGTAACATAGTTTCCTTGTTTTCTTCTAGGTTGCTGAGCTCTGTGTCTACCACCCTGCAACACTGCACAGCTGAGCACCAGGTCAAAATTGTAGACATAATAAGAAAACACAGTAAGTAAACAATTGTCATAGATCTTTCTTAAATCCACAAAAATGTGAAGGTTCCTGTCATTCACCACGTCGTCCTACTTTAATTAAAGCAAACCTCATTAACCCTAGAACACTATCGCGGAAATTAGTAACACCATCACTATCGCCGGGTTATATCTACCTGAAATAATATACCGAAGAAAAAGTACTTGTCATCAAAATATATCAAAATAGGACAACACATGACAAATTAAAGTAGTTTTCTTTTATTTTTAACTGTGCAATGTCCAAGGGGAGGGGAAAAAAGTGCCATGAGGAGACCATATCAAAATGCAACAAAATAAGTGAAATTATAACAATAACTTTATTTTTTTATAGCACTTTTAAAAACAGAAGTTTACAAAGTGCTTTGACAAACAGTTGCAAAGCACAGAACATCAGCACATGAAAATAAAAACAATAGCTCAGTTAAAAACAAGACCATTTCTCATAAGAAACCCAGGCAATATAAGAACCCTACAACATAAAATGAGACCATGAGGACCAAAATAAAAACATAAAATAGGTAAGAAGAAGAAATAAAACAGAAAAGGGGGGCAGAAAGCAGGAAACAGGATAGTAAACATAAAAGAGGATATTAATAGTGATAATAAAATCAGAATAAAATATTAATGATGGTAATATAATTGATAAAATGGAATAATAAAAATAAGCAGGAAAAAAAAACAATAAAATCAATAAAGGGCCTGAAAGGTAAAATAAGAAAAGATTATAAGTAAAACAAAGACATTCATGAATAAAACATTCCTAAAAAATATATATAGACTTTAAACAGCACAATAACAGCTGCAGGAGAGAGAACCAAAATATGGCAGATTTGGAGTGAGTAAAAATGACTAAATGACTTCTTATCACCACATGAATTCCCTTGAAAATCACAACTTTGTGATTGTTATTCATAACCGCTGCGCTAAATAAAAATAGCATGCAAATTCCAGGACCACTCTTACTGACCTTATTCGCCTTCATGCAGCTATTAAATCCAACCAAACCTACTTTACCCTCTATCACTATTGCCAGGTGAAAATCATACGAACAAGTGCCTGTAGGAAAAAGCAGGTTTTGGATCAGAGAAACAAATATGCCTTCAAAGATGTCAAAGGCAATGCTGAAGCCACCCAGGGACCCATGATACTCAGACAAAAATGCAACATCATGAAAATCACGTAAACATGTTTGGTTGGGGGAAAATCAACCAGCGATCGTGTTCTAGTGTTAAACCAAAAAAGACCAGGACTCGTAGGGTCCTGTGGTCATACTCAGCATGGAGTTAGTGATCAATTGACAAAAAGATACAAGTGTTTATCACGCCTCAATACACCAGAAAAAAAAAGCCCAAAGCACTCTGCAGTTTTCTCTGACTGTTTCACCTTTCTCTTTTGTCTCCAGGATTAGACGACTACGGCTACATTAAAATGATCAACTTCATACGGTCCACAGTAAGTACCGCCATGTATCAGCAGGATTAAAATTCACTTCATAGCTTCCATGCTCCATGAATATGACTGCAGGAGTTAGTCATGTTTTGGTGTGATTTATAGCTACAATAGAATAGAGGGCAGATTTTTTTAACAAATTTTTGTTCTATAGAAATGTGATGCATTAAGTCTGACGGGGCTACCAGACGCTCCTTTACCCTGGGAGAGTGAGGACTTCCTGCGGCCCGTCCTACAGGATGACCCTCTTCTGCAAACAGGTACTGCAACTCGTCGTACTCTGGGGGGCTGGTTTGGCCCAGCGGCTAAAACACATGCCTCATATACAGAGCGTGTGCATAGTCTCTGCCTCTCTGCAAGGGCAAAAATGCACAAAATTAAGTGAGGAAAATAGTCCTACTTTCTCTGTGCAGGTGAAGATTTTGATTTGAGTTTCCGACCCCATGAAAGTGGTTTGTTACTCCTTCGTTTACTGAGGTGTTGCTTGTTTGCATAATTTTCCCATCCATCCCATTATGCTGTTGTTTTCTCCCCTCTAAAATGATTAGTTTGCTCTTACATAATGCTGTGTAGAGCTAACAAAACAATACCGCAAGTAGGTGACCTTTTTTTCAAGTGTCAACATTTTCTCTCTGCCAGCTTCAGCTCTTTATTCTGCCTTCAGTTATATTAATCCCAGAACTTGTTTTAAAAACTGTAATTTGAGCAGGATTTAGTTTTTGTGTTCATACAAACAGTCTGAGTGGAGTTAGGCAAGGTAAGTTTATTTGTATAGCACCATTCATACACAAGGCAATTCAAAGTGCTTTACAGATGCAACAAAATACATAAGAAATTAAAAAGGGGGATTCAAATGATTTAAAATCAAAAAGACATCTTAAAATCAATGAAATATTAAAATGTAAAGTCATTAAAACAGTTCAAATTGACAGAACAGCGAAATCGAAGTAAAAGTAAATGAAGGGTAGAGTGACACTTTTCTCCACATGACCCTGAGAGTGACTCGCCTCACGCAGAGCCCATCCTTGTATTTTGCAGTACTTAGCATTTGTCCTTTCTCCAGGATGATTTCCTTTTGTTGTATTTGAACAACTTTGCATGTTAATAGCTTTAGAAAGAGGCCCTTACTTCCTGGCGATGTTTACAGCATGACTGTAACATCTTTTCAAGACTCTCAATATGAAAACTCGAGAGATCAGCAGTCGGAGTGAATATTTTTGTGGTATACAAATCTGTGCCAGCAGCTCATATTGCTCCATATGTTGTTTCTTTCAGATCCTGAGGAGCTCTGTAGTGTTGAGGGGTCAATCCAGCCTACGTGCCCTTTGTCTGTGGCAGAATCCCATGATGCACTGCTGCAGAAGGCTCAGGCTGCTGAAGAGAGAGCCCGTCGCTCAGAGGAGGCGCTGGCCAGAGCCATGGATGACCTTCACAAACTCAAGTCAGTCACTTTTTTTGCATTTTGACCTCATTTTAGATCTAAATTTTAGATCGTGCTTGTCTGTGCACTTGAGGTTCACTTAGAGTGAATTCAGCCCTGCACTTCCCTTCAGCAGCCAGCAGGGGGACACAGTGAACACAGTTCAGCAGAACCATCAACTAGAGTACCTTGTGAAATAAGTTTTGGAGGAAGAGGAAAGATAAAGGAGGGAAGGGAAAATTCCACTGCAGCATGGAGGTTAAAGTGAGGAGGGGAGGTAGGAAGGGGGAGCAATAAAGGAAAATTACAGAAAGAGTGAGGCTGGGGGGTGTTGGAAGAGAGTTAGAAAGATAAATGCCTCCCATCTACTCCATTTACTGCTTCGTCCTGCATGAAGGTTGTGTGTGCTTTCTGCTTTCTGGTCTCTGCCTCTGTCCCGCCTGCTAATATAAAAAGTTAAACTCGAATTTCTTTGGCTTTTCTCTCAGGCTGCTGGCTCAGGGTTTGGTGCTGAACGCAGAAACCAGCAAATCTGGCAACCTGGGCACTGTGGCCGAACTCCGAGAGGATGAAGACGAGGCCTATTTCAGCTCCTACGGCCATTACAGCATCCATGAAGAAATGCTGAAGGTCTGGGATGTGCAAACACACACACACACACACACTTCAAACACATACATGACAGGGTCTGCAGGTCTCATTAAAGTCTCATGAGTCATTCCCGCCGGGTGCAGGCATCTCTGCAGAGCGAAATCTAGTTCATCAGCGCAAGTCTTGGTTGAAAGATTTCGATGTAGCACGTAAATGAAAGCGATCGTCTTTATGCACACACACACACACTGACACAGACGACAAGACATTCTCACCAAAGTGTCAAATCAGCAATAAGTGCTGAGCGCTCATGTAAGACAGCAGCATGCTCCAAACGTGGAAATTAATTTTTACACTCCTCAAGCTCTGAAACTTGAAAGTGTCAGCAAGCTGAGGGGTGTGTGTGTGTGTGTGTGTGTGTGTGTGTGTGTTGGGGGGTGTCAACTCTGTCTCCTCCCTTCCCGTTCTAGTTACTTACTGCAGTGCTTAGCCATAGTCCTGTCGGCCGTCCTGATTGGTGCGCGGCTCTGTTAAGTTTTGCGTCATGTGTGTGTGCGTCAGGCAGTAAACTCCATCTGAGTCTCTGGAGGGGCCTGAGAACACGTGACGAGGGGCTTTGCGGTAGAAAATGGTCAACTTTTTTACAGGTTTGCCCGAGTTTATGACATCCTCTGTATAAATGCGTGTGAGAGAGAGTGAGGGAAAATGGCACGAGGATTTTAAAAGTTTGTTTGGTTGGATTTATGCCACTTTTATCTCAAATGAAGCAAATTTTTATTTGCAGTATTTGCCTGAAATTGTTCAATGAAACTGTAAATATCAAAGAGACAAGAATAAGGGGAGATTTTTTTAAGGTAATCCTTTTAAGATAATCGTGCCTCACTTCACAGGAATTTCATCAGCATGATTTGAAGTCGAGTATCAAAGCGTCTTAGTGTTTTTCTTCCACGAGAGAGTATTAAACATCGACAGTGTTTCGGGTAATTTTTATTTTTTTGCAAAACATTGGCTTAATGGAGAGTCAAAAATGATTCCCACATGGGAGTATGGAAGACTGATTTCTCCAGACCAGTCCGGGACAGTTTGAATCATTTCATTTTTGCAGACAGGAATAAACTCGGCTGCATGCGACTGGACAGACCTGCAACCAATCAGATTAAGACAGCATGTGTTACAGTTAGGGATGGGCGATAAATAATTGTTCATGATATATCGTAAGAAAAATCCTCCATGATTAATATTTGCCATCCCATAATAAGTACGATAAATGCAAGTTGATGAAGTAAGTGTGAGCGATGGACTCGCAGCCATCGTCCACACAGAGCAGAATAACAAACATGGCTGAAGGTAATGAAGAAGACGTTTCTGAGCAGCTCGTTACTGAACGAGGCTCAACATGAGGGATTTCCTTCAAGATTGGGGTTTAGATGAGTGCAATCAGGTATGCCTGACATCGGACAGTAGATCTGCTGCTGTTCACTCTGTACAATAAGAGTTTTCAATGAATGTTAAAAATGTTTTCACATTTGAGACTTGTTTGATGTCATTAGTTTTCTCCATAACCTACCACTTGAACTTGTTAAGTATTTTATTTGACTACTCCAACTGGTGTTCTCAAGACAAAATGAGTCAAAAATATAGATTACAGTTTTAATATTTTTTTATCGGGACTTTTATCGTTATCGCCAGAATTACAAATCTTATCGTGATCAATTTTTTAGCCCATATCGCCCATCCCTAGTTAGAGTACATAACAACAGAAAATGCAAACGGACAGCAGCATGCAGAGGGAAGACGCACATTTCTCTATCTGACAGAATATCAGATTTTTTTTACCCTGCAGTTACTGTTCACTGTTTCAGTGTAAAGGCAATATTTATGGAAAACTTTAGAAAAAACAAATCTAACACAGTCAAAGCAGGACAAGAAGTGACAGAAACTTCTAATCAGATGCTTCTATAAGGAACTTACAGTTTGTGTCTATTCATTCCCACCTGGTGATAAAAAAAAAAACACACATCTTATGTTTTTGCTGATCTCATCCTAAACATGTTTTAAGTGTTTTCAGCTTAAAATCACTATCTTCTGTATGTAAACGGCAAACACATCATTTTCTGTCATTGCTTTCCCACTGAAGGAAATGAACAGCCCTCTCTGCAGCATACTGCGAACCCCTCTGTCTGACATCCACCCCAGCAGAGTTTCAGTCTCGATACGGGTGGTTTTGTTCGCTTTACTAACTCCTGCGTATAATCACAACTCAGTGCTGTCATGTCGAAGTGTTTGCTGTGAAGGTTAATTTACCTTAGGTGTGTTATTTTGCAGAGAGGCTTCATATCAGCCGCTCATGTTCCTTTTGTGTTTAGCTGTATGAAGTGTAAGTGTTGAAAAAACATGATATCAGAGCTAATTGGACGAGCCGTAGATCGTAGGATGAGCACATTAATCATTCAAGAGGTCTCTGTGGTCATCCCGTGCACTTTTCACAACTTTCTGTGTAATGGATGTCATCCTGTGGCTCCGGATTAATTTCAAACCAAGAACTGAACTTTTCTAATTCCTCTTCATCTCAGACTGAATCATGTTACTGTCATTTCAATAGAATCTGCAGCTTTCCTTCCACAGAGGAGGTAGAGTAGGCAGTTGTGGACGGGCTTGATTGGCAGGTTAATTAGCGAGTCCTGAACTGACCTCCATTAGGGTCCTTTTGAGCTATATTGAGACCACCTATTTAATCTAAATTCATCATAAAGACCCTGTAAAAAAAACTGCTCTGGATGTTATATTCAATATTCTATGTCATCATCATCATCATCCAAAAACAAACACTCATAGATGTTGTGGCATCGTAAACATTTCCCCAGCACTAAGAAATTGGTTGCACGCACATTATCGAATCTTTTCCCGTCTCTCTACCAAAGACAGATCGTCATCGCTGATGTTTGAATTTTCTCTCTCCACAGGACAAAGTACGCACGGAGAGCTACCGCGACTTCATGTACCATAACCCCGAAGTGTTCGAAGACAAGGTGAGCCAGCTGGAAACATACAGCGGATGTGTCTGAATGTGTTTCTGCAGCATGAATGGGGGGGGAGCCGAGCCCATTCAGAGGAATAGGCGTGTTGTTGCATTTTGCAGGAAAGGCATTAATAAGGTGATGGTGTCTGATTTAAACCGCAGCACGACTTTATTAGCACCTCCAACGTCGACTGCAGAGCGCTGATAAGAGACACATGCAATCCACCGCCAAACCCATAACAGCCCTCCCTCACCCAGCCCCAAAAACCCTTCCAGCTCACCCCCCACTATTTCTTCACCATTGCTTTTAGTTGCAGGAAGCACTGGCCTGTATCATGACCATCCATTATATGGGCGGCTGCTGGTTAGTGCAGAAGAGGGAGGCAGGCTGCGTTGATGGGAACGTACATTATCCCTGTCAGAGCAAAACACACGCTAGAGAGGGAAGTGTCACCTTCTACAGGGAGAGCGAGATCGAGAACAGAGCAGGATCCTCTCGTTTCCGATCTGCCAAGACGGACTGAGAAGAAAGATGGAGAAGGGAGCGAGTTTGTCGAGTCAGCAGTGTGTCGGCGACCCCCCGTGAACCCATAAAGGCAGCGGGACGCGTACAGAGAAGTTAAAGTGGCCTTAAATAGAGAGGCGCATAAACAGAGTCACATATAGCCGGGGTGTTTAGCCATTGCAGCTGTGCTCACGGCCGTTAAACACCATTGGGGGCAAAGATGAACAAATTAACCGCAACCTATGGGAACCTGAAATAGAGGTGATTAAAAACTCAGTCGACAGCGACAAAAAGTTACTTGAGTGTCCTGAGGATTTAGAGGCACTTAAAGAAGTTGATATGATGAAGACTTTGGGCAAACTCAGCACGTCCAAACATTAAAGTGAATGGATTAACACAGAGAGTTTATTCCTTTGCATGAAAGCAGCTGGAGGTCACAGAGAAGAGATGAGGTCTGCACAATCCTTCAAAATAATCTCCACCCAGTGTGCGAGGCTTCCTGACAGGTGCTGCGTGTTATTTTTCTACTCTAAATCATGTAAATATCAAGCTGATTCTACAGTGTGAAGGTGTAAGGTGCGGTATTTCTCTTACCAACACTCCCAGCCCCACAGAGCTGAATACTAAGGCCATAACAGTCGTTGCAAACACTATTGTGGAGAAATCCACTTACCTGCTTCACTGCCACTTCATTGCAAAGAGTCTCAGTATGCAAGTGGGTCTTTTTTCCCCAGCAGGGACAATAAACAGACAGAAATTATCATCATGATTATAGTTCCCGCATTATTTGACTGTTTAAGTGAATAGTCTTAAAGATCCAAACGCAGACACGTGAAAAAGCGTCTGTGTCGGATGCATGATTACTTAAAACGTCCTGAGCTAATCTGAAATTTCTGACTCTGTGAAGAGGACGTCATCTCACTGCTTCCTCTCCTCTCTTGCTCTGCAGGTGGTGCTAGATGTCGGCTGCGGGACGGGGATACTGTCTATGTTTGCAGCCAGATCTGGGGCCAAGAAGGTCATAGCAGTGGACCAATCAGAGATCATCTATCAGGCCATGGACATAGTCAGGTGAGACTCGCCCTTAAAAAACAAAAACGAGTTTTTCTCAGGTTTAGATCAATCTGTCCCCCACAAATACTTCAAAGTTTAACATGCAGTTATTTTAAAAAGTTTTTGAACCTCGAGTAGAGATCTTTTTCCCCAAGACTTGGCCAAGTACAGCAATAATTCAAAGTTTCAACAACAAACTAATCAGACTTGTGTAATAGAACAAAAAAATCTATTGGATTAGTCAGCTAAAAGAGTTGCATACAGGGAGCCTGCTTTTCAAATGTATGATTCAGATACATTCAGATTGTTCCAGGTGGAAAGATGCAGAAGGTGAAGAATATCCTCAGTAGTCAGGATTAACAAATTGCACAACATCTAAGGAACAAAAGTTGTTGTGGTCCTGGAAAGACCACCCTAGGTATGATGGCAAAAACACAAAAAACAAACAGGATTTGGCAGACAAGTTCTGCCTCCTGTCTACAGTCCGATCATACTTTAACGCCACATGACCAGAGTATTGAGAATCAGCCACTCCAGAGGCTCTATGAATCAGACCTTCAGTATTAAAGAGGTCGGCCAACAGCTTTGTCCCACGTCTGCACCGCACAGTAAATATGAACTATTACCATCAAACCTGAAAGACAGGGTCCTCTGTTTTATTAAGGTCAGACTCCACAGCTCTTTGTACACCAGGCAGTCTGAAAATTAAAAGTCTGATCCCAGATTGAAGGTACACTAAAGAGCTTTAAAATTTTGTGATAAGGTCCTTACACACCGGGACCAACGCAAATATACGACAAGAAATTACAAAATATTCGGAGGCGAATTTTGACGCGCCTGACTATACACATCAAGCCTGATGTGATTTTGCGACTTTCCGGGGGGGAAATGACGTGTCCGGGGTGGAAGCAAGAAGACTGACACAACAGCAGACAGAGTGTTTTTCAGTTCTGATTAGACACTAGTGTTGAGATGACTGTCTGTCATGATAGCATGTACTGAGTCGGGGCCAGTACCAGATAAGCACATTAAACTATAATCCATAAACGTAAGGTAACAACAGAGACCTAATGGTGCTGTGACAGCAACGCGATTGAGTTTGAGACAGTGAAAATATGGTATGTTGTATCTGAACAGGTTAGCTTACAAGCTAAAGTTACTTAGCACAGATGAAAGTTAAAACAAAAGACGTTTAGCAAACTGTTAAAGCACACAAACCATCGTCATATGAGAAATCCGACGCTTTGACTCTCCACAAGTTGTCCTTCAGGTCGTTATCTTTGTAATGTTTGTGTCTTTTATCAAAAAGCACGCTGTTCTCCGACACGTAAACAATCAGCCTGTCGGCCATGTTGGATATACCGGTGAATCTGACGTCGCAGCAACACGAAACCTGATTAGTCAGAGGTAGAAGTGGAAACACAGTATGCAAAACTTTAGAACAATCGACCGTGATACAAAAAAATAAATGCCGCAGTATCACAGGATGGGAAAACATCGCTTGTATTGACAGGATACGTCCGAACGTCCGAAAGGACCTTCAGGGTGAATGTATACATCACTGTATCTTGAAAATTTCAAGCATCAGCCAATCAAGTCCTTGCAGCAGCAGATACTTTTTGCAAGCCTGTGTATTTTTGTCACCAAGAGGTGAGCGCACGCACAGGCCTCCTTCCCTTTATCCTGAAGCAGAGGATTGTGGGACTAGAGGTCTGCGTGACCTCCAGCCACCTCTTTATTTGTTGCAGCTGGTTGACTTCAATAGAGCTGCTGTCAGCGCCGTGGCCATAATGCACATAATTTACTCCTGCAGTCTGACTCATTCACCCCTCGCCTCTTCTCCGCTGCCGCAGCTTCAGCCCAAGGCCTGCAGCCACACACTCACAAACACACACATAAACACACAACCAAATATGTAGATGACCCCCTGATGGTACTTTTTAATACACTCCTCCGTCCAATTTCAGTTACTGTGCGTTTCAGCTCTCAGGAGGCCGGTCCTCTGCAGCGCTGTCATTTACCTCCACCAGAGCTTCCGCCGTCCCTCCGTCTACCTGCGACCACTTCCTCCATCGCACCCCTGCTTCAGAAATGCATTTTTGAGTTAGGGGCCATAATGACAGCTATTATTACCGTTATGTAAGAGAGTGTCGTATAAGCAAAACAACAGGGTTCGCTGAAGGAAAAGGACGTTTTAATTTTACAGCCCACTGACTCGCTGTCGGAGTGTGTGTTGGCATGCAAGCAGCGTCACAGGTTCGCCAGCGGTGAAGATTCAGCTGAAGGAAGATGCGTAGCGCCCTCCTGCTCCTACACACTCCATCATATACACACATACATTTCGAAACGCACACAGACTCCGCCCTCAGGTTGCTTTAAATCAACTGTTTGCTCTGGTTGTGACTCTAAAGCTCTTATTCCTCAGTATGTGTGCATGCCTGTATGCAGCCGGCCTTTGTGTGCCCATCACTTCCTCTTGCTGTTAATACCAGGATTGTAATTAAAGTGGCTCCTGTTGGTTAGGCAGCAGCATCCATCTCCTGTCTCCACTCTGTCGCCACCAGAGTTTAAATGAAAAGCTGGATGTGACTTCTTTCCTTCACAGTCACTTCCTTAATGGATAATGTCCAAATGGATTTTTTTTTTTTTTTAAATGGCTGGAATTGATGGATGATCGGAGAGAAGGCTTCGAATTGTGACAACAAAGTGGAAAAACTAAAAGATATTTTGACATAGATGAGTGAAATTAGAACTTTTGATGGTAATGCAAACTTAAGATTGACAAATCATGTATTTGGTATGTTAACTGGTATCAGTATCACCAATATTAAACATTAATGAAGGCTGCTGAAAAGCACTTAACCATCCCATATGGACGATTTTTAATTTATATCTTCATGTCACAGCTATTTTGAAAACTTAAAGTAACATTTAGTTTATAAAACGTACTTTTAATTCCATTTTTGTCATCAAAAAGTGAGCTTCATTCCACTCTGGTGAAGCCTAGTCAAGTGCTGGTTTGATTAGAATAGTCTTCCCAATTTAAGACAAGTGACTGGTAGGCGTGGAAGGCATACCACGCAGGGAGCAGTGGCAAAACTCTGTGGTGTTAGAGAGAGCTACACAGCTGCACAAAGACTGTACATTGCTGAACCCAAAAGAAGTCTTTCCACAGGACACAGTTCAGGCTTTTGCACTTTTCTGGACACCCTCAAAAACAGAGTCCAACTCATTTACATCTGCGTCTCAAACACCAGATTTATTGTTATTTCTGATTGGTCAGAACTCCACAGCAGCAGTCTTTAAATTCTTGATAGCACCCTGTTGCCATAATGAGAACGCTGTTGCTAGGGATGCAGCTTAAGAGGACACAGTTCAGGCTTTTCCCAACTTTCTGGGTGACCTCAAAAACAGAGTCCAACTCATTTACATCTGCGTCTCAAACACCAGATTTATTGTCATTTCTGATTGGTCAGAACTCCACAGCAGCAGTCTTTAAATTCTTGATAACATACCATTGCCATGAAAAGCACGCTGTTGCTAAGGGTGCAGCTTTGATCGAAAACTCGGGAGGACTTACTGAAGGGAGGCTACAGGGTTAACAGTTACTAATGCACACATCTTAAACTGTGAACATAACAGAATATTTTTAATGGCAGAAATATTACCGTTTTTAATTAACGACGTAATTGAAGTTCAATATTAGATGTAAAATTGTTGATTAACTGAGTGAGCAGCTGTGTAACAAACTCAATAACAATCAGATTGAACCGCTTTAGGGTCTGCTCACTCTGTTAAGGCTCCAATTAGCCATATTAATATTTGATTGATTTAATTTTATTACAAACGTGATATAAAAAAAAACACAACCACTGCACAGAAAATATAATTTCCAGAAATATGAAGAACAGTGCATGGTTGATGGTTCTGTTGACACATTCAGAAAGGAGTGAAAAGAAGCACACACATCAAACCCACCTCCATAAGTCATCGTTAAATCATCAAACTTTGTTGACAAAAAACACGACTTTCTAAGAGTTTTTTTTTCTAAACTTGTTTTTAACATCACTTCACACTGTATATAAGATTCAAACACAAGTAATTTTTAAATGCGCTTGATCTATAAAACACTAGAAAGCCTAATGACAGGCGTAAAAGGGGTCAATAGCTTCAATTAATGCAAGCGTATTTAAAAACTGCTTGATTAATGGACTATGAGGTTTCTGCCTGGCAGCATCATTATATAGTATGTGCCGTACGTTAGATGTATGTTCATATTTCATGTATGTGTGTCTACACCCACATACCAAAAGGAAAAAACCTTCAAATTTGCACTCATGAATAAAAACAAAACTTAACGAATAAACGGTCTGTAAACACCCAATGATGATATATTTATGCCTCTTTTTGAACTGTTTTGTGTCAGACATGCCTTCATCGCCTCTTTTAAACTGTTTGTGTGCACATGAACAGTTTTTAGATTAAAAAATCTTCTTAAATTAAATCTTCCTTTTTTTCAAATCTCTCAGGATACATCAAGCCTTACATAATTGACATTAAAAACCCCAATCACAGGAGACGGCAGTTATTTAAGAGCATTGTTTTTTGCTTTAAAAAGTGCATCCCCTTTCCCTCTGTCTCCCCTGTATTCACAAACACACACACTCTCTCTCACACACTCACACACAAAGCTGCACAGATACTGACTCTCTCCCTAGAGTCTTGACATTGTCCTCTAAATTACCCCAATAATGAGATTACAGTGTTTCCCTCTTGTGAAAGGTGGAGGAGGTGGGAGGTGTTGGGGGGTGGCGGGTGCAGGGTGGGGGTGGTTGGATTCTGGGAGGAGGCGATAGCAGCTTTAGCAGAGCAGCAGAGAGGGGAGAGACAGTTCAAGATAAGGATCGCTGCCACAGAAATGCACTCTGGGCCGCTGTGAGTAATTGTTCTGTCCTCGGTAACATTAGCTGTCATGATAATGGAATATTCACAGAGATTGATACCCGGACTGGCCGGTCTGAAAGGAGGGATCATTTAAACAGAAGCACCCATCGTACAGTCCCCTACCTGAGCCTGACACCTCTGCAGGCCTGTGCTTACAGCTTACCCTTCCTCACTCTTCCCTCACGAATGAAATACAGCAAGAAAGGAAAAAAAAACTTGTTTTTATAAATCTACACAGCTTTAAAAATTGACAAAAAGGTTTCCCCAGAAACTGTTCGGGTTTGTAATTTGCTTTTAAAGGTTGTTGGTGATGATGACGTGACTGATACTCCCAGTGACTTTGAAGCACAGTGAGTGATTTTACCTAAACGCTCTAAAGTCGAGACATGACTCTGCAGTTCCCTCAAACTTTACTCCAAGTTTTAAGAGTCTTTCAGCTCATTGCTCTGGTGTTACAACCTGCAGCTTCACCATTTTAGGATAGCTATGATTATGATTCAAGAGATGGACATGGTTGGCTATTCTGTCAACTTTAAGCACCTATAATTTAGTTTCCTGTAGTGTTTGGCAATGCTGTGTTTAAAAATGTAAATGTAAGATGTTTTAACTTAACCTTCATAATAAAACAGTGAAGAATAATTTGGTTTGGTTATGTTTAGGTGAACTGAAGAGTAGTAGCCTTGCTGCTGCTTTTGGGATCACTTGCATGCAGGGAGGATATTGCGAGTCTGTACGAAGAGTTGTGTTGAATGTTCTGTCAGGTAGGGTTCGGGTTGATGCTGTAGAGGGTAAATAAACATGACCCAGCAATCGAGGCCACATGAACCTCAGGGGTTAGCTTGTCATCAATCATGACACCCAGATTCCAGGGGGACTTAGTGAGCATGGATTAATTTGATCCAATCTGAACACGCTTTGCAAAACAAGCTAGTCAGTGCCACCCAAATTAGTCTCTGTACATTTCTCTGAGTATTGCAGCTTCTGTCTGACTTATTTCTACCTTCAGTAATCACCAGTTTTAGGTTTTAATTTTTAAAATTGTGCTGTGTTTTCAAGTCTCCTGCATTTTTTCCAACAGAGCAAACAAACTGGAGGACAAAATCACGTTGATAAAAGGCCGCATAGAAGACATCAACCTCCCTGTGGAGAAGGTGGACATCATCATCTCCGAGTGGATGGTCAGTACATCTTTGACACTTGTAAAACCATCAAAAGCTGTTTGATTGTAGGAGTACTATTGTGTTTAAAATCAGCAACACTGTTTTATTAAGGAGTGGATAAGTGTGATTGTTGATCTTAAAGCCACTACTTCCTCATGTATGGGACGAAACAAGAAAGAAATAACAGGTACTGCTTTGTCCACAAGGGGGCACCAAAATCAAAGTAAAACAAAAGTTCCTCACAGGAGCTTTAAGTAGGTTCAAAATCCAAACCATTTGGAACAATTTTCAGTTTAGAAACATCAAAATAATCCCAAATGAAGTGTGGAGAGTGGTATAAATAAATCTCATGTTATTTAGGGTACTTCAGATACATTCACTCTAGCTCACCTATCCATTCAGCGCATCTCACTCAAGTCTGTCATGAAAATTTTAAGTTTAAATACCTGGTGTGTTGCATTGCCTACATCCTCTGTAGTCTAGAATAAGGGAGCGATACAAGGGGTCGTCAAATAAGTCTCTCTTTTTTTTTGGCATTTGTGTGTGGAGAGAGAGTGGAGGATGATAATCCAGCAGGGGGACTTAGGGTTAGAACTGCCGCCTCTCTACATGGTATGGCAACTTTTAGAGGTTTAAGAAATGAGCACCAACACACCAGACTGGTTGTATTTTATCTGTCTTCACCATTTGACAAGTGTTTTCACACAGAGAATTCAGAGTAGGTGTGTCTGCAAAAGAGCTGCATATTCCACCCAACAGTAAGACACTGTAAATACACGTCCTTTATATAAATGTAGATGCATTATCCTAGACTGAATCCAGTGCGCATGTTTAAACATGTCTAAAAGGGCTAAATGTGACCATGAGCTTCTCTGGATATCTAACCAGGTAGAGCAGTCCTTCTGCCTCCTGATACCCATTTATCAGGGAGATTCTCAGTGGCGATACAGGCAAGATGGCCAAAGTTGAATGCACTGCAGAAGTCATCCCTAATTCATGAGCATCCCGTATCTGTCCCCCCTCCACCCCCCCAACATCCATCGTGAAACCCCAGGGTCACGAGCAGGGGTCGCCAGCCACAGCCTTCCCATCCTCTCAGCAGGGAAATTGAAATTCGATGGTTGACGTGTCGGTGGAACGGTGAGGGATCGGGGGCGTAATCTCTGATGACACCGGCTCACAGGGCGCTAATAAATCTAAGAATTCTTCAGTCACTTCTCATCATGGGCAGCAATGGCAGACATTTCTCACAGTGACCAGATCCTCAGAATCTTCCCTCCAAACTGCCTGAATAAAACGGAAAAATGACAGTTGTCACAGGAGAAGACTTTCCCTCGCAGTGTAAATGGCTTTAGACTGTATTAAACTTTAATGGCTTTGTCTTATAGCCAGGTGGTGTCCTCTTATCTCAGAGACACTCTGGGAAGTCATCACTTCAGAGTGTAACTTTTCACTTTTATATTTTTTACTTCAGATGTTATATTTCCCTCTTCTTTAAGTACACTTTAAAAAGCTATTAAAAGTAAACCATTAAAAGTATTTGTTAAAGAAAATGACAAAATTATGAAATATAAAGTTTAAATAAGTACAGTAGACATAATGCACAATGTAACAGGCACTGTATTGGCATTAAGGGGGCTTTCACACCTACGCCGTTTGGGCCGGACTTTCTGACTTTCCTGTTTAGTCCGAACCAAAATGATAGGTGTGAAACCTCCTCAGGACCTTGGTCCGGACAGAAAGTGGTGGTCTTGGCCCGGACCAAACTGAACCACGGTCTGGTTCATGCCCAGTGTGAAAGCATTATTTTGAAAGGTTCGGACCTTCGTACCAAAGACAGGAAATGATTCGAAGAGTACAAGTGTTCATTATTATGCTGGTAGAGATTGTCCAATAACAGGAAATTTTACTATATTGTAAATTCCTCACAATTTACAGCTCATCTTTTCAACAGTTTTACTACACATACTTTTCCCTCTAGGGTCGGTGTTGCAGTGGCTCGCAGGATAGTATTCTTTCTTTTCCTTTACTGTCATTGACAATTAAGTTGTCGTCTAATGATAAAATTCACAAGACAAACTCAGACCAGCCTCATGTACAGCTTTTAAAGTCATCGCTGTTGGTAGTTAAAATTCAACAATAATGTGGTGGGGGGGAATGACAATTTTATTCTTGTTTACAATTCAAGACCCGCGTTATTCAACGTGTTTGACGTCAGACGCCCACCAGCCAAACGACCAATCAGTGTAAACTACAGAGACAGCAAAGCACGTAGTTAATGACGATATCATGTAGGTTCGTCATGTAAAGTCTGTTAGTCTGTTTGTAATAATGACAGTGAGAAACCTAAACAGACCGAACCAAAATGTATACAGTCAAACGAAATCACTGACTTTGGTCCAGACTTTCAGGTGTGAAAACACCCTAATTTAACATTGGAAGTCCACACAGCATTGTTAACATTACTGTAATAGTAACAGGCTCTGGGCTAGGAGGGAGTCCATATCAGGTACAGGTGCGAGAGTGCCCATACCTGCTCCTCACAAGCGTCATCAATGAGGCTAGCAGAGTAAAAACCTCACGGAAAACAAGTCCTGCTCTTTAAAAGTATAAAACTATTACGCACAAAAGTTTTAAAGTAATTAGTAATCTGTAAAAGCAGCAAACAAAGAACACAGAAACATCAAAACGCTGTACTTCTGTGACTTTGATACCTTGGCTTTGACATAGTTTAATGGATGACTCTTGAGTTTTCTGACCCTGCTTAAAATACATGCACAAACACATCCACGCTGGCCCAGACAAAACTGGCCAAATTTAGGTCAAAGCTACAACTGCTCAGGGATGCAGGAGAGGGAATACTGTAACTAAGAATAGATTATCATCCAGCAGTTTGTCCTGCACAGAGTATCCACATGCTCGGTATGCCTCTAGTTTGTACAAACTCGATGACATAAAAAGGAAAAGGTCAGAGTGAAAAAGTGAAACAGACAACTGGGCTAAAAACGCGGAGTGCCTTTCACGCTGTTGGACTCTACTTTGTCGAGGCAGAAAGAAATAGTAGCAGTCTAGTGAGTCTGTTGTCACTGAACAATGTAATTAATCTGGAACGTAGAATTAATAAGCCCTCCGCTCCATGCTCTCTGCATCTCCTTGGGCTTTCTGTTGAAATAAATGTGTTATTTCTGTAAAAGATGTAAAAGGAGAACTACTTTCATCAGTCACCGCTGGTGTTGTGATTGAAAATGCAGTTCTTCGGTCTGGAAAGTAGTCCAGACTTTGTTAAAAATATTCAATAAGGAAAGTTTTGGCTTATGTTAGGAAAGACTGGAGTATTATACCGTATCATTCTGAAAGTAGAAAGTAACAGAGAAAACAGATGAACTGCTTACATTAGAGATGCTGTACTACACAACTTATTAGGGCTGAACGATCTTGTAAAATAATCTAAATGTGATTTTTTTTGTTTCGGCTGTTTCAAAATAAGAGGATTTAACAGAATAACTTGAATTTCTATTGTAAATAAATTAAATCTGTTTAACATCAGAACTAAGCTTGGATTGGCTGCTTGTTTTTATCATGCAGTACTGAAGACACTCATGTAGGATGAAGATGGGATAAGAGTGGGTCTGATCTGACAAGATGGGACTCGATCTTATCCCTTTAGGTTGATGTTGGTTCTCGTTTTATTGATTGATTGAAAACCACAGTATTCTTCTACATATCAAAAACAGATAACTGTCAATTAGAGATGTAATGGAAGAGAAACAAACGATGATATCAGTGAAGTCCAGCTGTCAGAGTTGTTGAACCGGGTGGACGGACAGCGGTTTCAGGGCTCATAGACTGAGATGACTGATGGAGGTGGTGTTTCTGTGCTGTTGCTGCTGCTGGTGGAGGAGAAGAGGGCAAATAGGAGTCTGTCTGCTATGGCAGAGTTTGAGAGACTGCCTTCAGCTGAACCTCTGTCATTTCATAACTCACAACATTGATCGGTCCTCTCTCTCAGCACACAGGAAAACAAACAGAGCAGATAAGAGGCTGGAGGGGGTGATGGGGGCGAGGAGAGCTCAGTTTCCCAAAGGCTGAATAAAGATTGTCACTCTGAGATCAATCTCAGGTGATAGGCCTGCTGGCTTGATGGTGTTTAATGGATCGGACATTTAATTCGGACATGAGAGTAGACGGAGACAGAGAGTAAACTTTTGTTAAATAGTACAAGAGGAGGTTTTAATAACTGAAACTTGAAAACCGACGAAGAGCCGGGTTTAACATCTCCCCTATAAGGTTTTCTTTAAGGCCACGTCCCTCAGGGGGGTAAGGTTTGACTGCAGAATAACTGGCAGCATACAAATACACACACCCACAAAGTCTGGATCATTGTGTGTGGTGTTGATGTGAAGTGAAATTACTGGCAGCTCTTCCTCTTTAGCCTCATTATCAGTGCCGAGAGACTCAACTGCCCAAAAAGAGCGCGGTAGTCATCAGTCATCCTGTCCTTCAGTCTGACTGACTGTCAGTCACACACAAACACACAAACAGAGGCTGGTGTCCACACACACACACAAACACACACACACACACACACACACACACACACACACACACACACACACACACACACACACACACACAAACACACACACAGAGTGACAGTGCCACAGGTGTGTCCCAGATCTAATGAGGATTTATCGGCTTTATTCACTTCCAAAGACCTTCAGGAAGTCGTTTTAAACCAGCTGAGTGTGAAAAAATACGCCTGATGAAATGATCCTGATTGGTCTGTTTTGATTGTTTGGTGTGAATCAGATATGTTGATGTATCAGAACAGAATAAATGTGAATTCATTATTTCACACAGGTACAGAGGAGGTGCACCGAGTTGTGTGTGTTGCTCCTGGTGTCAGCTTTACAGAATACAAAGAGTAACAGGAGACTGAAGGAGATAAAATCAGAGTAGGATCACAAAAATACACAAAACTATAAAATAATTCATAACCTGAATTTGTCCATCTGTAAAAGTTTAGTTTAATAATTTCATCTTATTAGTTACAGCACCTTTTATTTACAGGCTTATTAACTATTTAATGATCTGTATTTCTAAATAAATCACATATCTAACCTATTTCCTTTTGCTTTAATGCATTAAAACATGTTTTCCTCTTTCACAGTGCTATATTTTATTCTTATCACAGATAAAACAATATTTATCAACCCAGAACCAGAGCCAGAGATTTGTGTCCAGTTTCAATTTCAGCAACCAACCATCTCCACCAACTCTCTGCATTCAGGTTTTTTTTTTCCCTATTCTCGTGCCGACTGAAGCATAGACATATGGCCATACAGGCAGCCATTTACTTTATGCAGGGAGGCACAAAAAGACCCACAATGCAGTTCAGTTTAGCGCCATATACTGGATGTGTCTAAAAAGTAATGTTGCATTTCTTTCATTTGGCCAAAACATCAGAGCAGGAAGTGTTACTGCTCACTGAGTTGAATAAATGCTGCATGCAGAACAAGAACCTGACAGTCAGTCGGATGTGTCCCTCAAACCGCCGTCCTCATAAACTCAAAACCATAACCCTGCATTGCTCAGATGACATTGTTTTTGTGGAGAGAAAAAAAATGGCTTCCTCGTTCCCTCAAAATGATGAATTTGATAACAGCCCGTGAATGCTTGGACAAGTACCTGAGCAAAGACGAGTATATTAGGGGTTTTATAGTGTACTGTATGTGTGAATCCACAGCTGTAACTTTTTATTTTGCAAAGGCGCTCAAAGGCAAACACTGTTTTATGGTCATGCTGCTGACCTCTTCTCTGAAAAAGCCAAAGTAAAATGATTTCACGGGAAGGTGCCTTTCTGAAAGTCCAATCAATACAAAGTTGATTTATCCTCCTTAGTTTTCCGACAAGATTACCGGGCCGTGGATAATGTATAGTGAACATGCAGTTATGCTTATTAGAGTCCAAACAGGGAAAGCTTTAGAAGGTGAGTGGATTTTGTCTTACTTTGAGGGGATTATAATCTGCAGATCTACCTGTTCACTACACATTATCCTGCTTATTACTCAGCTACCTGCTAAAGACACGAACAAGTTGATACATGAAGGATCTGAAGGTGGTATTACTATCTTAAAACGGAGTAATTCTCAGCCTACGGGTAATAAAAGAAGCCCCACTACTTTTATAGTCGGTTGATCTAGGGCTGGGCGATGAACCGGAAATTTATCGATACCGAAATTTACGACAATAACCGATGTAACATTGCCCATATTGGTATATTTGGTGTCAAAAAAATAAATAAATCAAAGTTCGTTTTGGATGTGTGTAGGTAGGCTATGGTCCCTTTAAGACACTGTCCTACGTCAATGACGTGACTCCACCCCATCCAGTCTGTAACAAAGAAGGAAAGACAGGTGAGGAGATGGAGGACGGTTCAAAAGTTGCAGCAGCTGAAGTAGACAAAGTTAATGTGTGAGGGGGTGAGCAGCTTGTGGTTATCGTCTATTTATTGTTATTGAGGTGAACTGATCAATATATCATGATATTGATTTGAGGCCGTATCGCCCAGCCCTAGGTTGAGCTTCCATGGCATTAAATTCTGATCAGCCTTCCTGCAGGACAAATTCACAATAAACAACATTTCTTTCAATGCTTAGTGCCAACCTTAAATTTCTATTTGGGAGTCAGATGTTAAGTGGGATTATAAACAGTTGATAGAGTCTCTTCAAGGTGGTGAAAACCCCTCAGCTTTGGATCAGGGTCTGACTAACCCTAACTAACTTAACATTGTCCCTTAATGTGATCCATAGTATAGGATGAAAAAAATACACGCTTTGTGCTTAGTTTAGCCTCACACTACACCAATTTGACATCATCACGTAACTTCTTGCGCTCAGTAATTAAAAGGCCATGTACTTTAAAATTCCTCATGTCGTAAAGTAATTTGTATAGTTAGACAAAACATTTTCCTCTTAATATACCGTAACCTCTTTTTAAATTTACACTATGTCTCTATAATTGATTTCCGAACATCCGGCACTCCTTCTAACCTTGCAGCTGCTCCACCATCTAACCCCTCCATCTCTCATTTGCATGCCTTTAAATAGAAATACGGCTGATACTGGAGCCTTCACAATGTACACTCATGGAGCGTAAACACACCACAATCTATTACACGGATGTTTGTGATATGTTTATGCTAATTCTCATATCATCTGACCATGGACCGGGCTTGTTGATGTAAGGTTCTGCCTTGAGTGTTAAGCGAAGCATGGAGGTAGAGCCACACACACACACACACACCCATTCAGAAACACACATACACATCCAAGCGTGCACACCATCTCCTTTATTTTGCCTCAGCCCTCCTGGGACTGGAAGTGATGATGATCTGCAGTAATTGAGGAAGACGTATGTAGAATGCAGAAAGAGAGAGGAGAGACTGGAGGGTGGAGGAGAGTACAAACTGCTGATGCAGATTTTGTACCAAAATGCCTCCTGGTACCCATTACTACTGACTGCCACCGATTCCCCAAGGGTCGGTATGCATGGAAATCTGTGAATTGTAACCCAGATAACCTTTTTGTACTTTTTTAATGCAAACAAGAGATAGGAGAGCAGCTGCAGAGTTAGCAGATGAAAAATCTCAGCAGTTTTGTGGTAAAATACTCCGTCTTCATAGCATTAATGTAAAGTTATAATCAGACAAAACTCCTTTAAAAAGGTTAAATTCTTGGCGTCAGTAACACAGTTGTAAAACGGTATTTGCCGTACTTGTGTATAAGTAAATGTGCATGTGTGTCAGTGTGTGGTTACTCAGGGCCATGTGTTTTATATGCTAATTTTGTTAATGTGTATAAGCTGCTCCATCCCATTCTCATTAGGATTTCATTAGTCTCTTTTATGGAAATGCACAGCGCCTATACTGCAGTGCATCTCCTGCACCATCCCGGCAGTAAACTGAGCTGTTTCCTCGACTCCTCTGCTCGTTTTTGTCACTGAGCTCATGGACAGAAATATCTTCTGGGAAAATTGTGCCAGAAAAAAGGAGAAATCAGGGTGATTTCAGATGAAATCTTGTTTTTTGTAATGCAGGTGTGTTTGGGGTATTTGAGTGCGTGGTTATATGAACTAGCTCCTCTTTTTTTTCTATTCATGTCAAAGTCTCAACATTGACCTGCTTTACAACCACAAATCACCTTAAACTAACAATTTAATTTACGATAAAGTCTGAACTGTGTTTGTCAAGGGCTGCACGATTTTGGCCAAAAATGATCTCCTGATTTTTTTCTCTGAAAACTCGATTTTCAGTTTCAGTTTCAATTTTTTGAGTAACTTGAAAACGATGTAGTGTGTATGCCAACTCAGTAAGTGGACAGAAGACAGAAGAAGAGTACAGAGCATGTGTACAAAGGTTGTTTTGGCTGGACACGCGCAGGCGCCATAAAAGAGTTTTGCTGTGTGTCACATGATCGTTTCCAGAGATGCAGACAGACATCCACACTGAGATGGAATGGTAGTCGTTTATGAATTTATGCACTCTCTGACCTGTTTTCAAAAAGTACCGTTTACAGTCACCCGAAACGACAAAAAACCTTTTCCTCCTGAATTCGTTTCCGTGTGGACGGATTGATACCGCCTTCAGACAGACTTTGCAGCGGGGAGTGGTTTGCTCTTCATCCGAAACTGTGAAGCCGTACCAATTCAACACGGCTGACTTGCTCTTGTCCTATTTAACCACGAAATTATCGCCTTCTTTTGCAAACGCCATGTTTGTTTACACTGGTGTGTGTGGGAACTGTGGAGCGCTCCCGCAGGGAGGGGGAGCCTACGGTGGCCTGAAGGCGCGAGACATGATAGAGAGGAAAATCGACTTGACGATTTTAATTTTTTTAACATCATCATAATCAAATAATATGATTCCGATTTAAAATTGGTCGGTCATTCACCCTTACGTTTTTCTAGTGGCGGTGGTGAAGTGAATGCTGAAGCAAAGGCTCGCAGGTTTTTTGGAAGGAGCAGCCAAAAGACTCAAAAGTTCTGAAAATGGTACGGTGCCCCGCGATCTGTGAAGCCCATGGGATAAAGGGTTGCAAGCAAAACTGCAGTTAACATGAAATCCATTCATTTTGAGTGCAAGAGCTTGACTCAACTTTTGAGGTTTGGAGCGTCAGAGCTGCCGAGTTAAAAACGTTAATTTTAAGCCTTTGGTCTCGACAGTGTTCTGTAGAGTTACAGCTTCAAAAAGTGATGGATTTGGTTAAAAGTTAATGTTCTAAATCTTTCCCATAATGAAACTTTATGTTTTTGTCACTTAATCCAAACTCTGACTGACCTCGAGGATGCCCTTTAAAGCAAAAGTCCAACTCTCCAGCTCTTTGTCATACCACAGAGTGGACGTAACTGAAAATTAAAGTCGACGTCGAGTTGTCTGTGCACTGATCTTTAAGAAGTGAATGATGTTACAGCTTCAAACTTCTGCTTCATCCGGTTTGAGGCACAAATTCCCTTCATCACATCACATACTCACAGATTTGTGACACTGCTGTCTTGTTACTCGTGTCTTGTGTATGGTAATTAAGATTGCAGATGTATAAATTAGGGGGTGTGGTACATGCAGCTGTGAGGACATGAGAGGCAGCAGGAAAGGGGGGGCAATAATCCCAGAGCATTGTTGACGATAAAAGTAAGGTGTGACTCTGCTCACAGGCATCTCTCCCGCTCTCATATCCTCTTTCCTTCAAGTGAAGCAGTGTCCCGTGAAATTGGGATCTAAATTACGAGGCCGGTGTACTCTTTGCGGCGAGGGTTTTAAAAACGACCTGCTCTGCCGCTAAGGACATTGGCAGGACCACGACAGTCAGCAGCAGACCATCCGTGGGCCTGACTTTGGTTGGGGACCGGTCCACAGTGGATTAATGAAGGAAATGTTTCCTGTTATCGCCCCACTGAGGATGACTCTGTTATATCAGCTTCATCACTGTCATCATTATCAGCTCAGGTCCATGACAAAGATGGCGATGATTTTGGAGTTGGAGTTATAAATCAGGGCTGCTCCCCGTTTTTGTCCGCCGCCAGCTCTTCTCCCGTCTTTCCAATAAAAGCTTGACTTTATTTGAATAATAAGGCGCTTATCTCTGCGCATTACTATTCCACTGGCCACTGCATTCTCTCTATATCACTCTACGTCGCTCCTCCCTCCTCCTCCTCCTCTCCACTTTCTCTTCATCATACACACATCCTTTCATTCTGTCTTTATCTTCAGTCCCGGCCCTCACCTCTCCTTGTCCCTCTCTCTCTCTCTGCACTAGAGAAAGGGGATAAATTGGATTCCTAAACGTAACTGAGGGCATTTTGTGGTCTCTTTTTCCCGTCATACCTTCGAGTTCAAACTACAAATTTCTTAAATTGCTTCTGCAGGGAAAAAACAATGCAAGAGTTTTTCTTTCAGTTGTGACTTTTATGACTCGTCCTTAAAATAAGTCAGTCTGTTGACATTTTAACTCGTATTATTTACAAACTATAAACAAATCGCTCTTAAAGTGGTTTTAATATATGTTTAAGACAGCTCGATGCCTCAAGCATGAGCGTAATGTAGTTTTCCTTTTACCTGAAGTGGCCTTTTCCTATTTTTATTGTGAAAATATTTCCTTACCGAAGCCGTCAGTTTGATCTCTTCATATAAAATGTGACTGTGAATAGAGGTGGCAGAGCTGGGGGGAAATATAACAGAGCTGCAGACTAGCAGACATTATATCCTGCCATTTGAAACGAGCAGCTGTAACGCGGGTTCATTATTTAATGTTTGCCCAAACTGTATAATCAAAAATCTAGCACTGTCAAATGGCTAATGTATGGTGAGCCTGTTGTTTTAGGAGAGGAAACCTTTAATTCTGTGCTGAATGACTAATTTAGCCGTGGGAATAGTTTCTGTAGCATTGGTCTCTAAACAGAAGTTTGCCACATTTTGAACGCTGTCTTAACCTGACTTTTAATCAATGAGGCACATGCAGGAAGGAGATGGTGGTAGGCCTTTAGCCTCCGAACCAATAGCTAAGATGAACCCACCACTTCATTAGTTTAGCTGTATCCTTAATTATGCAAATTTACGCAGAAAACTTATATTGATGAAATCAAAGGATACATTTTTGGAACCAAACTTACAGCCTGTATGAACAAATAAACAAGTTGCATGCCAAAACCTACAGAAGCGTAATGCATTCACTTCCAGAAAAAAAAGAAAAAGAAAAGAAACTGTCTTTTTTTATATATATATTTTTTCCCATCTTTCTGTTTTTCAAATTTTTTCTGTCTTTCTGTTTTTCGGGCTATATTTTTTTTTCCTGACTAAGCAAGATACTTCAAAATCCTGCGAGAATCTCAGACAATCAGATACCAGCAGCTGCTCCAAATCAGCAGATTCTCCAGCTCCTAGATAGCTTCGACTAAGGGGTCATTGAGAGTAAAGCATGTGATTAGTTACAAATACAAATCCTGAGGTGCCTGTGCAAAGTAGACAAACTTATGATGATTCCATCTATCTAACTTCAAGAAAGGAGGATCTCTCAGTGTCTCAAACCCAAAAGGAAGTAAAACCTGATTAAACTAAACAAGTGGGCCATGTTTGCTTCTGATAAATCGAGCAGAGGGGGATGAAAGTGTCTGTTTTTAAATGATCATGATCCCAGAGAATAGGAAAAACAATTAATCGGACAAACAAAAGAAAAAAAGAATAGTCTGAAAAACAGAAAAATTAGTCTGAAAAACAGAAAAATTAGTCTGAAAAACAGGGGGGAAAATATGTAGAAAAACAGAAAAGAAAAACATTTCTCTGAAAAACAGAAAAAAAATATTCCAAAGTACAGAGCTTTTTTCTTTTTTGGTGAATGTAGTGCGCTCATGTACAAACCAGTTTGATTTTGCTGTTAAAACGAACAATTTACCATAAGACCTCATTTCTTTCTCCTGTTTCCTAAAACTCAAACCCGTCAGATCTGATGGGTGTTTTTTTGTCCCTTGAGGACTCTGTCACTGATGTCACTTCAGGTACGGTCTTGGCTCCACCTTCATATCCCAGATGGAAATAAGCCCTCCCATATGTCTGAACCCGCCCTGATGTTGTGCCTAGAAACTCCATATTGAAGGGGCCAGAACTGGAACTGGGGCTTGTCTGATTGGTAGTTCTGCTCGGTGGAGGGGTAGGAGGCGGAAAAAGCCATTTGTCAGCACTATCTGCCACTCAGGACGAAGCCAACAAGATGTGGACGAAACTCAATTTCAGCATTAATGGAATAATATCACGGTTAATGTGCCGCCTGCTGGAGCAGAACTGCAGGTCATCCCAGGGTCAAACCTTGGGATGCTGTGAGGCCGACCACGTGGGCTTGTCTCTCGAGTCAGTCACGGCTAATTCAGATTTCCATCGTAGTGATGTTAAATTAAAAAATAATTACATTTTCCCACGGTCCTGTAGTCTCCTCTTGCATGCCGTGATTACCTGCGTTGAACTGTCAAAGAAACCAGGAGATGCTGCTTTTGTCCTTGGTTTCTCAGCTCTGTAAACTTTCTCCAGAAGACACAGGAAACACTAACATGTGTTTCCTCTCTCCTCAGGGTTACTTCCTGCTGTTTGAGTCCATGTTGGACTCTGTTCTGTATGCCAGAGACCTCTACTTGGCTGACAATGGCTCAGGTAGGACATGTCTTCTCTTCACTATGACTCAAGTTTAGGTGCAGAAGGTTTTTACTCCACTTTTAAACTGAGGATCGAGGAAGAAGAAGAAGCAGCAGCTGTGAGTTAGCAGCAGTAGCCTTCTGAGAGATGATTTGGCACTTTTAAATCTGATGTTTAAGATTTATTGTGAATCCAAAAACACTGTTAGAGCTTCAGGTTACTAATCAATCGAACATTTATATTTTTCGCTGCTTCAATTCCCAGTTAAAGTAAAGATTTTTTGATCTGGTTGTCAGAATCAGGACAGCCCTTGTTTTGAACTAAGTCAGATTCTGTTTGCTAAATATGCCAAACTCCATCGCTATCAATTTGAATACTCCTCATTAATATTGATTAATAAGGCCTATTTTTGTTGGTCTCTATAAGCTAATATGAAGTGTAGGTTGCTCTGAGCTGCTCTTACTAACTCTAAACCTGCTGCTCATTTATTAAAAACTAATAGAGGTTGAATATTGGATTTACTTCCTTATACTGTCTCTTAGCTACGTTGGTCTTGAGGGGCAAAAGACAACTGCAAATCAGAAAACACAGAAACAGAAGTGAAAACACAACACAAAAATGGTTAACACAATGGTGAAAGAGAAAAACACAACAGCAAAAGAGAAAACACAACAGCAAAAGAGAAAACACAACGGCAAAAGAGAAAACACAACAGCAAAAGAGAAAACACAAAAATGAAAGAGAAAACGCAACAGCCAATCAGAAAAAAAAACAATCCAAAAAGAGAAAACACAATGGCAAATCAGAAAATACAACACAAAAAAAGAAAAAAAAATGGCAAATTAGAAAACACAACGGCAAAAGAGAAAACACTAAAACAGAAGAGAAAACACACAAACAACACAAAAAGAGAAAACACAACAACAATAGATAAACACAACACAAAAAGGAGAAAACAACGGCAAAAGAGAAAAACACAACGGCAAATCAGAAAACACAACACGAAAACAAAAGAGAAAACACAATGAAGAAAGAGAAAACACCCAAACAGAAGAGAAAATACAACGGCAAAAGAGAAAACACAACAGCAAATCAGAAAAAATAACACAAAAATAGAAAACACAACGACAATAGAGAAAACACAACGGCATTAAACAAACTGTAAAACGTTGGTACACTCTTGTTGTGTTTTGTTTTCTGTTTAGCTGTTGTGTTTTGCACCTCAGGGCCACCGTACTTATCTACTTGACTTTGTTTTCTTGTCTTTGTCATGACGCGTTTTTGGCGTGTTAAAGTCTGAACGGTCATCTTTCCAGTCTTAAAGCAGGCAGGACATCAAGCTTCTCTCTCCAAATCTATCGACATTTTAACTCTTAAGTTACATTTCTGGATTTATGAAAGCCGTGAAAAAAATGTCTTACTGGTTTCAACTCCATTGAGGGCTGTCCTTGCAGCGTTGAGCGTGAGTGGGTCAGTGTTGTGTGAAACTGGGGTCAGATAGGCTGAATTTCATCCGTGAGCAGGGACAGAGTTTTCATGATGGCCCCCTGTGGTTACTACAAGTAACACATCTGGAAATGATGGGAGCGCCTGTCATGTGTTTCCCAGAGGATGTGTGAAATTGTGCTCATGTCAACACAGTTAACACGAATATTTCATAACTATACTGTGTAAATAATGGACAAGCTTTATAATGCTGCGTGAAAATTGAAGGAAGAGGTGTTTTATACTTAAAACAATTCTTGGGTACAAAAAAGGCCCTGTTCTTTGGGGATTTTCCTTTGTGTGTTTGTGTGTGTCAGTCTCCAGAGTCTTCCCTTCCCTTTCCTTCCACTGACCAGATTTAATGGCTTGTGCCAAATGTGACCCAACTAAGGAACGGTTCCACCACACTGCCTTTAGTGGCTCTTTGGGACACCACTGAGCGGTCACACTCACACGCAGACAGACACACACTGATGGACAGTCCAGAGAGGCTGAACCCACAGAGACAGATCTGATGGCGAGGGAGATCGGACAGGCGAAGGTTTGATTTGAGCGACGCAGAAAGTGACAGGTCAGAGGACGGCGTATGGCTCGTCATGAGCCTTTAACCCCGACGCTCTCAACAAAGACGGCTCACACCAGATCTACGACAAGCTCCACAGAGCTGAAATAAAAACACCCCAAACCAGGAGGAACCTCTTTATACAGCACTAACTCCAATCAATGGAGGACACTTTTAATAATGCTGCAGTATAATTTAAACAGATTTACACAACTGCCTCTGAGAATGCTTCTATGTGTTTATATTATGCATATCCAAAGACAACATTAGACCTTAGTTTGACATTTTTATCTATTTATTCATTTTCTTTGCCACAGACCACAATCAACTTAAAGTCTTTGCTTATATAGGACAGAGGTGTATGCATTAACTTACATAAAAAGGGAAACTTTATTTTTGAGAAATTTTTTTCTTTGCTGTTTTTCAGAGAAATTTTTTCTTCATTTTTTTTTGGACAAATTTTGATTGTTTTTTTTTTGGTCTTTCTGTTTTCCTCATTTTTTTTCCGTCTATCTGTTTTTTTGTACAAATTTTGATTCTGCTTTTTTTTTTCGTCTTTCTGTTTTTCAGACAAATTTTGATTCTGTTTTTTTTTTTGTCTTTCTTTTTTTTGACAAATTTTTATTCTTTTTTTTCATCTTTCTGTTTTTTTGACATTTTTTTTTCCTGACTAAGTGAGATACTTCAAAATCCTGTGAGAATCTCATACAATCAGATCCCGTTAACCACCGCTGCTGCTCCAAATCAGTGGAATCTTCAGTTCCTAGATAACTTTGACTACGGGGTCAATGAGAGTAAAGCATGTTTAGTTAGTTAAACACAGGGTAAGCAAATCCTGAGGTGCCTGCGCAGAGTAGACAAACTTATGATGATTTCATCTATCTGACTTAAAGAAAGGAGTATCTCAGTAAAACTTGATTAAACTAAACAAGTAGTAACAAAGTGGAAAGTGGAAATGAAGGCATGTAGTCTACTCTATATTAGCTAATGGTTATAACTTCACACCTAAGAAACCTGGAGCACCAAAAAAACAGCTTGAGATTAAAAAGAAACACTCTGACAGACACACACATGCACAAATATCACACAAAACATGAATAATTGAAGATTCCCGTAGGTTCCTTGTAACATTTGAGACCATCTGGATGTTTAAAACCACCCATTTTGGCTGTAAGCAGTTTATAATATTATGAATATAGAGAATTCAGTTTATTTTCTGGCCTTGTTCAGCTTAAATGCTGCCAGGCTCTGAGAAGAGGTTAGCTGTTAGTGTCAGCACTTTGAATGCAAACCCCTTTGGTAGTGTTTCGTTCATAGGCAAACATGCCCAAGGCAGTATTAGTGTGCAAACCAGCGGAGCAAATATCACCACATTTCAGAGCAGCCAGACTGTAAAAAAAATGCAATAACAAGAACAAGGCTACCGAGCTTCACTTTTTAATATATTGGCTGTTGATTCTAATATATCTAATGATTGATCGGCTTATATTCCTAAATTTATTTTCAAATTTAGAGTGAGTGTGCTGGCGGCTGTGCTGAGTTATTAGGCGGCCCTGCAGCACTGCTGCTGCTGTATGTGTGTTTAAGCTACATTAGTAGAGTTACAGCAGCTCCCACATTCTCCTCACTACATTAACCTCCCCTTCATCCTTAAATGTGTCCCTGCTTGCCTGGCACAGTGCAGCGTCCAGGGAAAAGAGATCTTTTTTGTCCCAGGCCCCCCCCCCTCACACTGACTTTCCCTCTTTCACAGCCGACCAATGAGGGACATGAGGAGAAGACGGCAGGGGTGGGTGGGGGGCATGACAAACGGGCTGTGAGCAGCGAGTCGAGAAGGACGCAGATGTCAAAGCCATGAATCTGGGGACGCCCATGTACCCCCCCTCTTCTTCCTCTCTGTCTTCCTCCCCTGCTTCCCTCACCTATCCGTCTCTCCGTCTCCATTTCTCCCTCAGTTTGTCTCCCAGACAGGCCTCTTGTCCTGATTCTGCCCAATCAGCAGCTCTCCCCCCATCCTCTCCTCACCTGGCCTTCATAATTACTCACTTGGATCAGTAATCAGAGTAAAACAGAGTGACAAATCTGCTTTTTGAGTGTGTATGGGTGCACATATATGTGTGTGTGTGTGTATGTGTGTGCAGTCATTAAGGTTTGGTGACACTCACAGGGTCATGAGCAGGCTTCAGCTGGTAATGAGAGGCCATGAGTTGCCCATCACTGAGCTGTCACCATCCATTCACACATTTTATGGTCCGATGTTTCCAAGGTTGTCTAAGACCAATCGCTAACACACATGCTTGGCAAAATAAATAAAAACCATTCAAAGGCCTCTGCTTTTTAAAATGATGAAATATGGATGTAAAAAGTTTGTGATTTGCTCACTTATCAATCTTTGTTTTGGTTTATTGACCAATCAGAGGCTGTATCTGTTTCTGCGTTTTCAGCGGCAGTTGGTCCCTATAAAAGAGTTTTTGCAGAGACTTTGTGCAGAGCTGCAGCTTCTCCCTGAGCATCTACACTGAGCAGGGATCAGTTAATATTGATGTCTAGGTGACACACAGGTGTGTCTCTTATTGTCACCTAGATATCACCCGCCTGAACATTTTCAGGAGATTGCCTTGTTCTATGGATTGCTCTGCAGCAAATTTTAGGCCTTTTTCCCATCTTTCCTTTCCTACCATGAACATCTCATTTAGAACAGACATTACTGATAATAGCTGCACGTTACATGTGAACTATCAAAGTTTGATGTATTCCTCTGAGTACTCAGGAACTCTAGTTTGGGCCTTGGGCCTCTGTGTGGGCTAATGTTACTGCACAGTAGGGATACCAATGGCTTAAAGCAACTCAGCTTTGTCTTAATCACCAAGCATATTAACCATACAAAGGAATCTATTCAGATGTGAAAACACAATGAGGAGACACATTAAGGCTCATGTTTAGTGCTCATTTTCAGACATGGGTAATGTTCACTGGACAGACATTGTTATGTAACATGAGGAGGGACAATGATCACTCCTTCTTCTTCAAAGCAGTGGGCGGTGTCCCTGTTTTAGTGCCGCCTTCGGTGTCAAAGTCTGTCACCACATTCAATTTGCAATGCTGTCGTCACTGATTTGTTATTTTTATATACATTTTAAACTTAATCATCACACTATAGAGGTTTGGGTCCTGTGACATTGATGCAGCCACAGCAGCAGATAAAGAGAGTAGCATAATGAAGTGATTTGTGATTTGTGACCGACCACAGCTGAACATCCTGGTCAGGGCAGAGCTTTGACTGCACACTCAGCAAAGAGCAGGAGTCTGTGATTGCATTGGGACTCAGCAATCAGGGAAGATAGTGCTGTCCCAGTTTGATAACACCAATATGTATGAAAGCACTTTTCAACTGATGACTGATGAAAAAGGTGAAGTTTCTCACGGCTAAAGAAAGTAGCGACTGTAACTCCTGATAATCTAAGGGAAATCAAAGCCTTGCTAGAGCTCAGTTATTCTTATGATAATAACTTTATTTATATATAGCACCTTTAAAAACAGATGTTTACAAAGTGCTTTAATGGAAGAAGCAAACAAAGATAGTAACAGGCAAAGGAGAATTGAGTTTAAAAAATGGATGTAAAAGATTGGCGGTTGATGATACACATGATTAATTTCTGACAAACTCCTCACCATAAAAATGAAATACCTTTATTCTGAAATAGCTGACTCAGCAAGTTAAAGGTCCTGTGAGGAACTTTAGCCTCAGGTCAGCTTTGGCACCCCTTGTGGACAAAGTAGTCTCACCTTATTTTGTCTTCTACATGTTTAAGTAGTGTCTTTTGAAAGTAAAATGAATAATTAGTTGATAATTATTTAAAGCTCCTGTGTGGAGTGTTTGCTTTGTGTCAATGTAGGCACCCCCGATAACGAGTCTCTAGATGCTTAAGATTTGTCTCCTGTCAAAAAAAAACTCACTTTTGACTTTTGACCACCAAATAAATATTTTCTGACAATTTAATGTGGAAAATGTTAAAAAAAAAAAAAAAACAATATCATCTGTTTCAGACATTTAAAATCACAATGTTAAAAAAAAGTAAATCTTGTCACTGATGGTCTTTTCTTTTGTATAACATAAAAAACATCATTATGAACTTTTAGTCTGTTTCATAAATGTCATTAAAACTCCCAACAGTAGCTTTAATGTGGAAAATAAGAAGCTGCCCACTGACACCAACCTCCTAACAATTTGGACATTTAAAATTTTGGTATAAAAATGCTCAGTTTTGTTGATGATCGTGTTTTGTCTGCTTTGTGTGTCAGAAAAAACAAAACAAAAGCCTTCATATGAGTTTCAGTTGATTTAATTAAAGAGAAAAATCCTGACAGGAGCTTTAACGTGAAACAGGAGAAAAATGAACATTTAGCGAAAGCTTTAAAAGCCTCAGAAAAATTGAATATTTTCAAATCTAAGTTATGAATATCTCTGAAAATCAGCAGCTCCCATCCACAGCCACTGCAAAGTTATCACTGTTGATTGAACATAAGAGAGAGAGCTCTATCAACATTATTAAGTATGCTGGCATCCTAGGGTAATAAACAGGGATAATGAACAATGGGATAATGGTAGTGGCTCTTGTCTGCTTAAAAAGAAAATGAGAGTGCCATTTTTTATCTCTTCTGTTTAAATGAAATCTTGTGCCGCAGAGGAAGCTCATTTGATAAACTTTAATTGCTGGTCTACAGATTTTAAACGTCAGCTTTTGAGGTTTTGGTGTGTTGAGGAAATGCTTCTCCGCTGTGAAAATAGAAGTTATTTTTCTATCCCTCAGTACAGAGTGTTTGATTTCATTCGAGAGCACACCTCTGACTTTAAAGCAACGATTTAAGGATGGTTGTGCACAAAGCCAGGCCCCTTAAGAAATGCTTTAATAGCTTTTTTTTGGTGGCAGAACGTATCGGCATAGAGCCCTGGCCACGACCTCTTTCGGCACCTTCGGGATCAACTATAATGCCAACTGTTTCACCGAACTCTAGCGCTGGAAAACCCGATTTTTGTACAGCAGAAAAGAAGCAAATCCCTGTAAGACGATCTTTTCTTTGAGCACTCATGTGACAATGTCTCATTGTATTGTCCAGGTGTCCCCATTTCATCCTGAGTGTCTTCAAGTCTGAAAGTAGGACAAAGTGGTCATCAGGCCATGTTTTGTGCACATGTGATGGATTCAGTCATTAAAGCAGCCTGGTGAAATTGATGCAGAGCTCCACACCCACAAGATGTTGAGGCGTTCTCTGATTAAATTTGCTGAATGGTTTCCAAGCTGCTAAATTTGTTGATATTAAGCACGTTTCGGCTCAGAGAGAAGAAGTGTACGGGACACGAGTTTGCACAGCTTTACCTTTAGTTATGATTAATGATCTTTTATTTGGAGCGAGATAAATACCTGAATCGATTCTCTTGGTGATGACCAGACTGCCGTAACTACATTTTTAAATGCAGTGACCCCAGAAAACAAGGGGAGGGATTACATTTGTTTGTCGCCTTTGTTTCTTTTAAATGAGAAGTGCATTGCTAGGAGGTTAAAACAACTCCCCAGTACAGTCAAAACCAAATGTATTCATCTATTTTACCTAAAATTGGTAATTAAGTGATTTAATTTCACACTCATAGACTGTACATAGAATAGACGCTATTTGCCTCCTTGCTGGGTGAAGCCACCGCAAGAACAGCACCCTCTGGTGACGGGCTGCAGTATAGGTCATAAATCCCACCTCCTCCAGCAATCCCTATGGAGCTGTGGACAAACATTAGATATTAATAACACAGAATATAATTTTTTTCTCCCACCTACTTGTGATGTTGACATGTTGTTACTTTAAAGGCTCATTTATGCTTCCAATACATATGAAAATGTGTGCGTCCGTTTCAAACGATGGTTCCGTCACTCCCCACATACTTCCATGCCTCCTTTACGTCGGCATGGATGTTAACCATTACATTGACCAGGGGGCAGGCCGGGGTCAAAAGTTTTGACAACAACAAACAGAAAGAAACATGGCGATGGTGGAGGAGCTAGTGATAATGTATATTTTGCATAGTAGACAGAAACGAAGGCAGCTTTGGAGGAGGCGGTGGTCGGTCAGACCACTAAAGACTGCGTAGCTCACCCAGGGGATATGCTGTTTGAGCCAGTCATCATCACATCGACTCTACCGCTGAATGCGTACAATGCTACTGCGAAAGTGGTGGTTCCAGAAAGTGAAGAAAATCCCGGAAATACCGAGAGCAATTCGGCTTCAAAGTTGTATAATGATGGAAGGCGGAGCCAAATTCTCCATCGTATATATAGTCTATGGTCACACAAAAGAAACTTCAGCTTTGACTCATCCTTGACTCACTCTCCTTTCCTCCTCAGTCTATCCAGACCTCTGTAACATCAGCCTGGCAGCAGTCGGAGACACACAGAAGCACCGAGACCGCATTGCATTCTGGGACGATGTGTATGGCTTCAACATGTCGTGCATGAAGAAGGCCGTGGTTCCCGAGGCGGTGGTAGAAGTGGTGAAAGCAGATACACTCATCTCCGAACCTGCAGTCATACAGGTAAAAATTGACTGATATGTTATGTGCTGTGACATCTAACCTTTTAAGGGTATGTCGGATCCAAGCCCGGTCTCCCCTACTTTTCAGCCTGGTCTAAGAAGCAGCTGATCAGCAGACCTCAAAGACCTCATGAGGGTTTGGACACAGAGGAGGTCAGAGGTGTACAGTGGTGCTAATCCATTTAAAGATCTAAAAGCGGACAATAAAACCTTAAAGTGAACTACCCAGTGTCTGCTAACCACACGGCCGCACGGTCGAGACGTATTGATGAACCAATAAGCCGGTCTGATCCTAATTCAGGAGGTTCTAGGAGCTACAAATGGGAGAAATAGAGTTTGTGGGGTCTGAGCTGTTAGACTACAGGCAGAGGATGAGAGCGTGAGTTAGCTGTGGAGAGAGAGATATGGCCCGAAGGCAGGTGTGTGTGTGTGTGTGTGTGTGTGCGCGTGCGTGTTGATGCTGTAGAGCTGGGTGATTGATCTGTCTAATCCTTGTTTAAGTTCCTCTTTAGGAAACTTCATTACTCTCAGCCCCCTGTGGATAGAGCCGTTTTCGCTCGGCTGATGGGAGAGCACACACGCATCGCACTGAGATAAAACAAACGCGCACACACACACGTACACACACTCACACACACACACACAGAGTCCAAACCTCTAAAAGCAGTGATACCTCCTCTGAGTCTCTTGTGTCCCTCTCCTCTTATACAATCCTGTGTTTCTCCGTCGGTTGGTGTTAAGTAGGCCCGGCATGTCCTCCACCCATCTGTGGATGTGATGAATGGGGACAGAACTTGATATAATGGAATTTGAATCCTCTAATCGATAGTTTCTCCCCTCCAGTGACAAATAGACAGCCCCTCTGCCCAAATTACATGGACTCTCATCTATCGCCTCCCTTTGATACGATCCAATAACATTCCATTAAGGCTGGCTGCTACTCCGTAAAATTGAGAGCCCTTTCATGGAATTATAAAATCCTGCTGTACAAATGAGTTTTTTTTCTCTAGTGAAAACAGACAGATATTCATTTTGAGACATATTTAAGTGTTCAGAGTATGTCCTTTGAAAGTTAAGAATCGATTTGTCGTACTTTTTACAAGATTTTTAATGTCATGATGCTAAAATAAGTCGCATTGTTTGCCTTCATATCTACCTGTACACTAGAAACTTCTAAAAAGGACTCTCACACATGTAGAAAACATCAGTTTTTGGCTAACAAACCTGTCAGGAATAAAACTTTTGACCATCTGCTAATGTAGAGAGTTGTGGTTTCAAAGCAGCTAGTGTGGCTTTGCACCCTTTAGCTTTTTCTGGGCTTTTAAGAGTTAACAATGACACATTTTGTGATCCAGATACTGATCATTTCTTTATTCGCACAAAAACCCAGAAATGTTCTGGTACTCTGATGATGATGATAGAATGAACTGGCTGTTTAACTTCAGTGTCGTTAAGTTAGCTCATTTTGTTTCTGAAGCCTGGAAAAAGCGTCAGGATTGTTTATATACAGAAATCGTGAGGACAGCTAACCTGCACCGATCTTGGAGATATTTTTAGCTTTTATTGTGCTGGGATGTTATTGTGGCAAAAGATGAAAGGCGCTGCCGACACAGAACATGTGTTTTGGTCGACATCCTCCTTCTTGTAACTGAAATAATTCCAGATAACTGACTTTGCTTTTCTTTTTGGCAACAAGTCTTCATTTTCAGTCGTTTTCTCTTGTTCTTTTCTCATTTTGCGTTTGTTGTTGTTCCTTATAGTCGAGTGGTCCATGGAAATGTACAATTTAAAACCCATAACTCAAGTTATTCTTGGTGCGCACACGTTTCTTGGCACGACACCAGCAGCGCCAGCGACTCACTCCATGTGCAGGGGCGTGGTTTCCTCCTCTCTGGTTTGATTGACTGCTGGCAGGGTAGTCTGATTGACAGCTGAGTAAAGAACAAATGTGATCGGTGGATCGCTGCACAGCACATGCAGAGTCGCATGGAGTGTATCTCAGTCAGCTACCCTTGAAATTAGATGAGTTCATTCGCCTCCGACATCGCAGGCTCTGCAATTTGATCACCGTGCACATGTACATCGTGATGACAATGCTCAAACGATATATCATGCAGCTCTAGCCTTGAACTCTTCACTAAGACTACTTTTCCCTTTGGGTGTTACTTTTTACACAGCTCTATAGTCAAAAATGACCAAAAGGCTATGCTCCTCACTGCTACATAAGCTGCTGTTATAAAGTTACTTGCAACTTGTGATTCAGAGCCTCAAGGAAGGTTTTGAAGATGTCACAGTCACAGGTTTCAGTAACAGCTGAAGATGCAAATCCAGGTCGTACAGGTGTTTGTTTGCAAAGGAGTTATCAGGGAAGTGGTGAGCAGCTTCCACAAGGCTGTCGTCACCGGAAAACATTTCTCCTTTTTCTTGAGCGGAGGAGAAATCATGAAGTTATCGAAACAAAAGAAGCCACAAAACACATCCTGGGATTAAATTAACATCCGGCATAATCCAAGGTGTAAAAGTGTAATAATTCAGATCTGAGTATAACAGGTCTTCCCTTAGATTTTTGATTCATAGTGCAGCTGAAACAACACAGTTTGTGAAGTATTTAAGACTCCTTTTTTAAAGACTGCATCCCTGTTTGTTAGTTTTTTATTTCTCATCTTTCGCTGAGTCACATTTTCATCAGTATTCCTCTTTCTAATTGATATTTTTATGTTTATTTCTTTTTACTGTCCACAGACGATTGACTGTAACAGAGTGTGTCTGTCAGAGCTGGAGTTTGCATCTGATTTCTGCATGAAGATAACAAACACTACAGACTGTACGGTGAGTACACACACACTCTCACTTCTGTCTACAAGTTTTAATAGTTTTAAATGTGATTTTTATCCTGAATATTTAAGTTGATACGCTTCAAAAGCTACATGACAGAAATAGACCTGAGAGGAAAGCGAACACTCCCACTGTCCCTTCCTGTCATTCGTCACAAATATTGTGTGAGAGGAACGAGGCAGAACAAACAGCGCAGACATCAGTCAGCTCATGTTGATGGATGAGGCTTCTATGTTTAAGAGGATGTCCGTCACTCGGATATTTAATAGAGTTTCAAATCGAATCAGAGCAGAAAGGATAATGTGACTTTGGATTACATGTCATACAACGTGGTGAATGTTCACAGCCTGCTTGACCTGTTACTGCGTCAAATACCAAAACACGCTCTTTGACACAAACATGGCACGCCTCTCACCCTGGACTCCTGAATATAATCCTTTATAATCCGTCTTTGAGATTATTTCTCACAGTTCTTTCGTTTTAGCTTAGGCACTTTCTCCGAGAAAGAGAAAAGACGTCGGTTGAATAACTTCTGAAAGTCATCAGACAAACAGATCTCCATGATAGTTTATTCAGCTGATTGTGACCCACAGGCTCGAATCTTTCAACAAACACCAAATAAAAGTTAAAGACCGTCTCTGTCCTGGATAGATCCTCCTTTTCTGTGTGCCCCCGAGGATCAACATCCAGCTCTTATTACACTTCAGATCTGTTGAAGCAGCTGCTGTTGAGCCTCTGAGTTATCTCCAGTAACAAATACACCGTTTCTGGAGAGAGTTGACCCTGCTGACTGTCTCATATATTTGAATCAGTCAAGGAGAAATTTTATTGAATTGTTTGTGACTGATCCTTAAGATATTTATGTCTAATTAACACCATAATTAGCATTTTGAATACTCTGTGCAGCACATGTAAGAATACAGGGAGACACAGAGCCCAATGAAAGCACAGCTGACCCTTAAGGTGAGGCAATAAATATATTCAAAATGATAGAGTACTCCTAAAAACTGTATCAAACATGGAGAAAATCAATCTGGTGTCACCCATCGGTTTCTAAAGTGGAGTTTGAAGCCTGAATAATAGTGGTCACCATATTGGAAATGCAGACTTAAAGGGATTTTCGTAAGTTTAAGTTATGGTCAAACACACGGTAACACCGAATAGCAGTACCCAGTGGTCTACATCTCCCCGCGCAAACCTCGCCACAAAAACGCCATCATCAACAGTACATATAGGGTCCCAGCCATAGTACCAGACATCAAACATCTTTTTAACTTTATCTTCAAAATAAAGATTCACCTGTGTGCAAATTAAGAAAAAAGCTTTTCAGATCAACATCTTTTATTTAAAACGGGTTTGATAGGTCAAAACTTGAGCGACACATTCATAGACGGACCTGGTTTTGCTTGTGGACTTCATCAGGGTTATTATAAAACATACATAGATGTTTCATGACTCATCTAAAACCTGACTGGGCCTTTGAGTTGCGCCGTAGGTCAGCTTGACCAGCGGCTGCTACACAAAGTGTGTGTCCTCACTGAGGGTGAGCTGCAGGCGCCACAGCATGGACAATGCTTTATGATTCCATTTGAAGAGCCACCTTCATACCTCCCCTTCAGCCGTCCAACCTCAGCCTCCCCCCCTGAACTTCCTCCTCTTGTGTCTGAGCCCTCTTTCTCTGTGTGGTACCACCTAACAGCCTCTCCGCTGCAGCTTGTGACACTCGGTGCTGTGAGAAGTGGTCTATCTGTGAAAAAAGTCCATTGTGTTGGGGAGGCTTTGTGTTGTGCTGCAGTGGTACTGCACTGTCTGGTGTATCGGTTTAATGGACAATCAATAGGTGGTTATTATCTGGCCTGTGCTCTCTGGGTGAGGCTGGTGGATTTAATGGGATTTGTAAACATCCTCTCATTTTTCCTGTCTTTTCTGCGCTGTAATTGAAAACATCCAGTTTCTATTTCTGGCGTGTAAAGTCCAGTCATGTGAGGGGTCTGCTGTCACAAAAACAGATGATTGGATCATACAGGATGGGGGTGTACTTTTCCATTCTCATTATATTTTTATAGGTGTTCAGGGACGTGATTAATCCTCCCGTTATCTCGCTGCTGTTTCACGCTCCTGATCATCCTCAGCTGCGGTGCTAATTTCCACAACCATACAACAGAATATGATCGAGCTTTCAGTGGAACAATAATGCTCATTTTATCTGCTTTTGCTATGCTGACGCTCTGCTTATAAGACCCGTTGTAGGCTCCACTCTCCAGCCTGCTTGTCCCAGGATTTACAGATGGATTATTGACCTGCAGGAGAAAGGTGTTGTTACCTTAAAGATACTGATCTGCAGTCAGTATCGGCCGCAGCTGCTCAGTAGCAGTTAAGGTTAGGATGTGTGAAGGGTAAACCGCTCCTGGACCAGTGCTGGAGAATTGGTGAGGGAGAGCTGCAGCGCCTCCCGTCCTGTGATGGAGCGCCTGCTTTTGTTCTCCCGTCGACAGTCCATTCATCAGCTCAGCCTGCCTAACCTTGCATTAAATGAACAGCACAACCCCTGCGTCTGCGCCGTTCACACACAAGACAAATCCTCTCACTCTTTTTTTTATCACTCCTTCTCTTGCCTTTTTTTTTGCATCTCATATCTTTCGCCCCTTAAATACGACACCGTTAAGGCGCATACATGTCAAATTCATGTGCTGAAACTTGTACTCAAACTTGGGGCATTTTTTACCCTCGCCTTTTTCCGTATGGCATCCACATCTGCTTGATCCATTTTCCCGAACTGTAGAGCAGGTAGCAGAAATGCCTCATCCTCCCCTCATGATGTATGCTGATGGTGTGGCGGCAGAGAACAAGTTTCCGTCTGTAATTAATTTCACACTGCTGCTGTAGCACTACAGGAGGAAAAGTCTCTACGATCCATCTCTGGTCCGCTTTCCATCAAATTTAAATTACGTGGGGTGGGGATGGGGATGGGGGGTGGCCTTCTGGACTGACAGGGCAGGTACTCGTCAACCTCAAGGACGGTTTTCGGCACATTAAGAAGGGAAATTTGTTAATGGAAAAATCCACTCTGGCTCTCAACAGCATGGCCGTACAGTGAGGTTTGGGTATCAGCTGACTGTCAGCAAGGATCCTGTTTCTGTGCTATTTCCATTTATAGCATGCAATCAACAAAGGGTTGATAAACTAATTTATCTCCAAATGAAAGACGTCTGAGAAGAATACATTCACCACTTTTAAACATCAAATGTTTTCAACAACAACTTTCTACATATGTAAATAATGCTGCCTTCCAGTTACCTTGGAAGTCGGATGTCAGAGCTGGGTATGACATTACACCCGAGTTGACGGTGTTCCAGTCAACAAGTCGGAAAACCAAGATGGATGCCTACTGTCAGCTGTTGTTAGATTTTGTTAGCTATACCAGTTGTAAACAACGCATAGCAACTTACAAACACCATAGCACTGTGTTCACAGTTAGACTTTAGGCAGTACAACATATACCACTTATTTAATTTTACAAAAACAAAACAGAAGTGCTAATAAATGATATATTACGAGAGCTTTTACTGTTACTCTTTACTGTTGATGCACTGAGCTGCCATCTTGGATTATGACGTTGTCGTCAAGTTGAGGTTGGTGAGGATCGTCCGACTTTCTGAGTCAGAAATCCAACTTCCAACTTTTAGTATAAATGTCTTAATGGTGCATAAGACAGCCAATTAATAATAAAATTGGATTATAATAACTGAAGTATAAGAGACTGTTTATCCCATTGTTAGCCTATGGATTTATATGCCTTAAAGAAATAACTTAAGGACAGATAAAACCCATACCATACTGTATAAAGTTCGCAACTCACAAAGTTTGTAAGCTACCGTGCAATTTAGTATTTTGTATTTAATCCACCCTCCATTTCCCCTCTTATCATATGTAGTCAGAGGTATTGATTTTAAAGTGTCCACATGGGTGACTTAGAGGCTGTTTTAAAAATTCTTTATGAGAAAGAAACATGGTTTATACGGAAGAGGATTAGGGCCACAAGAAAAAAAGATATATTATTTTTTTATCATAATTCTGGGGGGGAAAAAGGCAGAATTCTGAGTTTAAAGTCAAAATTCTTAGTTTTTTCTCAGAATTTTAACTTTTTTATTTCAGAATTATGATGCATACACACACACACACACACACACACACATATATATATTTTTGTTTCTTGTTGCCTTGATCCTCCTCCATATGGTTTACGCCCTATTATGTAGGTCATATTACTGTAACATGTCAGGACTTCAAAGACAGTCCCTTTTTACTGTAAAGCATGTCATCATCTTATCATTCCTAAGCATCTGGATCTGTTGGTGCGAGCATGTCTCCAGACTGTGTATCAAAACGATCAATAAATAAAACCAATATGTACCAATACCAATAAAATAAATGGTAAAATTAATATAGTCCACATTCAAAATCAATATAACAATAAACAAGGCCTTAGGATGACTTTGACAAGACCATGTGACCCTCCAACGTGGACCCTCCAGCAGGGTTCAAAACTGACATCATCTCATTAGATAAAACAGGCATCATGACAGCTCCCAAAAAGTGAAACCAAAACATTTAGAGCTCTCCCCACTGATTGGACAGATCAGCCTGAGTCTCTTTGCTGTTTATCTGTATGTGTTTTGGTCTCCATCAGGCCATCTTTATTGTGCAGAATTTGGCTTTAAATGTCCTTAAAGTGTGCGATTTTATCAGCCATCATCCAAAAAGAGTAAGAGGAAATGAAGGGTCTATCTTTTTGTAGAGTTAATAGTTTTTAGGAAAAGTCCCATCAAAAATATTTGAATTTTCCAAAGCCATCATGAGTCTGGACCTGTTTGGACCGTTGCTGTACAGTTGTTTGTGTGTTTTGTCTGAGAGGCATCATGAGTCACTGTTGGGAGGTGTGCCGAAGCTGAGGACGATTCCTGCTCCTCGGTGGAGTGGCAGCAGTCAGGCGGAGAGGCTGGGAGCAGAGATGGAGGAGAAGGAGGAGGAGGAGGGGGAAGGAATTCACACCAACTCGCCCGTGAGGTGGTCGTGCTTGAAACCTCCACGCCTGGATAAACCCCATCAAAAGCGCATTAGCCCTCTCCTCTCCCACCCCTCCTCCCCTCCCCCCTCACTGCCCCTCCTTTTCCCTCCCCTTAACCCCCCCCTCCTCTCTACGTCTCCCCACCGTCGTATAATAGTATCTGGCCGGGCCACGCGGCTTGCTGACACACAGCCGGGCGAAAGGGGAGCGATGATGAATTGCTCCCTGTTGGTGTTATCCATGATGATAATTATTAATTTTCCCCCCGCTCCTCCGTGAGAACGGGGGCCGGAGAGCTGCAGTGTTGCGGAGCCTCCTCCGTAGGCCGTCATGGAACCCACTGTCATCACTTATCACAGACAGAGCCGGGGCCCAAGGCTAAACGCTGATGAAAATGAAAAGCGCTCATTCTGATTTGTCCTGTTTTTGGTGCGTGGGTGTGCATATGTGCCTCCTCGTTTTGAGTTAACCCTTTCTTTCCCTCGTTCTTTTCTCCTGCTATGTTTTTTGCACCAAATGCAGCGTCATGTCAGAAGACAAATCTCACAGTCTTTGGAGATTTTTGTGGGTATTTTGGTTTATGATTAGAATGACTGACAATATTAAGCCATGACATAAGACCACTCGTTCAATATTTTTCGGGCACCCCTCTTGTTAGGTCAGCCTTGACATGGTGACACATGGACCCCAATGGACTTTTGAGGATGCAGCCCAACTTGTGATGTGTTGCTACCATAGACTGTTTAAAGAATGAACACTGTCTGCCTCCTCGTTGGGTGAAGCCACTCCGAGAACAGCACACCCTGGTGACGGGCTGCAGTACAGGTCATAAATCCCGCCTCCTCCAGCAATCCCTATGGAGCTGTGGACAAACTTTAGAAATGTATTACACAGAATATAAATTTTTCTCCCCCCTGGTTGCGACGTCGACATGTAGTTACTGTCAGACTGGTTTGTGCTCGAGTCCTCTTTTTTTCTGTACAGCTCCATTTTTAAAACTTATTAGGGGGTTCATGTTTTCTATGATTGACATTTGATACAGCCTATTGGCGTACGATGATTGGGTAGCTGACCTGGAGGACACGCTATTTGAACCGAGCATCATCAGAGCGACTCTCGGTGACTCTCCCGCCAAGTGTGCCCAATGCTACTGCACAAGTAGTGGAGTGCCTACAAAGCTACTGTGAAATGTCGGTCTCAGGACGCAGAGAAAAAAACGTGTTATTACCGAGAGCTTTTTGGCTTCAAATCTGTACACTGGCAGAAGGCGGATCCAAGTTGTCCACAGTATATACAGTCTATGGTTGCTACCTGATCTGTCCAGGAAACCTGATTTGTACTGCGCATGTGCAAAACGTATGTCACTTGCTCTGCTAGCTATCTTTGCGACAGCTCAGCACACTTGTTCAACAGCTTCACTATCAGCAAGCTTGCTTTAGTCAGAATGGATGCTTCCGTTTATCCCCAGCTACACACTTTTCTCCTGAACGGAGCGCTTCCCCCTGACTGAAGCAGCGCACCGGAAAGTCAAGAGAATGGAGCCCAGTTTCATGATTAAAGGTTCCTACTACAGCTTAATTGTAAAATTGCAACGTAGTAATTAAAGGCTTGAATAAATATGAATATTTCATTGTTGAAATTAAATTATGAAAACGCTGAAATTCATCCAGAGCATCCACCCTTGGAACTTTGAAATATCAGAGAACCATGATTTTGACCGGGTGGCGGCGCTTTTTGTGGCCAAGAAGGTCTCACCGTGCTGGGCAGGAGCTCTGGCGAATGCCTTGGCGTAAGCCCTGGAGCCTCCAGCTAGCTAGCCTGTCACATCGCCAGCTGGTTTCTGAAATTGATTGGTAGTTTAAATAAAGTTTTTTAGGTGAAGTAAATTTGCACCTGTGTAGTACGGATGGGGTAGGTAGCGATAGTAACGACAAACTGCCGTAAAATGTATTGAAATACGAAGAGAGGAATTGACGTATGTTTCGCACATGTGCAGTACAAATCGGGTTTCCGGGACAGATCGGTTAGCGACATGATGGCAATCCAAGCCTTTTTTATTTTACTGATTCAGATCATTAGACTCTTAGAGACAATTTTCTAGAGCTGATCCAACCCCAAACCTTCCCCCTCAGTGTGGCTGTCTGTTATTTTAAAGGCTCTTTATTTAGATAAACCTCCTTCCCTTTGCTTATTTTTAACCAGAAAGCGTTAACAGTCTCTGATTAACTGGGTTCAGTCCTCATTAGGTGTGAGTTATCAAGCTCTTGATTGCTATCGTGCCGCTTTCCCTGCAGCAGGTAGTTTTGTTTCTTCTTTTCTGTCAGATGTGATTTTGCTGACCCAGCTTCTCTTTATCTTCTAGTTTCACTTTCAAGCCTCAGATCTTAAACTGTACATCTTCTGGGGGTGTGAAAGTTGCACCCTGCAGAAGTGACAATCAATCTCGCTTACGAGGCGTTGTCATCAGCGCGGCGCGTTCGGGATGATCTCTGCCTCTCTGACCGAGAGAGGTGAATCCGCTCTGCCTGACGAGTAATTACGGCTAATTTCCTAATTACCTCAGCAGCCAGCGTCTCAGTAGCGTTCATTAAAAGCCATAATTGCATTGGGTTGACATGCTCTTTCATCCACTTTGGGTTCTTTTCTGGAGGTTTAGCTGTGAGCTAGCTGTGCCGCCCCTGCCTGTCTGAGTTGATAAAGGTTGATTGAAGGCTCGTGTGTCTGGAGAGTGTTGAACACAGTCTCTGACAGCATCGAGTTTATCACGCCTGCATCTGTGTTTCTTTGTGTGCGTACTGTATACAGATGCGTGATGAATAAAAGAGCTCTTGGACTAAATGTGTGGATAGATGTTGATTTAAATAAAGTCTTTTTAACAGAAGCAGGGAACAGATGGTGCCGCTTTGCTCCTCTTAAGTGATACAAACCAACAAAAAATGAAGCATCCTCATCAGATTTACACTGATTTTCTTCCTCTGTCCTCTCTCCTGCTTCCTTCCTCCTTTTTCCTATCTTTACCTCTCCCTTTTCTCCTCCTTTCCTCTCTCCTATCCTCCTGTTTTCCTCTACCCTCTCTCTCGCATTGATCCGGCTCTTCTTTGTCTCAGGGAGCTGGCCTCCAAGTTGTCAGCTGCGTCAGGATTAAAAGCTATTAGTTCTGCATCATTGCCACTACAAGTGCACGCCTGAGATTGATAGAGTGCCTCTCTTCCTCCAGTCGGGGGAGAGATGGGATGAAAACAAGCCCGGGGGGGTGGTTTTTACCTCACATATCTGACAACGGTCACCTACAGGCGCTCTGGCCCCGGACTTTCCCTCTTAGTTTGTTTAAGATTTGTGAATCGGTTTGTCGGACTGTCTCTTGGCTTGTCCTGGAGAGTCGAACTTCCAGCCTGTAGGAACAGAAAGACCATGTCTGAGACCCAAAAGCGCTTTCATAGACTCGCTGGTTTCATCTCCGTTTGTTAACACAAAATCATATAAGACAAAGACAGAGACCAGCCTTCAGCTCATTCAAAAAGCTGCTGCTCGACTCTCTCTGGCAAGAAAAAACGTGACCACACTTAACTCCTATTTTAGTGACCTTTCACTGGCTCCCAGTTTTTAATGGTTTTTAAAGCCCTCAATGGTCTTGCCCCTCCTTACCTGTCCAAGCTCCTGTATCACCACTCTCCAGCCAGAGCCTTAAGGTCCTCTGACCAGCTAATGTTGAGCGTCCCGAAGACCTTTTTTTTATTTTCAAGTATACGACATACGGTAGATAATTAAATGATAACAGTTAAAAGGATAACGAAAAACTGCAAATATTTAATTGATTAGAAACCGAAAAGGTACAAACCTCAAGAAATCTTGAACATTTGTTTTATAAGAATATATCATCTCTCAGCTACTACAGCCAGCTCACTATCAGTTCGCCACTTCTTCTTCGTCTCTCCTCTGTTTATGACATGTGGCAGCCGGTGTGAAGGATCACCACTGACTTATTGAATTACCGTGTGTTTCTCTTTAGCAGGACATCAATAATTAAAAAAAGAGATGGTATCATCCAGATCGGTTTACTGCGCTAGCCCCAAATGCAAATCTCTTGAATTTATCGCTTTAACAACTTTTGATCTCCTAAATTGACTATTATTCACTCACAAATATCCATCTGCTACTTTAACCTTGTAGATATCCGCCTGTCTTATAAATACACAACTCTGATTTCATCAATTGTGACTTGTGTAAAGTTAAACTTAAATTATATGAATTGATGACCATAATCTCAAATCTTAGAGTTCTGGAGTTCACGTGAATTTATTTTTCTTGTCAAACTTTAGCGACGTGATTAAAAATGTTAATCCGATAAATTTAGGACTTTACACTTGTAAATGTTGTAGATCTCATTAATTCACAAGAACAAACTTGTAAACTTTTGACTTTCTTCTTTTACAACTTTGTCCTTGTAAGTCATGACTTTAATCACGTTAGTTACAGCTCATAAATTTAGGATCTCTGGTTTATTTGTGTAAAGAAACTCGTGGATTTAAGACCAAATTTTCAAAAACTTGTTTCTTTTTTGTTTTTCTTGAAATCAGGTCATCGTTTATCCACTTTCCGAAGATAAAAAGCAGGTTTCTTTTTCTTAAGCGATTTCTCTGCTGTGCCGAGTGTTTTCAAAGTGCTGTCAACGAAATAGCCACCTTTGCTAATTTCATGTGATTTCTTTTTTTTTTTATGGTCAGCAAATTACCACAGTGTTGTTGGGAGGGGGGGGCGCCCCATAATTTATTTCTCTTTCCTGTGACAAGTGGCCCAGGTGAGGTGAGAGGAAGCATATGGGAGCTGATGTTGACTCAGCCGAAACAGGAATCTCAGTTTGGTTCTGAGAGGAGGGAGGGCTGAAGGAAATGCAGTTTTCACCAGATCAGGGTGTAACAGGGTGCCCAGAACAGCTCTCCAGCCAATATACACACACATCTTTAAGACTTTTAAGACACATTTTAAAGATGTCTGTCAGTATTTGATCAGTGAAATGTCTCAGTCTGTTACTTCTGCCTCGGTCCTGAACACAGCAGCGGCTCACTCTCCTCATTTAGCTCATTAAAACCCTGAGCCGTGTTCCTGCTCCCGCCTCTCTCCCAGCTCTGCATGTCAGAGTTGCAGTGTAGTCAAACAAATCCAGGGGTTTATTGTGCTGTCACATTCTAACACGACCCTCATATTTCATTGCAGGCAATTGTCGGCTACTTTGACATTTTCTTTGACAAAGGCTGCAGCAACAAGGTAAGCAGCAGCGGCAACAGCCAAGCCATTTAACGGAAACTCAATTATGTTCACGCTTTAGCGTGTTCCTCCTCCCCGAGGCGTTCTCCAGCGATCGACGGGCGTCCTAGCCGACTGCTGATATAAGCACTTACCCAGCAGAGGCGGCCGGCTGGAAAAGCCGATGCCGAGCTCTGTGAGCAGCACAGACATGCCTTTTGATTGCACTTCCTATTTTACCTGAGACTCACACTGCATGCTGTGGATGGTCCAGCACGTTTCCAGCTTTACAAGGAGCCACAGCTCAAACAATGTCTTACTGCTGCATCAATACAGTACACTGTGCTTTTATTGTAATACGACAGAGTAATTTTGATGTTTATGAAAGGAAAAGTTTCGATCTTGGTTTCTTATGTAACCAGCAATATTTCAAGTTATTATCCTTTCTGATGACTTAGAACTTAAACTTTTTCATATATTATGTTAAGTCTTTAGACACCATGAAGTTGATTTTGTGACGTTGACATCGTTCTCCTAATTCTTCAGAGAGAGGTCACAGCTCTGGTTAGTGATTTCTTTCTTTCCATGTATTATCAGGTGATGTTTTCCACGGGTCCTCAGGTCACAAAGACACACTGGAAACAGACGGTCTTCCTGCTGGAGAAGCCCTTCTCAGTCCAAGCAGGTCAGTAACTACACAGTTTACTGGTCTAGGTTAAACTTGGACCAGAATTGGACTATTACAACACTTAACAGGTTTTCATGACGATGTTTGTAAAGCAGAAACAGTCAGATTCAGCTTTTATTCCGTTTCATTTCAGTCCACGTGTTTCCTCTCTCTCTCCTTTACCTCTGTGGTGCGTCATAGCGAGCTGCAGCAGGTAATCTGTCTGCGGTGGAGATGTAGTCAAGCCGGTTGACACCCGTTATCTGTCACCGTCCGAGACAGCCAGGGATCAAAACAAATCACATTCAGCCATCAGAGACAGCATGTAAAACTTCATCTGATAGCCACTCTCAGGCCTCCAAATCATGACAGGCTACAAGACGAGCGCTTTGTAACTGACCACCGAAATGTTTATAGATACGCTGTTTCAGCAGATTGAAATTTATCCTCCGCCGCAGCTTCCTGCGAGGCGTAGCTGAGAGAAATAACTTTACGTATGTTTAAACACGTCAGAGCACCTCGCTTTGTGTTGTCCTCACTTAATCTGAAGAAATACAACTCTTGAAAAGTTTGGGATGTTTTTACGCAGTGAAAAAATGAAACAGAAGTGAAGTTACCAGGCCGAAAACAGTAAATACTTCAAACCTAAAACTGGCACTTTTGGACTCTTAGCACAACCTTCATGAGGAATTACAAACAGTAACAGGTAAGTCATAGTGTGCAGCTATTCTTAAAACAATATTAAAAGATATTTATAGTTCAGAATTGTTGTTCATCGCATGTTTTCCGGTTTTGCTGTACCAAGCTTTCTTGCATTACATTTGTCTCTGAATTGCTTCTGTCTGCAAGTTCATGAGCTCGGAAGAAGGTTGACGAAGATTTGAAGGAAAAATCCAATTAATGGGTTTTAAATTTCCAGTTTTTCAGTATCACACAGCTGGCTCTATTTTAATGTGAAAAAATCTTCATGCTAATTTACCGAATAAGCAAAACTATGATACGTGCTAAAGTAGAGACCAAGGAATGATCATAATCTCGGCTTTAAATCAGCCGAAAAACGCTGTCCTTTCAGAAAGTATTAAGGCTAATTTATGCTAACAGTACATACGGATCCGGATACAGACAGAGCTCTCCGTCTGTGCTTCACGTTCTTTTCATCCGTATTTCTGCACTTATACTTGAAGTTTACGGATACGGGCCAAACGGAGCAGTACCACTGGAAACCATGGGGGTAGTGTTGCTGCTGACACTAGACATCCTGAAGTACTGAAAATGATGATCGTCGTCAATTTCTCTCATCGCTACTACATGAGAAAGAATTTTCCATCCTCCCACCACAAGGCATTCAGTGGCCTGACCGACCACCGCCTCCTCCAACGCTGTCTCCGTTTCTGAATCCTATGCAAAATATACACGATCACTATCTCCTCCATGTTTCTCTTTGTTTGTTGTTGTCAGAAACTTTTAACTCCGGCCCGCCCCCTGGTGGATGTACTGGTTTACATCCATGCCAATGTATTGGATGCATGGAAGTATGTGGGCAGTGATGGAACCATCATTTTCATACGTATGGCGAGCATAAATGAGCCTCTACCTGACGATGGTTTTGTAGGAAGTTTTGATCCTCAGCTAAATACTTATGTATGTAGAAACCCTTAAAACAGTAACGCTAGGATCATAAAGCCCTCAAAACAAATCTGTGTAGTAACATGTAAGTCACTGTGTGCAGCTAATTAGAGCAATAGAGCCTGCATATACATGTATATATTGTATACATGCACTGAAGGGTTTTTCTAACACTTCAACCATCAAGTTGGTTGAAATTTGATGATTTAATTGAAGTTTATTTGAACGGACTTCTGCAATAATTAGCCTAGTGGTCGCAGTGCTGGCGTTAGGGGCAGTGACAGAGGCGGGGTCTCTGTAAGCAAGTGGAGCAGGCAGGGCAGAACAGTGCTGTGTGTGTGTGTGTGACGCTCCTGCAGGATCTATTTCAAAATCCTAAGGCATGACAGTGGAGTGGAGCTGTGTTGCAGCACTGTCGTAGACCTGCAGTATTAAAAACACAGCAGTTTAAAAAAGAGGTGCTGCTTGGTTGGTTTTTCCCTGTGTGCGTTATTTAGCCTTAGAGGGATATTTCTAAGTCTGTGTGTTAAATGCGTGTCTCATCGCTCCTGTTTACTTTCCATTTCCTTCATTAGTTTAATTTTTAACTTTGTCTGTGTCATGCTCAGTCATTAAACCTGCTCTGTGAGCGATACTGCCGCGTCCCTGTGCTCTATCATAATGGGAATCGTGGATGTGTCGGCTGATGTGAGGATTGATGAGCCTCTGGGGACCGGCTGTCCACTCCCTGACCAGATATTAGATGGAGTTTACTGTAATAAATGACCTGCAGAGGGACGGAGGCGCTACATGTCAGGCGGCCCTTAGCCACGCTCAGCTCCAGCCGGCAGCAGTCGAGGCGATAAGAACGTCAAACCCTCTGACGTTGCTGAAACACTATCGTAGGCTCTGCGCTCCGCTGGGTCAGATAAACACGGCTGAATCTGAGGGCTGAAGACGACAGTGTGCTAACACAGCTCAGGAGGATGTGCGTTCATAAACAGAGACTGATTTCTATCAGGTGCAGAATGTCGCTTCGGTTCTTGGTTTTATTTTATGCCTTTGGTGTGTGCAGTATTATTTTTTTAAGAAAAAAAGTCTTCATAGGTGTAGATCCAACTCCAGCTGCTGTTACAGCATCAATGCACATGATCTTTCTCTGAAACGCTGCTGGAGGGGAGGAATAACATTTCTACTGAATGATATTTGCCCACTGAGGTATAACAGCGGGTACTTTGTGTTACACCGTTCATTCACTGGTGCACCACGGCACTCAACCACTTGCAGATTACCTTAAAGTAAATTTTTGACTACGCCAATGGTCGGCCACAACCTTCGTTTATGGTCTGTCAACCAATCGAAGGCTGTACCTACAGTCAGATGATCTTTTCCGGTTCCAGCACAACCCTGTTACTGGAACAGCACCAGTATGAGTCTGATGATTGTAGAAAACATCCTTTTAATGTAAGGCACAACTGATTTCCTCCTTATATTTTACAGGAGCAAGTCTGTTAAAGTGCATCAAATGCTGTCCTGCAGAATTCAGCTCACCCATGACTGAAAACTGTTTGTCTTTGCCCTCGTACACACTCTTGTCTTTTTTATCCTTGAGCTGATTTTACAGTAAGCAGAGCATCTGAGCGGTGTGGATCTACTCTGGGGCATAGTGACACATTACAGCATTAGCCAGGGCACACAAACACACACAAACACACACACACACACCCTTGTTCCTGTCAGAACAATCAGGGTTTGATCTCACAGAGGCGAGATTCAGAGCCGTTGATGCTATAAAGATCCATCAGTCTGGGTGTTTGCTTTGTGCTCCAAACTGAACAGACTGACAAGCAAGAGTTGGAGAAAAGAACAAAATGAAAGCTGGTCTGTACGTGTGTGTGTGTGTTTGTGTTTGTGTTTGTGTGTGTGTGAGTGAATGTGTGAGAGAGAGTGAGCGGCAGGTTATTGATGTGCTCGCTCCACCTCGGCACCCTGACAGTCCCAGAGTCTCCTCCAGGGGCCGTAAACCAGAAATGGAGTTTTTAACAGCATTCAGCAGCTTCCTGCTAGGCTCCTTTGGTGTATTTTACAACACACACACTCTAACACACACTCTAACACACACTCACATATAAAGCTCCTTCTACACACTGAAATTCACAAGAGTACTTGCATAGTTTTTCTACTAAACTCCCTTTAGGCTTTAAGAGAAAACTTCCTAGAGTCACCTTGAAGATTACAAACACACACACACACACACACACACACACACACACACACACACACACACACACACACACACACACACACACACACACACACACACACACACAGTGGCCTCCCGTCCTGGCTGTTGACTGAGAAGCACCTCCATCTCTGATCGGCTGTATTGAGGGCCGGGCGTTCACATCCAGTGGTTTGTTTTTAATACCGCCTCTGTCTGCGGTGATTTATCACGGCACAGACTGAATCCTATTTGATGTGTTTGTACGAGTGCAGCAGTAATTAACTCTGAGACTGCGCTTCAGTGGGAGGTGCCGGCGGAAGAGAGAGAAGGCAACGCAGCAGGCTGGAACAAAACATCCCTGCAAATCCTCCTGGCTGGCAGCGTAATAAATTAAACAGCGGATCATTTGTCATGCTCTGCTGTGTTTGTGTAGCTCCACTATTGAAGAGGAGGGTCCTTTTTTCACACGTTTACCTGCCTGATGTCCGCCAGGAGAAAAAGGAGGTCACACTTAATGTTGCAAGAAAGTCCCATGATCCTCAGAGGTGAAGCGGTGGCCTGGTTACCATCTCTGAAGGCCCTCAGAGGAGCTGAAACTCAGCGTAGGTCCTTTTCATTGGACAGTTAGGTCCTGCTTGTCCCCGCCCACTTTCTTCGCTCACATCCTCCTGTCCCGTGTCCAGAGTTGTGATGCTGTTCCTCCTCTTCCCCCCCGCCCTCACCTGTCCAAGTTTAATTTAAACAACTCCTCCTGTACTCCTGTACTCAAACCCCCCCCTCCCTGGTTTGTACTCTGAAGGTCCTTGAGCTGTCGAACAGCGAGCCGGCGAGCCAAGCTTCGTGTTTTTTAGGGCTGTAACTCAGAACATGAGCTCTGTGTACAGACTGTACAAGCCATCAACTTTTAACTGAACAGGAGAGACCTGAGAAGGCGAACATGAGGTTTAGTAGATTAAAGTCTGGAGGAGGGTGTCAAAGAGGATCAGCTGAAACACCTGCAGTGTAAGACAGGAGGAGATAAATGCACCTGCTGTTTAGCCTTGAGTTTGTTTGTGTGTAAATATACTCGACTATGTGCTTGGCTTGTTATTGCTATCATGCTCAGGCCATGTGTGGGATGTAAACAATGGTTTATGCAACACATCATGAGGTCTCTCGAATGCAAATACTGAGATCAGGCAGAAACATGGTGGTATACAAAGGCACTAAATCAAACCCAACCTGACATTTGAAAGTATGTGCCGCTTTTTAGTCACTATGGTCGTTTACTCTGTCACACCCACTCTGAACATACTTTTGCATCCTAGCCACGTAAATTTTTAAGGACGTGCATTAAAACAGTGTTTGGGACAAGTGGTGTAGCCATCATTGGTTCCCGTGCCTATGGTTAACTTTGCCTAGGACCTGTGTTTGGCTCCTTGTTGTTGCAGACTCACAGAACAACTTCTCAGTCTACCCTTACTTTGCATTTGTCTTTCTTACCCCCAATTTCCAAAGCATCTGGAACAGCTCTGCTACGGAACGGCAGCGATTTTTGCCGTCTGCTAATTCCTACTGGATACGTTTGTGAGGTGAGTTTCACGGCGGATTTCAGACAGCGGGAATCGCGAGAACTCGAGAACCCACAAGAACCCACGGATTCATATGCAGTCGCGCAATAATGAGTTGTCTCTATAAAGACAACCACATAACCATATGAGCAGTAGATTGTGTCCTTCCAGAGAAGAAAATCCACTTCTCGATTTATGGAATCAGCGTCTCCTCATCCATGGTGTTGGAGTGAAATGCTGTCTGAAAACCTTTGACTTGTTTGTTTGCATGGTGTGAAATACAATCTGCCTGAAAAACGTAGTGTTTTTTGAAAAGAAGCCAGATGTTTTATTTTGAGTCTGTGCCCAACTTCCTTTCCAGCACAGACTAATCTGAGCTAAATTTATGCTGTGGCGCCCAGTAAAAAAAAACAAAAAACCGGCGATCGGCTACCAAACCCCGCTGAGCTGCAGCGGAACAGACAGAAACGAGGGTAAATTGACACATGAACTGGAATAGAAATGATCAGATTGCCTTTTCGCCGCCACTCCGCATGTGGTGGAAATTTGGGGTAAAGCCAAAATACGCTAGGTGAAATCTTGCGCGGGTCCAAGTCTGCACAGAAGGAATCAGCTAGTGAAGCCACAGTAATGTTGTCTTTCCCCCTCCCACCATATGTGTGCAGGTTTAGATTAAACTCTAAGGATAGTTTAAGATTCATGGCATTATGATCTAAAGTGTAGCCAGTCCAAAAAGGAAGCTCCAGATGTCGTATTCCTGTCATGGAGGTACAGAGTGCACATGTACTGGTGGCTTCAAACACCAGTGAGCCTTTATTAGCACGAGATCTGTGACATACCTTGGGGATAAGTTGTTCAACATTTTCTTGTGAAAATGATTGAGCTTAATCTTCTTTTCCCCTCTCTTGATGGAGTTTCGAGTGTTTTGGATGTATTAGATCTGTAAGTGTGAACCAAATGGTAAAAATGGAAATGACAACAGTTTAAATGAATCACCAACACCGGCCGTGTGTTATCAGTGTAATTTCATGGAGAGAGGCTGCGTTGGGGCTGAGAGGCTGTTTCTGCAGGCCTGCCTGTGCTTAATGACACTGGCATGTTGATGTACGACATCGCGGCTCCGTTCCTCGGCTCATTTCCACACATGGTTAACTCTTTCTCCCGGCATCTGAGTGGCCAGTTTGCTGAAGGCACCGAGACCTTCTTCCGTGGGGAGTTTGGTGTGACTGATTACAGCAGAGCTGCAGTGGTCGCACAGAGACTGCACAGATATTCAGATAGTGTTTCGGTTTGTTTTACTGCCCAAACCTGAGACGTTAGGGATTGTTTGGACGGTTTGTGGGCAGAAGGCTTGTGTCTCTTTCTGTCAGTTGTTACAAAAGTTTAGGAAAGGTCAAGCAATTATTCTTTTGACCTTTAGCAGCCGTTCCCCAACTTTAGATTGACTGTAGCTCCCATGAGCCCCAAGTCCTGTTGGGTTTACCAGACTTCTTATATCATTTCTTTTAAAGACTTGTGATAAAGAACTTTTAACTCTTTTTTTTTTTTTTCTTATTTGGAGGGGTCGAATTCTTATCTCCTGTCAAGTTACTATCAACCTAGATAGTAATCTGCATTACCTTCATTTTGGATATTTATAAAATGTTGATTGTTGTGAGCAAAACATTTTATACCGATTGACATTTTTGATTGTGAAAACTTGAAAAATGGAGAATCATACTCCTTAGGCATCATTGAATCTGATCTCGATTATTTTCACTTTTTTTTTTTAAACTGCCAGTTTTAAAGCATCTGTACTAAAAACTAAAGAAACTAGACATTAGTTCAACATTTTATTAACATACAAACTGAATAATAAAGGAAATTGAAAAAGATAAACTTTAAAAAATATAAAAACTATTTTAACTCAACAATACAACAAATGGCTATATATACTAAACAATCCAGTGAACTAGTGTACAGTCCTGAGTGTTTTTACAGGTATGCAAGACCAAAAATAAACAAATGGCCCCCTCTAGAATAATGAAGACACATTAAAATGTAAACATTAGATGACGTAAATGGAGATGATACGATTGGTTGGTGCTTTGGTCTGGTGGCTGCACCGCTAGTCGTGGCTAAACTGCTAATGCTACTTGTGCCGTCAGCTGTGACAGACTGTGCAGACTCTGCTCATATTTTCATGCTTTCCACATAATCACTCGGGAAGAACTTCTTCAAATGATTAAACAGATCTGTTGTGTTGCCGGTTTTTGAGGGGACTGACTGCCGACATACCTTACACATCGGCTTAATTGCTGGACGTCAGTATGGAGATACCCGAACCACCGCCACACAACCGACGTTGAGTAACTTTTCTTCTCCACAGTGGCGTCTTTGGAGGATGACTAAAAGTCTGACATCTATTGACATCTATTTTGTTCCACGTTCGGTCATTCCATTTACTTCCCCTGTTTACATCTCTGGCAACTTACAGAAGTGAGCAGGAAAAGCTTGACTCTGATTGGCTGCTGTCACGCACATTTCCGCCATGTTTGATCGAGGAAATATGCTCACAGCTGGTCACTGTGATTGAACTAAAATTATCACAATCAATAATCACGATCATTTAATCGCCCAGCCCTACCTACAACCAATCAAGTTAATGCAGCATGTACTGAAGTGCATCCTAACAGTGTTTCCCAGCAATCATCTCAATTATTATGCCGTGTTTTTATGAAAAATCATCATTCAGTTACTTTAAAAACACCGTATAACAGACCCTCCGGAAGCAGAAGCTGCCATCTTGGTTGTTTACAAATATGCTAAAGCCGTGCTCCCCTCTTTTTGAGTGCAGATGGTGTTCAGCACCTCCTTAATCTTTGAATATTTCACTCTCAGTTGAAGAAAACACATGGAGAATGTTCCAGTTGTGTTGTTGGTGTTTGCTCTACAACAAGCTGCCACAATGCAAACGCTGCATCCGTCCGCTCTATCTGCAGTGGAGTGACAGACCCAGAGTGCGGCGCCAGCAGCCAAGACACAGTGACAGCACTGTTGGCATAGCAACCAGTGCGACGTGACAGCAGCGATGGCGGAAACGTTGCTGGAAAAAGCGCCACAGTCAGCAATTTCTCTCCCCGTCCTCCTCTAACCTCCGGCGGTGAAGAGAGCGTAGCACGGAGAGGAGGTGCAGGCGGTTCGGGGGTGTGTATTGGGGGTTTGAGGATGCTTGTTTGCCGTGTGGATAAACATTCATTTACCTCCAGCAGTCAAACGTGAAGTTAATCAGAGTGATTATGCGTCATAATCATCAGCCTCCTCTCCCAGCCTCTGGTTGCTTGTGCGTTGTACTGTAAAAGCACTTCCTCACACTGCCATCTGGTGATTTCTGCAGGTCTGCATTCATACACACACACACACACACACACACACACACACACACACACACACACACACACACACACACACACACACACACACACACTTCTTATTAACATACAGTAAAACACACCGCTGGTACTCACGTCATCATTTCTATAAGCACCAATGTTCCTCTGCTCAAACTGCTGAGGCCTGAGATCAGCAGCTCTGTGCTGCTGCTGCTGCTGCAGGAACATTTCTTTTTATGAGCGGTTACTCATTTCTATTTATTAGAGGTCGGGGAGCCGTGTCTGATCTAGAGAAATTGTCTTCTGAACACTTTTTATGTTTTTTAAAACTGTGCTGTAAAGTTTGAAAAAAAAGTTATGATCACCATGATGAAGATGTTTGACATTTTTTTATTGAGCTCTGATAGTTCACATGGACTAACTGTCCGCTAGAAACCTCAACAAGACTTAAGCGGGGTACTCACATCAAGATAATTGGGCTATGTTTGTCCCGATTCTTCCCCTCCCAACCAAGGATGACAACCGGAAGATTATATTATATCTTCTAAGGTTATCCTATAAGATTATCCAGTGGTCTGAGGTGTATTAAGAGTGAATTTTTCCCAATAATTGAGTTTGAAACAGGTCAGGGCTAACAGTTGTAAATATTAAACTTCAGTTCAATATTTATGACCAAAAATCTTCACGCGTGGGGAAAGCTGACGACTCCCGAGTCATGACTCCGTGAATTGTCAAGTGAAACAGAATGTAGCCAATCAAGAAGCGAGCTGAGTGAGAAACAAGGAACCAAATAAAGCGATCATCACATAATATAATACAATAATAATAATCACGCCAGCCATTAGCTTAATTTGAGAACAACTCAATTTTTCTGTCAAAATACTCCCAGAACCACCACCATCAGCAGTGTTGACTATTTATTTTTATCTTTTTGTCTGTTTTTCCTCAGGGGAGGAGCTTCGAGGAAAGATCACAGTGCGTAAGAACAAGAAGGACCCTCGCTCTCTGCTGGTCACCTTTGACCTCAGAGACAGGAAGCAGACATACAGCCTGCAGTAACACCAGTCGTCACATGGTGCAACTTCAGTTTTTTATGTGTTCAAAACAACGAGATGGTTTCAAAACTGTATTGGATGTTAATGTTCAGATTGCCTTTTAATAAAAACGTAATTTGAGATTGTCTCTTGTGTTTTATTTAACATGATAACCTGATTAAACCTCTTTCAGTCTGGTTAGATCACTGTTTTTATACACTTTTACTCATAATTAAGTGATGGACAAAAAGACTTCCAGCTCTTTACCAGAGATAAAAGTATCCCTTTAGATTTCTCGCCACCTTTTCCTCTTTGTTTTCTTTCTTCAAGCTTTGTGAGATCTCACCTGAGGCCTCATCCATCTTCTGGGAGATTACAGGGGCGATGTAAAATGAATTTACGCTTAAGAAAGGCTGACTGAAGACTCTTTACATACTTCGTTGAGCAGCTCTGCTTACAATTAAAGATTTTTTTCTCCCCTTTCTGCCTGAGATGATGAATCTTGGACTTGGAATAAAAGCGTAGCACACTGGGAGGAGGAGGAGCAGACTGTGTGTGCTGCTCTCTTATCACTGGTTTGACAGTTACCTTGTTTGATCTATTTCTACTTCTGTGTCCTCTCTGCAGTGATAATACGATCTGGTGTCATGCTGCCATAGAAGAAAAAAAAGAGCATGGCGTGAGAGAAAACTGCTGTAATTAAGTTGCATCTTGTTGACACTTCAACTCCAGTCTTCGGTTTGATTTTCTGTCTGATGTTTCACCTTGATTGGTGGGGCGGATCCACTCAAACGCTTTTAAAGCCTTACATGCTGATTTTCTGTAGAGTAACACTGTGACAAGTCCTCGTCTAAGGTTGTCAGATACATTGACTTAATTGCAGCCTTTTGGCGTCTCATACAGCCACTCTCTACTTCTTTTAGCTGCATATGTATGTTTACCATAAGCTGTTTTGCATCTTAAGCGCCCAGTAGCATGTGTTTTTATAAGAAAAAATATGATTTACTGTGGGTAAAATGTATAAAATTCATCTTCCATGAATCACCCACCACTCTCAGTAGAGTTTTTCTACTGTGCATTCAGCTTATGGCTTTCTCTGAATGTTAAAAACCGACACATAGAGGTTTTTGTCTTTTTTTTTAAGGTACAGTGTGCAAAAATTGGTGTAAGCCGCAATATCAAGTAGGTGAGATTCTGTATTGAAACCACAGACTGTAAAACATGGACCTTGATGATGTATCCCATTGGTTACTGACATGGACTCCACTGGATGGTGGAGTCCATGTCGTAAAGGCTGAATCAACCTGATTTATGGTCGACAGGAGGTGAAGAGGTGGCATTAAGATCGACCTTTAGCCTCCTTGCTAACAGCTACAGTGAGTGCACTTGTCATTTTTGTCAGCTATGCAAAACTTGTTACCTTATTACATCAAAAACAAACAAATTATGAAAACTTAACCTGTATATAGTGTGTGTTATCAAAATTCGGTACTCTGATCTACATCGTTTTGTTGCAGGTTAAACTTGTTCATTTTTGCTGTAAAGATAGCCTTTTTTTTCAGAATGGGTGTGTATGTGGTTTCCAGTGCTTTTGAAGCCAGCCCCCAAGTGGACACACAAGGAACTGCAGCTTTCAGCACTTCAGCATTGGCCTCATTTCCGTTTTTCCGCTTTTCTCGCCCCTCCTGCTCCTGATGTGGCCTCAGAGGAGAAGCTCCTGTGATGCATGTTAAATTTTATCCTCCATTTGGTAAGTTTTTACCATCAAGAACTCCTCTTCATATAAATTCATTTGCTCATGATAACTTAAGTCTTCTTTGCCTTTTCACCTCAGTTCATCTATTCTGTACTATGATAGAAACATGACAATACAAGATGGCGGCCTCTGTGGAAGGGTACTCACCGCTATGTAGATAAAAAAAGATTTTGAAAGACACACAATCTTAAATTAGCAAAATCAAAGCAACATTTATATTCAGGTGATTATACACTTTTATAAACATGTTGTGTGAAATGCTGATAATTATTGCACACTGTACCTTTAATTCCCAGTACCATGCAAAAAGGACAAGGTAGGAGATAATGGAAAATAGCTGACATACAACCCCAACACTTTTGAGGATTTAATTAGAAAAAAAGCTCAAATGGTTACATTTTCATTAAGTGATTTTAAAGCTCATGTGAGGAAATTTTGATGTATGTAACTTTGAGCACCTCCCTATGGACAAAACGGTCTGCTTATTTTGTAGCTTATCAGACCAAAAATTTCCAATCCTGTTATTAAAACAGCTGTTTCTATAGCTGCTTGTCTGACACCTACCCCCTCACACTGAATTCAAACATTTCAAAATTTAAGTATAAAAATCATCATCCTATCGCTGATAGTCTTGTTTGCTTTCACATGTCGTGAAAAAGCATCAATATCAATTTTACCCTGTTTAATAAATGTCAAAAAAATCCTCACAGGAGCTTTAATCCTTGTTTACGCAATATTACAATACTAATAGTTTAACAGACAATAATTACTGATAGGCAGGTTGAATGAAATGTTAATTATTTGTACTGACAGCAAGTTCTGGTCACTTTATTTAATATGTTAGGAAAGACCTTTTAATTACTTGAAGCCACAGGATTTGTAGGAATTATTTTTTTCATTTATTTTTAGAATAAAAAAACTAATGCAAAAAAACAAGAATAGTTTTAGCAGTTATATTTAACACATTACCATTGGGGGGTCTGCAGCACAGATCAGTCAAATATCAGTCGTGGATGATGATGATGATGATGATGATGATTAAGGGAGCTGTGGGCCTCCTAGTGACCTCCTCCGCTGAATCAGTGCTTTGCAGGCGCTTCAGCTGGATGAGGTTTCTTATCGCTCAGACAGACAGTGGGGGAGTGATCAATTAATTACACGAGCTCGTGTAATTAACGAGCACGAGGAGACACCGAAAAAAACATCCTCTCCACGAGGGGGTTCGTTTAGTCACTCCTCGAGCAAAAATACGAAAAATTAAGATGATACAGATTTTTTAATTGAGTTGAAAATAAACGCGAATTAGACATGCTGTTTTGAGGCTGCTTGTTTTACATACAGATTTTACTTTTATGTTTAAATGACTTGAAATAAAACAAAATTAAAGCTCTGTCCCAGAGCCTGTTAACCATTTTCACATTTCTTTGAGTGGTGATATTTAAAACCTCCTCAGGGTCAAAACTGTAGATGTGTTTGTATGATAGGAGTATGTGTGCGTGTGTGTCTGCGTTTGGTTGTGTGTGGTAGTGTTAGTCCTCCTGAAGACGAGCAGAAATCAATTACAATTATTCTCTGTTGACAATGTAATTAAAGTCAAGGCGGCGGCTAATACTCCCGCTCCAGCCTCTTATCTGGAGCGGACGGAGATTTACAAGCGGAGGAACACAGCGTGAATAGTAAGTGATCGGCCCCGAGTGGGACTGTGCGCGTCCCGGTGGGACCGTGCTGATCCCACCGGGGAGGGAAGCCAAATCCATAGAGTGTATATACTATTATATAATATACTATTCTATATACAGTTTATGGTCAAACCTCCTCAGACATCACCAAATCAGGCAAGAGTACAATGAAAGGAAAGAAACACAAAAAAATCGTTAGCGAAACAGTGTTAATGCGCATGTGCAGGTTTGCTAACGAGCAAGAAATTAGCCCAACAGAAATTGTATTTGTTGGTTAGCCTACTGAATGCAGTTAGCTACAGATTTGGATGCTGTTGGAGAGCTTTAAAACTTAAAAATATAAAAGAGATAAAATATTTCATAATATTAGGCCCACGTTTCTTACTTTAAGATATTAAGTTTTGTTTGAATTGTTTTGACATTATTCAAAAAAGGTTTTCGTGATTCCGGCTTTTATTTTGAAAGAAAAGATATCCGGCCGCCATTTTTTTAATCTATTGATTATAGGCCTATCTAAAGTTTTTCGTCTAGCTGTGTTGTATCTCCTCGAATTATAATTTCCGAATGATAAAGTTTGAAAAACGGATAACACTGTCAAGAAAAAAAATAGTAGAACAGAAAAAAAAATATTAACCCGGAAGTAAACCGGAAGTTGAGTGGCATCAGTTTGAATTCCCTCTCTAACTGCTCTCCCATTTTCTATCAGCCCTCGCGGTTGCTAAGCAACAATGCTTCGCTGGTTGTTTTCGTTAACACGTTAACTGGCCTGTCAGCTTCACATTAACGTCGAAAGTCAATCCGAGCAGAAGCCCGGAGCCATTCCGCTTTGTTAGGTAAAAAATAGTTTAATGTTTCTACAGAGTTTCAGGATATACGTTTTGAATCGATTCCCCCTCCCTAGAGTTGGTACGTGAGGGCAGTTTATGTGCAGCTTTGTGGTTTTTTTCATCTGCCTTTACACCGTTGGTCCGCTTTACGGGGGCCCTTACGATTAGGAATAGTTAGTATTGTACTCAAGTGAAAGCACAATCACTTTAATGCCATTTAGCTTTAAAACTACCAGACTTTCATGTACCTATGCCAAATTTAGTAACCTAATTTGTGCTCACTTTTGACTCATAGTGGTTGGTAGTTTATTTCCCCAAACTATTTAATGTTTACTAATATGACCAAAGGCATTACTGTGTGGAGTGTTTTGGCTCTGTGCCTATCCTGGTGAAGTTACTGAATATTTCTGCAGCATGTTTCGTTCGGATTTCATGTTGCAGATGGTACTTGCACACCTACATCGTGGCATGGAGTATTTTATGTCATGAAAATAAATTTATTTGTTTTAATGAGTAAAAATGTACGCAAACGCACCAAGCACAAATTTCTTGATAAGTTTCTTGAAAAATTAGGGGGGTTATACTAATTACGAGGAACTTATCGTGAAATTTTGAAATAAAATCAGTGTTTGGGCCTGTGAAAATATTGCTTATTTTACGCACAATGAGGTATTTTGGTTAGAAAAGAGATGAATTTACGCGGTAAGATTTGACTTGTGTAGACATCGTTTGGTCAGCTGGTTGTGATGCAGCTGATACATTCTGTAGCCTGTGATTTTATTGGTTGTTTTTCCCCATTAATCGATGCTATTGAAAATGCAGAGGAGTACAATACTCTTCACAAAAAATATTTCCATGAAGATAGGATTTAAAAAAGTTCTCCAAAAAGCAGAAGTGGGCCTTTTTAAAGAAGCTACTCAATTACAATGACATAGATCACTGTAATTCGTTACTTTTCCAGCCTCTTATTACTGCAACGAAGGTCAGTCGTTTCCTCTAGTTTCGGACAAATCAGCACTCTCAGATTTTGCATATACCCTATCTGTCCAAATGGAGTCTTGGACTGTGGTATGCGCAATGCAGTGTTTTAGAATCTCCAGTATGGCGCCTTCATTTCCCCCCTCAGCCGTCACAGCTCTCAGGCCGGGCTTCAGTGGTTGGCTTGAGTTCAACCTGACACACGCGATTTAAGGGGAAAAAATGGCTCCTTCTTGCGTAAGACTTGGAAAAATGAGTAGCTTTTTGGAGACCTCGCCCACTTTTCAAAAAAAAAATAAAATCTTGATCAATGCTCCTATCGCTGACGCACGAAGGAACGTAGATATCGCGCCGTGCGTAAAACTCGCCAAGTGTAAAACCTATTTATAGTTCAAACCATTTTTAACACATTTACTCTCAGTCACTATTTTTTCAGTGTGAAACTTCAAAGTTTCTGCAACTGAAGCATATTAGTTTGTTTTAAAAATGCCACCACTCAGATCTATATCAACGTTAACTTGACCTTTAGATTTGGAGTTTGATATTTTTAGGCCTAAATGTTGAGATCAGAAATACATTTTTGTGTCTCCAAAAGCTTCTCTCCCCAGTGTGGCAACTGTAACCCTTACTGTAGCTAAGACAACCGACTCAGCACACTGCAAACATTATCTAGACCCGCATGCTCTCTGGTGAATTAGCTCTTCTCCAATAATAGCCCAAAGCAGGAAATCTTCATCCCAAACGAGCTGTGTGCGCTCGTGTGGGATGTGTCCACGCTGATGTGCACGTGTGTAAGCATCCCGCATCTCCCCAGAGACAAGTGTATTAATGAGCTTTGCAAGAGTCCGTCCAGTGCTCACGCATGCACCGTGCGTAAAACCTCGAACGCACTCAATCCACGCACGCACACACGCGCTCCTGTCGTCTTCGCTCCTGTTGTCCCTTTAAAAATCCGAATCCAAGGCCAATGATTTATCAAACTCCTATTATCAAGAAAATGTCACGCGAAGGGCACCTTGCTCGGCACTGACGCAAACTCGGCTCTTTCTCACGGAGCTATAGAAAAGCTTTGCACTTGGAGCTTTGCGCCGGATACAAGTAGTCCGCTTCCAGTCCTCTCCTCGTCTTTTTACAGCAGTTTCCAGCCTGGCAGCAGAGCTCTGCGCACAATGGTAAGTGTCTCCAAACACTTTCTTTACTTTTCCAGCAGCAGTTTCATCTGTTCTGTGAACTTATTTTAAACTGTTTCATGTTAATCTGACACTTTTTTTAAACAGAGTTTGAGGTACTTTCTCTGTCCGAGGTGCTGAAATACAGCTGCATCTCTTCAGTGAAAACTTTCTCTACTGTCATCCTGCCGCCAAGAACTATTTTTATTCTCATGCAAAGGCATTTGTACTGGGATTAAAAATAATTTTCTACATTTTGGTGATTTTTTCAATTAGGTCCATCTCACTTTGTTTCTCATTTTGTATCTGATTATATCCGGGTGCATTTTTTCCACATTAATTATCAACATAACTTAGCAGGCCTAACAATCAATTAACCGCTTTTTCGTTTTCTACTTATCCTAATTTTACGAATCTGGAGCATTTTTAGCTTCCTATCCCACTCCCCCTGAAGGCGAATTTTTCGGGAGTCATTTATAATCCCCCGCCTCCGGTCCGCTCACTGCTGTAACGCCGGCGATCTCGCATGCCTGCCGGGGAGAGAGCGGAGCTGTACCGAGAGACCCGCAGCAGCTTGTCTATTGCCCATAAAATCAGTGGATGTGTGTGGCTGAATGACATGAGGGGGAAATGGGCCGTAAAATTAAAGAATCTTGCAGAAAACGAGAGCTGGAGAAGCACAGCAACCCCCCCTCCCTCTGACATGCACACACATACACACAGAGAGAAACACACTCGGTGGACTGTGAGCTGAAACTATAGAGCAGCCAGAGCCAGATCATGCAGCTGAAAAACGTTGCAGGGAAAGAATAGAGGATTGTTGTGGTCTTAAATCAGACATGGGCTGCTGCTGCTGCCTCTCTGCCTCTCGCTTTTTGTCTTGCTGATCTCTTCCTTCATGTTCCAGGATTTCTCTGACCAGAGCAACATGGCCAAACAGCCTCCCAGCGCTCCCACTGGTTACATCCCAACGCAGCAGCCGGACGGAGCTGCGGGACTTACAACAAACAAACCGGACAACACGGCTGAATGCCCGCCGCCTGCCCCTCACCATCACCCGGCGCCTCAGCCGCCGCCCCCCTGCAACGAGAGCAAAACTTTTTGTCCCACGGAAAATAAACCGGGAGAACAGGACAGCAATAAAGCCTATGGGACGTTTAAAAGCACCCCGCCACCGGTCCCTGGATCCGTGGCCGCAAATTCGGCCTTTAGGAAGGATTCCGCTGGATCAGCCCGCGGGGTGTCCGCCCCGTACGGCGACCCGCTCCGGGCAACCACGGAGCAGAACAACGCCGTGGGCAACTGGACGGCTATGAGCCAGACCACCATCATACTGGGAACAGATGGGAACACGTCTGTTCAGCCGAGCACCGTGACGGGGGTAAGTCAGCTAAATGAACCGTTTCTTTAACGGAGAGCGGAGCGGCTGGAGGCTGCAGGTGCGTGCTGGATGTTGATGAAAAAAGAGCTGACTGGATTAACCTGCTGCCTCCAAACAGGGGAGGTGCAAACCCCGGGGAGTTCTAATCATCATGCAGGGCTTTAGCTGATGGTGTGGAGTGGAGTGACTGTGGTTTGTGTCCACTAGAAAAGAAATGTTGATTAGTTTTCTCTAAAAGCTGTGCGTAATAAGTGTTCAAATGTAACCTCATCCAAGCTGGATGAGTGGATGCTTCAAGATTTACGCATTTCAAAAGCCATGATCATAAGGCCATAACTGATCTATACTTATCCTTACCTGTACTTTTATCATTCTACCTGAAAATGGATGAATGGAGTAATTATTTCTCTCCTTTGTGTGAGTCAGAATTTGCACGATTGGGCATTTTAGTGGTTAAATGAGCCAAAGCATGCTTAGTGTGACGGTGGACTATACGTGCGTAAAATCTAAGACCTAAAAAAGCTGAATGGGCTGAAGGAGGAGCTGTCTGGGTGGATCTGGAGCTATTTGGCGTCCCCCCACTCTGCGCAGCATCTGCACCAATCAAACTTTCAAATCTGCTTATGTCAGCGAAAAAAAAAACCGGAGGAGTTATTCAATAACGAGCCGAGTTCAGTTCTTAAAATATACAACCGACGCATCAGATCCAAAGGGAGCTGTTTGTGTTCTATGAAATGAGTGGATTTCTGTGGTTTTATTTGGCTGATTTTTGCTCACAGTTACAAGACGGTTAAAGATAATCACATAATCACAATCTCGCGGTATTTTTGGCTCTCCCTGCTCTCTGTGCTCTCACTTGGTATGGCCCAGAAGCCCAGGTGTTATCCGGCTGATAGGACAGCTCTGTGTTACACGACACTGCGGATTGTCTCCAATCCCCGTGAGGGAACTCCCCATCCTTCACAAACACACACTCTTACACACACACACATTCCCATGCATGCTGCTGTCTTTCTCTGCATGTCCATTCAGTCTGCATAAATACACTCAGATCCTGCAGTCATGTTTATTAGCGATATTTTTATATCCTTAGAGATGATATTTCGTTCTTTGTTCTGAATGATTTCTGTAAGTGCAGCAGAAGAAGAGTTATTTCTACACAGGCTCGTGAATGGACAACTCTTAAGTAGCTCTAAACTGAAAGGTGTGCGTAAAAAGAAATTGTTCAAGCAAACACACTTGCTATTTTCTGATCTTCTTTTCTTATTTATAATTTGAAGGATATTCTTTTTTATCATTTCTTCATGTTGGTGTAATTTGTCCAGTTTGCATTTATCTGAGTGTGAACCCAAGACTATATTGTTATTAAATGTCCTCTTTCAGGCCCAGGCTTTCTGCTAGTATTTTTAGTTCGATGGGGTCTTGTGTAAAAAAAGATTGTGTTTTTTTTTTCTATCAGAGAATGAAGAGATGTTTTTCTGTTCTCAGGCTGACGATGAGGACGAGAGTGGAGATGAGAATAAGGCCAGAGGAAACTGGTCCAATAAACTGGATTTTATTCTGTCCATGGTGGGATATGCGGTGGGACTGGGGAACGTGTGGAGGTTTCCTTATCTTGCCTTCCAAAATGGTGGAGGTAAGAGTTTGAGGTTCATGGCACTGGAACAGCATTTTAAGTAAATTGAAAAACTCAGGAAACGAAAAGTGTACCTCGTTTTGAGTCAGAATTGAAGTCAGGATTTATATATTTTTTCTCTTTTTAGGCCTCAGACTGTGGAGAAACTATTATCATAAAAAAAGCCAATAATTATCTTGAAAGAGACTTTTTATTCCGGTGATTATGATCGTTGAAAAATAAAAATTAAAAAAAGAAGCTCGGCAATATCTACACTCGGATATTATGGGCTGTTTATGCCATAAACGAGGCATTTATTATATTTTTTTATCACTGGAAATAATACTAAATTATTATGATTATTGTTAATCAAAGCTTAGCTGATGCACACAACTGGAATACACATATCTGCTCATTTTCATAAGAAGATACTGGTGCATATTTGTTTATTGTGTGCACATGTACGTAAATATTAGCCTAATACTTGGATGCACATGTCACAGTATGCTAAATCTGGTCTTACATACCGGTACAAATTCGTATTTTTGCTGCAATATTAATATTCATGTCTGCTGAGATATTTGCACGGTATTTAGCCTATCCCTTCTTTCTTTATATTGGCTTTAAATGTGCATTATTTGTCTGATATTTCTGTTTATTCTGCGTGTTGGAGCAGCTTTAGAGGTGAATCCAGGTTTGCTTATGTATTGTGGTGCAGTATAGTGTGTGTTTTTTCCTGCAGCCTTGTGTCTGATCCCCCTGCAGGAGCTTTTCTGATCCCTTACCTGACTATGTTGGGCATTGCCGGGATCCCTATCTTTCTTCTGGAGGTGTCTCTGGGCCAGTTTGCCAGCCAGGGGCCCGTATCAGTATGGAAATGCATCCCAGCTCTGCAAGGTAAACTGCCACAACTAAACACGTAATAAATACGAAACCAATTCAAAAATAAAGCTGATTTTTAACCATTACGAGTTCTCTACTTTTCTTAAGAGTAATTTATATATTTCGTCTCATTTATTTATTTTAGGTTGCGGGATTGCCATGTTGATAATATCTGTCTTGATAGCCATATACTATAATATTATTATGTGCTGGACACTGTACTACCTGTTCGCTTCGTTGAAGGGCTCACTGCCATGGGCTAACTGTAGGAATGAGTGGAACACGGTGGAATGTAAGGACAAAGACATGCTGCTGTTAGGTAAGACACACACACACACTCTCACACACACACCACACACACACACTCTCACACACTAAAAGTACCCCTCTCTCTCTCTCTTCACATTGCGCAATGCGTCATGACTCCCTCAGCCGAGGTGTCCTGCAGTATAATGAATCCTGACCTGTGATCTCTGCAGTGTTTTCACCCTCAAAAACTCTCTAAATTCAGAGCTTTTCTCTTTTTCTTTTTGGTGAATTATTCATGAAATTATTCAACAGGGCCTCACTTTATCATATCACTCTTTAAATCATATCTTCTCTATTCTTCTTTGCTTTAATAATATCAAAATGCTCTGCTTTATATCCTCTGAGTCTGCAATACACAGCTGAAGTAGTCTGTCTTGCGCTGATTTTTAATGAAACTTGAGATAAAATCGTGTTTTTACGATGAGAAAATGTCCGTGTGGTTGTTTTTAATCGATCTGCGTCGAATAAATATCGAAATTTCGCTCGTTTTCTGTAATATTTGCCACTAGCGATTGTGTGAATTCAGCACAAAAACTGCTTGCTTGACAAATTTACTGTACCGGCTGAGCTGCTGCAGTGCTGCAGTGAGCTCGAGACTGACCCCTGGTGGCCGCTACACGTTACAGCAGGACCATTTAACATGACAGCCTGAACGAATCAGGTGCATGAAAAATGAAAAAGCTGCGAGATATTTGTAAGGTAAAATATAACAAATGACTTAAAAATATTATAAAACAGTTTATTTTTAAATGAATTAAACAATATGAGCCCTATCATCATATGCACATTGCATTTCTGCTTATTGTGTGGTGGAAACTGGGCCTTTAGATACATCTTTATTTTAGATACAGTGCACCTGCAGAAAAACTAAACACAAGATTTAGATGTTATTTTAAAACCTTAATATCATGGCCAAAGTAGTGCAAGGTCATATGAGTCCAATGCAAGAAAGAAGTCTTGAGCAATCACAATCTACTAATAAAAAGACAAATGATTAAACATCTTACTCCATTTATAACGATAGAGTGAAATGCATGCCCTTATTATGTTTTGCAGAAGTTTTGCATTAATGTGCTGAAGGGTTAAATTCAGTATTTTATGTTGTATTTCTGTATGTAACTCAAAACTGTCTAATTTCAGCATCTGACCAGTTTCAAAAAGAATTAACAGATTTTGTCACCCTGCAGAAGCTCTTAATTAAGTAATCATGTGCGAGTGAAAATATCTTAATAGACGTACTAGACTAAATATAAGGCACATCCAACTGACAAGTCCATAAAAGCATTACATTTCAAGACATTACAAGCCAAAAATTAAACCTGGGTTGATTGAAATTAGTAAAAAAATGAATAAATTAGGAAGATTTCTGATCATGTTTCTAACATAAAAAATGTTGAATTGGAAGAAACTTGACAGATAACTGTTATTTGCTCTATTGGATGAATTATTTAACTCCTTTAAATTAATTTAGGTCTTATTTTTGATTTGTCATATCTTGTAATAAGATGTTTATTGGACTTGTCAGGTGAATGTGGCTTATATTCAGTGTAACAGACACAGTTTTCCTGAAAAAGAAAAAAACTCAGACTAAGGTTTGAGTTTTTTCAGTACAGTTTTTCCAGTATTTTGTTTTCATTTGGGGAAAGACATTTGGGTGAAAAAAAGACTTGCATATAGATGATCAGTGCATCTTAAGACAGGATTTTGGATGTGAAAATCATGACTTCCTGCAGTGTCTTTATAAACTTTGAGCAGCTGACCGTAAAACAGCCTTTCTTTTCTGTATAATCGCTGATTTTGTTCATATCTGGCTGTTTATCCAGAGGAAAAAAAGAGGAATCTATCACGGTTCTCACAGAGGATCCATGTTGCAGTCCTCAGATCTGCATCCCTCTCTCCAGAGAAGGATGCAGATCTGTCTGTTTTCCTCCCTCTGTGAAAACCTGAGTGGACAGTAAGCTCTGCCCCACAGCAGCTCTCTGCAGGTCTCTCCCAGTTTGACGTGTGTTGGTTTCTGATTGGAACAGACTCGTGCATCCTGCGGGACAGAAACATCACCTCCATCAAAAACTCCTCTTTCTGTCTGTCTGCAAATGCTGTGGGAAACCTGAGCAAACTGATCAACATGACTGTGGATGGAAACAAGACTTACGTCAGCCCCAGTGAGGAGTACTTCAAGTGAGTGGAAGACCAAATACAGTTCCAGTAACAGCTTAAATTACAGAAACTGCTGATAAGAGTATTAAGTTTAAGGTTCGGCTTTCTAGAGTCCCTTAAACTACATTATCTGGTGGAGGCACATGGTTTAAAAATTATGCTTATTGGGTGAAATTTGGCAGGTTCTTTATAGAGTTCAACAAGATCACAAAGTTCCAAATTCGACCAAGAAAAAAAACCTTAAAACCTTTGAAATGAAGTAACAAAGACCTGTGTTTTTTTTTATCATTTAAACCTGTTTTAATGTTCTGAAAAAAGGCCTGTAAAAAAAACGCCTTAAAAGAGCCATCAAGTCTGACCTTGCAGTAATGGGAACACTGCGGTAAAAGTCTGCTTATACAGGATTATATCAAAATGATATAAAGTTTATTTGGTGTGAGTGCATTGAAATAATGACAGCCCTGAAAGACCTGCAAGAATCAGTCTGAATAGTCTGAAATAACAGATTTAAATTGATTTGTAGTGTTACGTGTTCTTGAGTTTTCTGTCTGAATCCTCCTGCAGGTATAATGTGTTGCACATCTCTAAAGGAATTGAATTTCCAGGAGATATCCGCTGGCCTCTGGCTGGCTGTCTTTTCCTGGCCTGGGTGATTGTCTACGCCTCTTTAGCCAAAGGAATCAAGTCATCAGGAAAAGTAAGAAAACACACCAAACAAATCTTTTAACCCCTGATGTCTGCACCTCTGCTCTGCTGTAGATTAAACTCTTTAGGTTCTGCTTCAGGCTCTGCACCAACCCCTGCAGAAGTTTGTCTCTCTGCTCCTAAAAAGATCAGGTCCTTTTTTCTGATCTGAGGTAGTCCAGATGTAGTCAGAACACATCAATCCTGTCTGGGAACTTGATTTATGTTAATCTCTTGGATTTTGCATTAAATCTTCCCAGTTAGGATCTATATTCAATGACAGACGGTTCAGTTCTGGCTCAGATTACGTAATCTACAAACGCCACCCAGTATTGCCACAATCAGAAATCTTTTGAATCTTCAGTCCACATTATAACAGTGCAAAGAAAACCATAACATGCAGATAATTAAAACATTTAAACTTTTTATACAGGACAAATAAAGTTAATGAAACTTTAGCAATAAGTTTTTGGATGTAAGATGATCACTTGGTATGAATTATCCTGTTAAAAATGAAGGACCAAGAGATAAAACTGCTCTCTCAGCATCACTGTAAATCTGATTCTTTAAGGTGCAGCAACATTTTACTTTTTCCAAGAGCTTCCTCAGATTGAATGTTTGTGCAATGTCGCCCTCTACTGGATATAAACATTACACGCATGATGGCAACACTTACGCTCTTTCTCACATTAGTCTCCTCCACCTCTCTGCTATGGAGTGAAGTCTGTTTAAAGTCACAATCAGAGCTGAATGGATCTTATTTGATGCTTATCAAAGGGGGAGGGGTCAGATTCAGCAGGTTGGCACCACACATAAAAATGCACATCAAGCATGCAGCAGGTTGCGAAACAACTACGCTCAAATCAGGGATTAAGTTGGAGCTGAAAGTGTTACAGGACCAGAGGAGCGCTGTGTTGCACATGGTTGCAAAGTTCCTGGTGTAAATTGCACATTCGCCTAAAGATCCAGTGAGATCGCACAAATCTTTATAAACAGACATGTTTTATAGCAAACATGGAAATGTATATGCATGCAATACTGCACCAGAGTTGCAGACATTAATATGCATGCATGTATGTATGCACATGATGATTAAATGGTCAGGCAAGATGATCACTAATCTAGTTCATCCTGAGCTACCTATACCATGACAGGATGAGACGTATTTCCCATCTTCTTGGTTGCATTTCTTTTTTATGTGAATATTTCCTGTTATAAAAAGTTGGTTATTAATAAAAATCAAGCAGATTGAAAACAAAGTGCACAGCCAATTGGAGGTGTTTAAGCCACTAGTGACATCAGTCAGCAGGGTCACTGCTAACACATCTTATAGCATGCAGCTGCACATGTGCATTGACAACTTTGGCTTTTCGTGCGTTAAAAATGCTCACGTTCACTTCTCTGTTGCAGATTCTTGCTCATATTCTTGAGAAAACAATAAGAATAACTTTATTTATCCCTGAAGGGAAAGTCAATAAGAGGAGAGGAGAGTGGAACTATGAGTTTGTCTCGTCTCACAAAGCTGCAGCTTTCTAGAATCAGTTTACATGCAGTCAAACATACTTTGACCCATAAAACTGAATTTTCAGTGTAGGTTTGATAAGTTTATAATGATACATTAGGTCTGGTACTCATGCTATAGTAACTGACGTTGTAAAAGGTGATGTTATACGGCACAAATTGCAGAAGAGATGACTGAAAGTAAATGTAAAGGATGATGCACAGACTGAAGAGGAGGAGAAGAAATCTACTTTGAATCCTGATTCTCTAAAACATGATCATCTTTTCTCTTTAGCGTCTTCCCTCTCTAACTCAGTCTTCTCTTGTCTCCTCTCTGCTCAGGTTGTGTATTTCACAGCCACTTTTCCCTATGTGGTGCTGGTCATTCTGCTGATCAGAGGAGTCACTCTCCCTGGTGCCTTCGATGGCATCCTTTACTTTATCACACCAAAGTGGGAGAAACTGAACGATGCAAAGGTACCCGACTCCTACTTAATTCAACTCGGATATTCTGCAGTTTTATCAGTTTGTCCTTAACCTGCATTTTTTCCCTCCTTTACTCACTCATCAGGTGTGGAAAGATGCAGCCACTCAGATCTTCTTCTCTCTGTCGGCTGCTTGGGGAGGCCTTATCACTCTCTCCTCCTACAATAAGTTTCACAATAACTGCTACAGGTAAACACACAAAAGGTAAACTATTCTTCTGGCAGAAAATTCAAACTGTCACTGCAGATGTCTCTGTATGTCTGATAGAAATGTCAATAATAAATGACTCTCTTTGCAGCTGACAGCTCAGTGTTTCTTTGCTGTCATCTTAAGCTTCTCCTCATCGTTTCATTTCGCTGAAAAAAGAAATTGCAAAATATATACAAGCTGGTGCACATACACCTGATTACAGCACATATTTTGGCTCTCAACCATACCCAGTAGATTAAAAATAAAGTACTTCAATGAGCTGCATAACACATTTCAACTTTAAATGTCCTACACGACTTCTTCTCTTACCTTTTTCTTACCAAAACAATTTGTTTGAACACACAAATCATTCAATAGCATCATATTCATGTAAAATAAATTTACTGGACTAGTTCCCTGTCAGTTCTTCTGATATACAGGGAATATAAAATAGAAACAGAGACTGAAGTCTCTCATGCAGCGCTGCGCCCCTTGTGTACTCTCTCTGTAACTTACAAACACTCTTTGCAGTACTTATTTCCACCACCAGAGGGCAACATTAGATCTTTTTTCCATGTGCATAAACTAGCGATGACTGTGTCTTCTAAAACTGTCATCACACCATCTGTTATACGTAATAAATATTGCAGATCTATTCCAGTCACTCAGTCAGATATTTGCTCATTCAGCTTCTGTTTCTCTCTGTCCTCTTCCCCCCTGCAGGGATACTATTATTGTGTCATGTACAAACAGTGCCACCAGTATATTTGCTGGGTTTGTCATCTTCTCGGTCATTGGTTTCATGGCACATGAGTTGAAAGTGCCGATAGAGCAGGTGGCAGATGAAGGTAAGACACCAAACCACAGGCAGCAGCAGCGGCAGGCCGACGCTGCTCACTGAAACACACCTGACACAGTTAGATCTGTCTGTATGCTGCAGATATGGTGTGTGTGTGTGCATCTGTATTCATATATTTCTGTGTGTGCGTGTATGTGTGTGTTTTTTCTTGTGTGTGTGTTTCAGGTCCAGGGATAGCGTTTGTGGTGTATCCAGAGGCTCTGACCAGACTCCCCCTGTCTCCTTTCTGGGCGATCATCTTCTTCCTCATGCTCCTGACTCTTGGCCTGGATACCATGGTAACCACTGCTCCTTCGATATCTGTGTGTATGTGTATGAATGTGTATTGTTATGTGTTTTAGCCACACTTAAGAACACAATATGGCCTTATTATTAAGATGAATCCAGACATAAAAATCTTTATTACAAAACTCCTGTAACCACAGTTCTCATTTTTAGCATGTCTGTCTTGTTAGCTTCCAGCTTCTCCAAACTCTCCCTGTTAACTTTGCAGTTCACTGTTATGGCAAAACCAGTGCTAACTTTCAACAAGGGCATTGCCGTATTTCAAGATTGTTTTCCATGCTTTTATTTTAGAATATATTCTGTCTCGTTTAGGTAACTGGTAGAACTCACGGTAGAACTTTATGTAACATTTTATATTAATCTTATTATACAGTTATATTAACACCAGTATACTTCAACACTCAAACTTTCAGTAGTCGAGGTCACAACAGCCCAAACCGTGAATTTCTACTTAAGCCCTGCCCTAGAAAAGGCATGTTAAAGTTATGATTTTGGTGCGGCAACAAACTGGTAATTTTGTCATGTAGTAATTGTGTTCAGTTGTAAAAAAGCAAACACTTAAACACTAACTTTATATCTAAGTCAATCAATCTTTTTTTAAACTCTTATGAATACAAGTGGAGTGGACAGTGGAGTTGTTGGACAGTGATGCTCCCTCCTTTTTATAAATGCCTCCATCTTTACCACAACTTTTTTTTTTGGTAAATAAACAGACAAAATTGACTCATTTCAATCAGCTCTAAACTCAAATGAAGAAAAAACATCTTTAACCTTCTTTGACCACCAGGGGGCAGAAGATCTCCACAGTTTCTTGTCAATACTCAGCAGCCATGTACAGCAGATGCATCCTGCAAAGCATCAACTTTGGTCTCAGACAAGTTCTGTTTTTGTTTGGCTGTTTTATTGTGCAACTTTATAATTTCAGCTCGAATTTGGTCTCTACTTGTGCCATAGAAAAATAGTTCTGTGGCTAATTGGTGTTCATCTTTCATACAAGCTGCTGTTTGGTGCTCAGCAGGTGTGTGCATGTCGTTCATTTTGCAGCATTTAGCTCCAAATATCAGTCTGCAGCTGTAAAATGGGGATGATAAGAGCACTGTAAGCAAATAGAGGTGGAAATGTTCTGCAAATCTAGACATTGAGCAAACAGAGGAACTTCAGACGTGCACAAATCTTCTGATTACTCACATACATGGCCATTAAACTAAACTATAACATTATAATTATTCATATTTCATGTTTTAAGATCAGAGTAATATCAGAAAAGAGTCTGTAGATTCTCACAAACACTCATCAGTGTTTGTGTCTCTAAACGTGCCTATAAATTCTCATGTTTTTTCATGTTTCATGAGAGGAAAGTCTGTTTCTGCTGCAACAGAAACATCAAACTGTTTCTGTTGTTGAACTTCTCTGAAGTTTCCCGACATCCCTAATCTTAATGTCAGAGTCGAGAGCCTCTTGACTCCATCTTGCTCTGAAGTACACTCTTAACTTCAGTTGCGCCATCCAGCTAAGTATAAACGTTGCAAACATTGACCCAATTAACATAATTACCCATACACACCACCCACTGTGACTGATTTCAGCTGAAGTGCTCCAGCTCTCCGGGTACTCCAGCAGAAGGGGGTCGGTGTGATTGGATTGAGTGAAATTAAGTTGACCCTGAAGTTTTCTAACAACAACACTGACGTAATTCAAAGTTTGAGTTCGGTTCAAACATGTTGAGTTTAAACGAGGAGAAGGAGGCTCCAGCTTCAAGTTCAGAGCAGTTTGGATCATTTATTCTTTTCACTATTCCTGACAGACAAATATACAAAAAGAGTTTAATTTCTTGCTTTTATTGTAAAATATATGATAAAAAATCCAACCTCAAAACAAAAGATGGTTCAAAAAAATCATTTTTTAAGCTCTTAAGTAAAAAAAATGTTGAGTTATTTAGTAGTTATGCAAAATTAAAACTTTTCAGGGTGGAAAAGACACAAATGAAAAGCTGAGGTGTCTTCCCCACCGTGGCTATTACCAAAAAACACAAATTTGTGGATTGTACTGAACTTTAGATGATTTTTTCATTGAAACATTTTTCGTTCATGAGCTCATACAGTGTTATAGTTTTATCTCTGTTTTCTTTCATTTGTTAGAAGTCTAGATTTAAAGACAAAAACAATGACTGTCCTTATTTCATCGTCCTTTATCTCCTGGTCAGCCATTAACCTCCAATCTGAATTCTCTGAACGAATTAATACATTGAAATTGTACGACACTGTCAATCTTTGCTCATGGAAAATAACGTTTATGTTTGTTAGTAGGCAGCGGTGAAATCGTAACAGTACACTCGATCACTCGATAAGCCGTAACTCTTTTCCGCTGATTGATTTGATCTGTGTAACAGTTGCTATGGGGTTTTGACCAATAGGAATCAAGTATTCAACACAACCTAGTCATGAGAAAGAAAGCTGGACGATTAAACTCATAAAATTAATACTTTCAGTGGATAAAATGGATATAAATGATGTGAAAGTAGAGCTCAAAGTGAGTTATACTCAAACAGTTCACTCAAATGGACTGTGTTAATAAAAAGGCTCTTATTATCCAACTGAATCTACCTGCATGTAACCTAAACGGAGTATTAAACGGGTAAAGAACCAGATATTTCCCTTCAGATTTGCTGCAGATAAAGTTGTGCTAATAAGAGAGAAAAAGGTTTAGTTTACTTTCTTCAGGGCTCCAGAAGCAGATACCAAATCTGTAAAAATGTAATCATAGAGGAGCGTCTCTGTGTCTGATGGCTGGGGAAATAAGGTGTTCTTTGCATATGTAATATCAGTTTGTTTTCCCTCCCTCAAGGCGCCCAAAATTTGGCTAACGCAGCCTTTAAGTACCACAATTTATTTTAAAGTTCCGTGTCTCTAAATGTGAAAGCCACTGCGCTGATTTATTCCTAATGTTACTTCAGTGAACAAACATTTCCAAAGTCCAGAGCACCTCCAGCTCCAATCCTGCGCAAACAATTGCAGATAAAAGACTAACTCCTCCAAGTGCAGCGTGATGCTCCTGAGGCGAGCGGAGGAGCAAAGGGCACAGTGGCACATTAAGACACAAGTCAACAGCAACAGTAAATGATGATGTTACTTTACTCAGGCAGCGGCGGCTCCGAGGAGTGGGCTGATGGTGGCTTTGTTGTAGAAAGCAGCCTGGCGATAATAGGCTTGGGATGTTGACGGAAATTAGTTTTGGGAGCTCAGGAGGAAGGCGAGGAGCGGAGCAGAGGCAGATAGTTCAATGTGGATGAGTTTCTGCAGCACGCACACACATTATCAACACACCCTTACAACTTCCCTCCAATTGCTTGTTTGTATATTCATCCACTGCTGTCCTCTGGGTTATGAGGCCCTTTTACTTTCTTGTTACGTTGGCTAATCTCTGCACAGACTCCACCTGTCAGGTCTCCCGATTGTCGTCTAAATCCAGAGAAATAATGTGTTTACAAAACATTAACTGCTCAGGATTAGGGTAAAATTTGTACTTGTTTTATCTGAAATTACTGTGGGAATGTTTGCTGGTGGAACTGGAGGCAAATGGCTCACTACACCCCATGCTCTAATAGCTGCAGCTGCTCTGACTGAATGTTTAAAACTTTACAGCTTTAGGCTTCCACTTTAAGTAGTTGAAGTTCTGCTGCAAACTTTCCTGTTTGACTCTTTTTTAGGAGTGGTAAACAAGCAATCAGACTTTGCTGTAGTTTGCTAGATTTAACAGACAGATGATATGGTCACGTTACATACAGTATAATGTATGTTTGTGTATGCATTTGTTTCCTATGTGGCCTGTGAAATCCTGCCGCAGTGATTTTTTTGTGTGCGTATCAGTTATTATCTTATGTGCATCAGAAATTAATTTACCGATACCGAAATTTACAACAATAACCAACGTTATTTTGCCCATATCGGTAAATTGGGTGTCAAAAAAATAAATAAAAGTTGGTTTTGGATGTGTGTAGGTAGGCTATGGTCTCATTTCCCTTTAAGACGCTGTCCTACATCAGAGACATGACTCCATCCCATCCAGTCCGTAACAAAGAGGGAAAGACAGGTGAGGAGATGGAGGATGGTTCAAAAGTTGTAGCAGCTGAAGTAGACAAAGTTAATGTGGAGGGGGTGAGCAGCTTGTGGAGTAGTTATCGTCCATTTATCGTTATGGAGGTGAACTGCTCAGTATATAGAGATATTGATTCGAGGCCATATCACCCAGCCCTATGTATTCCTCTTACAAAGCATGTCAATAATAATGAAGTGCCCAGGAAGATTTAGATATTGTGCATTTCATCAGCTGGATGCAAACAGACTCCATGGATTATCATCGGATATCTTTGTAGAGTCTGCAACATCAGTATATAGTTCACACATATCAGGCTGTCACCATCAGTGACACACAGAAGTAGCTGATGCATCATCTTCTGCTTCCTGCTGTCACTGTGATGGAAAATAAGAACACCGTTGATCTTTTGAAGGACATATTTCACTTTTAAAAACTCAGAGCTCAGTTGACATGTCAAAAGTATTAAGCACTTCGTACCAAATAAATTCTTAACATACAGGTTTGGCTATTCAGGCTGATGTCTGCAGAGAGACACATCAGGAAAGCAGAGCAGTATTTTGGACTGTGGGAATCACTACAGGCCTTCGGATAAAATTAAGTCAATGTTAACTTCAGCTCTTGCAGTAGTAAACACTCACTGACAGCTGACTGCAGTCCAGTGAGTACAAACAGGCACAAGAGCTGACCACTTCCTGATCAGCTGTTTCTGACAAGTTAGAGGAATATTTGACATGTTGCATCGTCGAGCACAGCGAAAGCCAACTCTCATCCATGTCCTCAGGTTAGCATGAGTTGTTTTACATTGTTAAGATGGACGCTGCTTTGAAATGCAGAAGAATTCAACTGTAAACATGCAGTAAAAACTCTGATTAGTCACCATGACTTGTTAAAATTCAGCGATCAATTGCAGTTGAATAATCAATCATCGCTTCGTCATCCACAGAGAATTTTGAAATTTTCATTAAGGCTTAAAAAAGTTTCTACATCACTGCTTTACCTGAAAATCAAGAATCTTTTCATCTCTCTGTCTGCTTTGAAAGCCTCTTGAGATGACCTGAAGTGTTGAATGCGGAGTTGTTTGAAGATCCGAACGTAACAGAAAGTATTTGTGGTATTTTCAGGGAAAAACTACACTTAACAAAAAAAAAAGACCCTTTCTCTCCCCTTAATGCAGCTCCCCCCTTTCTTTCTCATATCCTTATTTGCCCTGAATATTTTTCCTTTCTCCTTCTCCCTTTTTTCTCTCTTAGTTTGCCACCATCGAGACCATCGTGACCTCTGTGTCTGACGAGTTCCCCAAATACTTGAGGAAACACAAACCTCTCTTCACCCTGGTCTGCTGTGCCTCTTTCTTCATCCTGGGATTTCCCATGATCACAGAGGTATGAAATGAACCCAGAAAAACACACTTCTATCTACGCGCTGACACCACAGCACAAATATGCTTTTATATTCACCCTGCACCTCAGACTCTTTGAATAAGCCGACAGATTTCTGCATGCAGAAAGGAGCCGTGGTGCTCAGAGGACCGGCTCAGAGAGTCTGTCTTATTAACATCCCCTCAGACTGCTTCAGAGTCAAAATACTAACCTCCGATCAGATTCATGGTGTCATTTCTGTTAGTGAATCATAAGTTAGTGTCATCGTAATGTCGAGCTGAAACGGATTTTCTGATGTTTGTGTGTTTGTGACAGAATGGGATGTACATGCTGCAGCTGGTGGACACATTCGCAGCCTCCTACTCCCTGGTCATTATTGCTATCTTCGAGTTGGTGGGGATTTCCTACCTCTATGGTGAGTTTCTATCTCTGCCTTTTAACCTGTATCCCACCCCTTCCTGTCTCCCAATCCTTTAAACGAACTTCATTTGTAAAGTTCTTGGATTTTATTCAGTCTCCAAGTAGGGCTGCATGAAAATAAAATCCTTTTTTTTTTTTCTTCTGAAAACTCAATTTGTGATTTTGATTTTATGACTCAGTGACAACTCCACCAAACTTCACTTTTATAAAAAGTTTTTCTATCATCTTTTAAAACAAAATCACTAAAAACAATGTAGTGCATATACCAAGCCAGTAAGTGGCGCTTTAACACTGCCCAGGAAATTAACAAAAGACAGAAGAAGAGTACAGAGCACGTGTATAAAGGTTATTTTGGCCGGACACGTGCAGGCGCCATAAAAGAGTTACGCTGTGTGTCACAAAATCAATATGACAAAAAACTTTTGCGTTTACTCCTGAATTCATTTCCGTGTGGACGGGTTGATCCCGCCTTCAGACAGACTTTGCAGTGGTTTGTTTTTCATCTGAAACTATGGAGCCGGAGCCGTACCAAATTCCACACGACTGACTTACTCTTGTCCTATTTAGACATGAAATTATCACCTTCTTTTCAAACGCCATGTTTGTTTACACTGATGTGTGTGGGAACTGGGGAGCGCTCCCACACGAAGGGGGAGCCTATGGTGGCCTGGAGGTGTGAGACATGATAGAGAGGAAAATGGAGTTGACGATTTTAATTTTCTTAAAATCGTCATAATCAAATAATCCGATTACGGTTTAACATCGATTAATCATGCAGCCCTGTCCCGGAGTTTCAGGGATATTATATTTTGGTTTGTGCTCAAGTCTCACAGCCTGACCTTAATCCACTCCCACTTGTCCCACACCAGACCATTAAGGGGCACGAAAACAAGAATATAATAACACAGACATCCCTCTCCAAAAGTATCAGTAAAAAGGAGCTCCTGTTTATGTTTCTACCAATACTTGAGCAGTTTAAAACAAGACAAAACAGGGCAGCCAGGCATCCTCAGAGACCATCTACGATAGAAATATTTCCACTCAAGTTCAGAAGTTATAATTAAACACAACAGAAACCTCCTTCAGGGAAAAATGATCATAATTAAAAGTCATAAAGTAATACCAGCATGAAACGGCTGAGAGCTTTTCAAAAGAAGAATCGAGTTGAAAAAAACAACAAGCAGAAAAACAATAACAAGATAATATGTAGTGTAGAAAAAGAGGGAAAAAACTTCCCTGTGTGAGAAAACTGTAATCAAACTTTGAAAAAAAGCACAAAAAAAAAAAGGAAAAAATATAATGAGCAGTCGTTTTAAGTAGCTTTTAAAAAAGGGATGCATCCGTTAATTTTCCAATCTAAAATCAAAAGATTGAAAAAGGTTATGAGTGATTCAACACCTGTCTGAGCCGGAGTTTCTCTGCCATCCTCCTTCAAAAACCCAAACTTCCGTTTTGAATCTGGTCCCACCTTACACCGCCTGATTAACTCTGCCAACAGTTACAGGTGAGTCCATGTGACTTCACTTCCCTTCACCCTCTCTGCTGTGTTGGAGATGGAGTTCCAGTCCTGACCACTGGGTGTCTCTGTTGTAATGTCTAAATCCCACCTGCAGACAGAGGGCTCAGGTGCGTGTCAGGGGGCTGTTACTGAGGAGCAGAGCTGAGCTGCTCTCCTCCAGTTTGTCAGAGCATCAGTACAGGTGACATATTGAAATGATTGTGTGACTCTGCCTCTTCATGTCACTCACTGTTATCCGTCAATAAAAGGCCGAGGAATGAAGCCATCTGCTCCCTCGCTCTTTCTCAGGGACGACAAACCAATACCATCTTTCTTTCTCTCTCTCTCTCTCTCTCTCTCTCACACACACACACACACACACACACACACACACGAGGATGGCCTGAATTTCCCTCTCCTTTTTTTGGGCTCCTTATTAAACCCCGGTCACTCACTCTCTGTGTTCCCTCTGTCTGTCCTTTTCCAATTCCTCTTCTTTTATTTTTATTTCCCTCTCTGTTCTGCAGGTCTGCAGAGATTCTGCGAGGACATTGAAATGATGATTGGTTTTCAGCCAAACCGATTCTGGAGGATCTGCTGGGCCTTTGTGACTCCAACCATTCTGACGGTATGTTTGTTTTTGCTCTGCTCACCCCCCTCTCTCTCTTTCACGCACAGACACACACTTTTCAAACACACACACACACGCAGAGACAAGCATTGACATGTGCAGCTTGAAATGTTTCCGTTTTTACCGCTGTCTTCCAACTTCATTGATTTGCAATTGGAAAGGAACCAGAAGGAAATTGTTCCTGTTGCACAACAATCGGAAAAACATTTCTGCTGTTTTCTGTCGCCAAGTCACAAGTTGTTTGTGTGTTTTTTTAAAAAAGTAACAGCCAATAGTTGGTGGGATGTAATTATCGCCGCTGCGAGTGCTCAAATACATTTGATTCCGGAGAGCGTATTTCCTGTAAAATGGCCTCTTCTTTGTTCCACACTGTGCAGCAGAATGGAATCATTTCAGCGCACAGTGTTATAAAAGTGTCCGGCGTTAATGCTCGAAATTGTAATGGAAGCTCCGGAAACAGAAGTGATGAAGACAAATGATGCCGCTTTGGGCCCGGTTGGCCATCCTGCTGCTCTCCAGGGAGATCAGTTTTCCTCCTGGGAGCTCATTGAGCACCAACTCAGGCTAATCTATTTCTGTCGGCCATCTTTTCCTCTATTTGTTTGCTTTTCCTCCTCTTTTTGTCATCTTTTTCAGCCAAATTTCGGCAGAGACTCCGTTTGTACCCTCTGCACATAAAGTAAAATGAAGGTCTCATTTTCTCGTCATCTATCGTCTCTTTTTATGTGGAACAGTACACTCGACTTTGGCGGCGTGTTCTGACTTCAGTTAAGGTAATTAGAAAGAAATCGTCTGTACAGGCGGCATGAAAGTGCAGAACAATAATTACACAGTGCAGCAACATCAGGCCACAACCGTGTGAAAACAAAATTTTGAGCTATTATTATTAAGAAGCGTGAATATTTTCAGCCTAACCTTTGATGAAACAAATCTGAGGAAGAGTTCAGAGTAACTTTTGAAGAGATATTATTTAACATCAGCGTCACGCGGCCCGTGGAGGAGCTGAGCAGCAGTTTTGTGTCCTGAAGGACTTTCAGATTTCCTGTCACTGGTGTTGAACAGATTCGTGTTTTGTAACATTTTCAGTAAACAGCTATGGAGAAGAAGAAAAAAGAGAGATGGAGAAAGGATACAAGGTAGGAGGAAGGAAGGTAGGAAGTAGGGAGAAAGAAAAGATGGAAAGGATGAAAAGGTGGATGGAGGGAATAAAAAGAAGAAAGGTGGAGGGAAAAAGGGAGAAAATAAAGAAAGAAGAGAGGGAGGAAGGAATGTAGGGAAGGACAAAGGAGGGAAGGGGCAGAAGGGTAGAAAGAAGGAGGGGAGGAAGGAAGGAGAGGAAGCAAGAAGTAACAAAGGAAAGAAGGGGAAGGAAGAAGGGAGTGGAGGTAGGAAGGATGAAATGAAGGAAGAGAGAAAAAGTGGAATGAGGGAAGGAGTGTAGGAAAGAAGAAAAGGGAAAAGGTAGGAAGGGAGAAGGGAGGGAAGATGAAGGGAGGGAAAAGGGCGAAAGGAGAAGGTAAGAAAGGAGGGGTGAAGGTAGGAAGAAGGGAAGAAGGATGAAGAAGAGTAGGGAGGTAAGGAAAAAGAGAAAGGGGAAAAGGAAGGAAAGAAGGGAAAGAATAAACAGAAGGAAAAAAGGGAAGGAGAAAGAAAGTTCACTTTCTTCTGTGTTCTTTGGGGTGGACTATGACCCCCAGTCACTGCAGTTGCTCAGCCAGTGGTGTGTAAATGGTCCTGGGATCCTGGACATGGTCTCAGTGGTGTCACATGTTAGTCTCTGAGGCAGAGGTTTGAAGCAGCCGCCATATTGGAAATCCTGAGTCAACCTCTTGTTTGATTAACCCAGATAGAAGCGAAGAGGCGGGGATTACGTAGGTCGGCTTTTAGCCTCCTGGGTACCGCCACAGTCTGCATGCCTGTCAATCAAGTCAGCCACGCCCCTGATTTGCATAATTATGCAAAACTTGCTGCCTTCTTAACTTCAAATTCAACGAGTAATAAAATATTCAACCCCAGTGGAGGAAGTCAAATAGAATAACAGACCATTCATACGAAGCTGTAAACATGTTTACTCCTCCTCTGTTTGAAGACAGTTTTTATAACATAGGTGTTAATCGGAGCTGGTCCTGCTTTTAGCCATGAGTGAAAACAGGAGAAGGTGACATGTAGGGTCAAAGAGCTTTGAGTCATCAGAAGAGCACAACAGTCCGTTAAAACATGAGACAGCATATTGAAAAACTTGGATATAGAAATATGTGACGATGTAGTATGAAGGGCATGAAGTTGTGACGCACTTAGTAGACTTTTTTCTGCAACTTTACCCTCTGACTCAAGACCCGAAAGATGTTTCTGTTGAAAATAACTATACTAAGAAGGAACGAATGATTTTATGTCATTACTTCAAATAAACTTTCCTGCTCTCGAGAAAAAAAAAAAGAAACAGCTACAAGCCTATGATTTATTACAGCTGTGCAGACTTACAGATTTGTCTCTGTACAGGCTGTTTTCACATATTTACATTCCAGCGTCACACAGCCCATCATTTCACAATGTTTCCTCTGAGCTGCAGAGTCCTCCTCCTGCAGGGGACACAAACTTTAGAGGGCACAAGGAGGGACTTAGTTTCCTGGTTTTTCTTTGTCCATGCAGGGCATCCTGATTCTGAGTCTGTACCAGTGGAAGGTAATGACCTACGAGGACTACACCTACCCCACCTGGTCTATGGTTCTGGGCTGGCTCATGGTCATCTGCTCCGTCATTTGGATCCCGATCATGTTCGTTATCAAAATGCACCTCGCACCAGGCTCCTTAATTGAGGTAATAATAGAGACAAAACTGCGAGGAGACAATCCCACGTATGTTTTGTTTTTGTCTACTTTGCACACAGACACACACACATACACACTTTATCCACACACTCTCACACGCTGTCGGGGAAATCAATAGTCTCATCCTTTGCTCATTAGCAGGGGAGGCAGGCTGCTGGCTGCTGGCGGAGTATTAATTTGAACATTTTTCTGGGAGTCCGGCGGGTCCCTTTTAAATACTCTGATTAATGGATGATGATGATCGTGGCTTCCTCTCCGAACGTCTCCGCTCCCTCAGCAGCTCTGACAGCCGCCTCAATCACAGAGCCTCCTCTAAATTTACACTCTCTTTCTGCTTTGCTGATAGAAATAAATAGTCATGGTGGGTTTCACTCAGATTTGAGGATGATTTCAGATGCAGCAAAACAACTTCAAACACCTCGCATGTTTGATGATGTTCAGCGAGCGGAGAGGGGAGGATCATTAGCTTTATTTTGAGTTTAAATCAATTACACTGAGCCTCTTTGATAGTTCTAACACAGAGGATCAAACTGATGAGTCGCAGAGTTTACAGCTTTTACTAATTTTCAACTCTTGTCGAAAATCATCTTGTAAAAAAATGAGCTGTGAGATTAAAGTACAGGGGTCATACCTGTTTCAAAGATTTTCCTCCTTTTCCTGTTTTTGATAAGGAGGTAAAAAAAATAAAGATGTAAATATGGGATGACCATATTCTGAATCCCCAAAAAGACACACTACTACGCAGGGTGGAGTTGTACGTGCGCTCAAGATTTTTAGGGTTATTCGGGCTGGGTCGAGTGTTTTTTACGTGCTTCTAACTCAGTTAAATGCATACTCTGAATTCCCCGCCAAAAAATTAAAAATAAAAAGATGACGGCTCTGCTCGCATTCAACGGAGAGGAGTCAGATGATGTGGCTTGGGCATCTAATCACCAATAGGAGACCATGGGGGAGACCAAGGACACAAAACTGTGGGGAGACTATGGCTGTGTCTGAAATGGATCCCTAACCCCTATATAGTTGACTATATGAGGGTTAGCGCCATTTTGAGGGGTGTCCGAAACCTGAGTGATCAATTCCAGTGCCCCATTTAGGCGACTTAAAATTTCCCATAAAGCATTGCAAAATGTAGTGACCATCCGATGGTCACTCACCGATGGTGGGCATCCCGTCATGCATTGCGTCTTGCCATGTAGTGTCCGAAACCTCTGGTGATTGAGTTCACTACATAGTCAACTATATAGTGAAATCCCATATGGGGGTTAGAGGTTGAGTGATTCATTTCGGACGTAGCGTATGTCTCTCAGCTGGCCAGGAAAAAACCTCTGGGTTCCCTGGGAAGAGCTGGACAAAGTGGCTGAGGAGAGAGAAGTCCGGGCTTCTCTGCTCAGGCCGCTGACCCCGTGACCCGACCCTTGATAAGCGGTTGAAGATGGATGGATTTTATCTCATCTTTTTTATTTCACTGGCGGAAATGGGCTTCCATACAAAACTCCAGACATTTGAAGGATTTTATAAACTCCCCCCCAGACAGGTTGGACAGCCCCCTAAAAGAAGACATGTCCAGATAAAAGAGGACGTATGGTCACCCTTTGTAAACATGACCTTTTTTGTTGAACAACTCAGCCGTCTGGGAGTTTTAAAAAGTGAAACATGCCGATCAAAAGAGTCTCAGTGTTGGTATATTCATCAGGGTGACTGCAGGAGCTGCAACTTAAATATAGTGTAGTCCTCCTATTGGATATGATTAATATGAATTTAGGAATTTACTTTTGGACCCTAATTGGAACCTAATTATTACAAGTCCAAAAAAATCATACAGCAGACAGCACAATGGACAACACTGATAAGAAATGAAAGCACAATTAATTTGTTAAAGTTAAAACAGTGATTGAGTCTCATTCACAGTGATAAAAGTGACTTTTTCTCAATAATTGCACGTCTGAATCTTGTATCAAAACATATTTGATGAGTTATCTGGGTGAAATGTCGAGGATTTTGATTCCAATTTCACATAATCTTTTTCGTGACAGTTCTATGCAAAGCTCTGGATTTGTCCTTGTAATGTGAGGTGATGAATGAAAACGTTGACATTTTTGTGTTTTAAGTGTGACATACACTTATGAGTTACAAAATAGTCTGAAAATGGCATCAATTCAATCACTAACATGTTTGTCATTTATGAGCCATGAATCTAAGTTAAAGTTTCATTGATTTTTAGAGGAGGCCTCATCTCAGGTAAAAGCTGACATTGTTTTCTATGAGGCACCAGCAAATGAGACTCATTTAACAACCAAACAGTAAAAACACCAAAGCAGAGGAGCCATGGAAAAGTTCTCAGCAGGAAAAAGGAAAGCAGGCATGTCAGCCGGGTCAACTCTCCATGCAAACAATCGTACCCTTGAGGAAATTCCTGAAACTGCACAGCTTGAGTCTCAAGTGAAGTGCATTGACATTGAAGCACTCACATAGCAGAGCAGTGAACAATGTTCCTCTCGTTCGCCCACACATGTTCCAGTAATGGCCTCGCCAACAGAAGCGTTGAGGGTTGTCAATATGAGATCAGTGTTTTGCTGAAGTGATGACAACAGGTGCTGGGATTGAACCATCAGACACAGCGGAACCACATGCTAGATGCTAAGGGTTTGATTGGCTTTGCTATGATGGAAGCTCTTTAAGACTGTAATGGTAGAAGGAGAAGTGTGCGTGGTTTTAGCTTTGCAGAGCGGAAAAAATGAATGATGAGAGGGGCTTTTCTTCTGCAGAGCTCCAATAACTCATTAGCAATTCACCTCTGAGTCGTGGGCGGAGACAGCGCTGCTCTGCACACTCCTCTTCACACTCCTCTTCACGCTAGCTTGCAGCCCAACATTGACGGTGTAGTAGCAGAGGCAGGTAACATGAGAGCTATTCAGCTCTCGGATACTAATGTCTTTGAGGACACGATGAAAGCTAATATCATAATTAGCTTTCTTACGAGCATTGCAATCCACTAACGCACACGCTTGTTCTGCGATGGTCCCCTCTACTTCTCCGAGTCTGGCCGTCATAGCAGGGCTCCGGGGTTGGAGCTCGGATTTGTGACGTAGGAAATCTCACTGTATGTGAGTCTGCTGTTTGGGTCCGATTACTCCAGTAATCAATAGAATATTTGGTAGAATACTCGATTACTAAAATATTTGATAGCTGCAGCCCTAGAAGTATTTTAAACAAAAGCCAACTCCCAGATAAAGTCCAAAGTTATTGTTTTTAGCAAATAGAAATGCAGATAATGATCCAATCTAAAGTGGTCAGTCAGGTTAATATTTGCTTTATTTGTTTGTTAACATGAGTAAATGAAAAATCTTTTTGGGTTAGAGTTAAAATTGGATGATTAGTCGATTAGCAAGTCTGAACCACTACAAATTGCATACACCTGCATCCTTTTAGCAGGATGTAGTCGCCCCCTGCTGGCCATTAGAGAACATGCAGGTTCAGGGACCTTCCTCACATGTGTGTCTCCTCTCCTCCTGCAGCGTCTGAAGCTGGTCTGCGCCCCTCAGCCTGACTGGGGTCCTTTCCTGATGAAACATCGTGGAGAACGCTACAAGAACATGATCGACCCTCTGGGCACCAACTCACTGGGCCTCAAACTGCCCCCGAAGGACTTCCAGCTCGGGTCCTACCAGTAGCAGTCACCTTGGTGGTACCGAAACCCCCAACTCCAACCCCCTGCTGAGGGGGCACCATGAGGGAGGAGACCGCCACCTTATTTTCTCCCCTCTCACTTCTCACTTCTCACCTCCTCTCCCTCCCCCTCTTTGCTTCCTCTCTTTCTCCGTGTCATGTGGATGTGGAAACAGGCTCCCTTTCTTCTCCACCACTTCCTCCTTCCTCTCAGGGAGGAGTGGTTTTCGCAGGTGGAGTCTACTCCTCCGCTGCTGCTTTGTACTCGGTTAATGGGCTATCATCGCCTTCCACACATGACCACTGATTACTCCAGAACCCTTCCCAGGGATCTTTATTCCAAGAGAAAATTTGTGTCATCAAATGACACAGCTCAGACTGCACTTGCAATATTAGACTCACCGTAGCTGCTCCCTATGGAGTCGTGTGTGTACGTGGGTGTATGTGTGTTTATGTGTGCGTGTGTGTGTGTGCCGTCATATCGGTGTGTAGAGGTAATGAATCATCTTGGTGGAAGCAGACACAGGAAAACAAAAAGAAAATTGAGCGACAGAGAAACAGCGCTTCATCGAGCTCGACGGGGATCTGTGTTTTGTTCCATCTCTGTACAAATTTCCATCTGCAACACAAATAATATCTACTGCCTCGGGAAAAAAAAGGAAAATATAAACACAGTTTGCATTGGTATCACATTTTGTTCCTATCCAGCAGTATATATATAAATATATATGTATTATTCACACTAGATATTGCTCAGTCGCACTTGCTTTGTCAGGAATAGATTACAAGATCAGCAATTTGTGCCTCCTGTGTCCCCGTAGAATAGCGAGCGCATCCTGATTATCACTTTGAGTAAATACACTTTGTCCAGGATGACTCTGCAGTATGATAGAAGCTTGGCCCTATTTTTCCTCTCTGAATCTGAGGGACCATCTATGATAACCCTCTCTCTTTATTAAGCTCTATCCCTGTCCTCTCTGTGTTGTGTTAGCCTAGATTGTAAAGTCGTATATTTCCTGATGTAGGGACTAGTTTAGCCTTCCTTCAATCGGCCATTTAATCTCTCCAAAATCTCCAAAACCTTATCTGATAGCCACCCTGTGCTTCTATTTTAGACGGCGCATTTATCGCTGTATGTGTTGTGAACTTGTCAAGCTCTCGTGAAACCATCTTTCCGATATACGCCACATCAGCAAAGTAACGGTATGAAATATATATAAATATATAGATACATATATATATATAGATAAAAATCTATTTATAGCTTCCAGCAGAGGAGAGCTAGCTAGACAGAGACCGAGAGAATGTGTGTGTGTGTGTGTTTTCATGTCTCTCTGAACCATGTTTGCTAGCCGTGTAATATCTTGTACAAAGTCTTTCAAAGTATATATCTTGTAGTTGTAGGTGTGTGTGTTGTCGCGTCCTCACATTGTTAGGAGCAGCTGCTATGTGTGAGAAGATGAAGATTAGAGTAGAAAAAAAATGGCCTCCTCCTCCTCCTTTCCAGGAAGTGTACTTTGTCTCTTGTTGTTTGTGGTAGAGCTCCGGAGACCTCTTTACCATATTCAGACTTTTGCCTCTCGCTTCTCTGTGTTTGTCGTCATGAAAAACAGGGTCTCAGGTATACTCGATTCCACCACACTACTCCGGTAGTTGTAGGAATAATAATATTCAGTGCATAGGAAACAGAGAATAGAGCCATCTTAACGCTAAAAAAAACGATACCTGGAGGAAGAGTCTGCAAGTGTGTCGCAGAGGATCAGAGTCCACTTCTTATGACCTCTCTGCTGCAGCTCTTCACTTCTTACCTGCTGTTGCTTCGACCCGCCTTTGAGAAAACCGTACAGGACGCTGACTAAGAGTGTGCAGTGCTAAAACAAGAATCTCCTTTTCATGACAGATTGAAGGAAAAACGACAGAGAGCAAAGATTAAAGAGGTGATACTGAAGAAAAACTGACTTAAAATGATGGATGTCAAATTTCCAAATTCTAATGACGAGACTGCAGGCTGCTTGTTTTAAAGCTCCAGTAGGGAACTTTCTGTTTTTGTCAACTCTGGCGCCCCCTGTGGACAAAATGATCCTTTAGCTGAATTTGTCTTACAAATGTACGAAGAGCTTTTTGATAAAAAATCCCATCCGGCTTTGTTTTAAAACAATCTATTTGAGTATTTGTTTGGGGGGGAAGTGTGCTGTCAATCATCTGGTCTGACACATAGCCCCTTCGAGTAAAAACCACCAATCAGAATTTATGATATAGGAATAGCCAGTCAGTCTTGTTGTGGGTCGTTTTGATTGCTGGTTCAGGTGATAAAGAAGCATAACAGCTAAAAATAGTCTGTAATAACCAGCAAAAGCATTGAAAACATGAAAGGATTAAAAAGTTACACATAAAAATGTACAAAAAAAAACTATTTGGGCCAGATGTGGGGACCAAAGTATATAGCTATAACTCATTTTTAGTCGGCAACAGTGGAGGAGGCTTCAGGAGGGCTGAGGGGGCCTTAAAGAGACAGTAGCTGAAATGACAAAACGCTAAAATTAGGGTTTTAAAATTCAACAATCTGAGCTGTGAATCATATAAAGTTAGCACGAAACTATCAAGGGTGCGAGTCTTGTCTCTTAAATCAAAGAAGACCCGGGTTCGAATGCCTTGTAATGACTCTGAAGTTGAAAATGCCTTTCAAAGCTCGTTCGTTCACTGTCTACTTCTGTGCATAAGTCTACTCAGAATTATTGTAATTAAAGACCTTGTTACAGTCGAGTGTGTCGCGGGGTGTAAAAGTCATCTCCACATCAATACCGCAGCAGCCTGCAGACTGGTCTTGTGCAGCTCAGCAGGCGTCCTCCTGGCTTTGCAGAATCTATAAATGCGACATGACAGGCAGCCGACCTTTTTCTTTGTGGACTGCCAGATAATTACCTACAAAGTAACGCCATGTCTCCACTCAGAAGCAATTAGCCCGCCCCACATTTTGACCAGTTGGAGATGCATTTCCATGTTGATACGAAGCCCTGATTGGCTTTTAACACTGCAGGCGTTTACTCGTCGTGGGGCTGGAGTGTTTTTGGAAAAGGAGGCTGCAGGCGGGTGTGGATGCAATAACAGTTCAGCTCAGAGGTTCTCCCTGAATGTCTCTCTAAGCCATGTCTTTTAAATCGAGACACAAACGTCGCACAGGTCTGATTTTAAGAGGCTGTGCGGCTTAATTAAAAAACATAATCAATTAATGAGCACAAACGCCCTGCTGTTAAATAGCTTGCTCGCTCCACCGTGTTGCTTTTGTTCAGTCTTAAGCTCTATTTGTTCAAACGTGATAATAATGTATGTCTGTGTATGCTTGTGTGTGCGTGTGCGTGTGTCTTTCTGTCTGTGTTAGTTTTACTGAACTCCACTTAACTGTTGATGAAGTTTGCATGGCCGGTCTCAGAGTAGATTCCAGGAGAGGTTTGTAGAGTTTTATTTGTCTTTAGGATGCCTTGGCCTGTCTGTATTTTTCTCTTTTCTGACAGACGCCAGGATCTTAGACAGCTAATTGTGAAACTTAAACGCCAATCTGCTCCGAAAAAGCGCCCACTCGCTGAAGAGCCGAGTTAGCAGGTTGGTATTCGAAATCATCGAGTGGGCAGTGTGTAGTTAAGCTTGAATAATAAAAGCCTTTTTTTTTCGCCCTGAGATAGATTTGCAGGGCCTCAGATAAAAAGCTATAACTTTCCTGTTTTGTGTCCATGCGTTTCCATTTTGTCTAACTGGGCTTCTCTTTTGTTTTGAGACAAAAAGAAAGCTAAGGGTTCAGTTAAAAATCACAGCGCTTCTTAAAATATGACACTGAAGAGCTTGCATGTGCAGTTTGTGTTGCTGTAACTCAATGTCCATGTATGGTAATCCTTGTCTTTTCTCTCTCAGTAGTAAAACTGTGCATGTTTACTTTAGGGAGCTTTTCGTTCGACATAATTGTTAAGAATCAAAGGGTTATTGTCGTCCTTCTTACAGGAAGGAGAAAAAAGATTTAAAAAAAAACTAAAACAGAAAGATAATCTGTAGATTCGCTTTGCCTGTGAGTCAACTTAGGGCAGTAAAAGTAACCAAAGAAAGTGTACTTCAACTTGGATTGTCGAGAAAACAGAAATCTAACTTTAAAAGAATAAAGGAATGTGTCATCTGCGTAAAGGAGGTTGTGATACTGCCATTCATACCCCATGTAGTGTTCCTTGATGTTTGCCAATACGTTACACAACATCTTCAGGTAACCATTGGCCTTATAGATGTCCTCTAATGGTAGAAAAATTGTATGTATTTCAAGAATAACACCACAGAATAGCTTATCGTCTGTCTCATATGGTACCAGTATTCCTATTGTTATGTCTGTTGTGTCTTTTTTGGCACTTTATTGTCCGACCTATGGATGCATAGGTTAAATTTCTAATTACTTGAGTAATGTCATATATTTCTGTGTGTTCTATGTGAGGTACTGCTGCCTATGGATATAGATATGTGCCTCCAACCGCCCATGACATCCATTGATTTCAAAGTAGAGAGTTAGATATATAAAAAAATATGTTTTAAAATTGGTGTGAGATATAAAAAAGAAAATATATATCATATTATATGTGAAATGCATTTATTTATTTTCAATGTCATCAATCTTTGAGGCCCTACCTCAGATTTTGTATTTATGTATAGAAATGCAATTGGATTATAGTATCTTTGCCAATAATAATATATCGCTATTATAACATGAAATGTATAATCTATAAATCAATAAATAAATGTTATTGTTTTCTTTGTTGTGACTGGTTTCTTTTGTAGACAGACTCCCCCTGCTGTGTAAACAAACAAAAATTAGGTGAAGACACCGGTTCCCCCTCTGTGACCTGTCAGTCAAACGTCAAATTTCAAAAACAACCGAGGCATCGCGGCTGTGCGGAAACATCGCTTTCTATTTATTGTTTGCGGCAAAATCACGATCAAAGAGGAGGAAATGGGAAAAAATAGATTAACTGCT